CTTGTCAGATGTAACACTACTACTATATCGATAGGACAGCTAAATGTGTATCTAATGATTGCACAAGCCTGTTTCTTGAAGGTGTGAAGGTAGTGACAGAAGGCTGGTGGGAAGCGAGTTCTCAGAAGTGAATTCTCAAATGAGAAAATAAGAAAAAGGAAACGCAAAAGGTGCAGAAAGGGCGTGCGCAGGCAAAATGACACGGAACTTGGTTGTAATAGGCGCTCAGTGGGAGTCTGGGGAAGAGTTTTTGACAAAAGGGTTATATATCACCAAACTGTAGCTGTGGCCCTTTGGGGGTCTTTCCAGGAAGATTGGGCTTGTGGGATGTAGTGTACGTGTGCGATCAGAGCTTTTGGGGCGGCACTGTATTTCGCTTTAGGGCGTTTTTGCGGGGGGACAGCGGTACGATGTTACAGGAGTGATGATATAGCAAGGACGGCCGGAGTGAGTCGAAAATGTACGTCTATGGCTGGGAAAGCTGATTGAGGCGGTATATAGGAATGTTACGACGGCGTTATACTACAGCGGAAACGTGGGGCTGGTGTGATTATTAACGAGCTGGCGTGATTATTAATGGGCTGGTCGCTCTGCCAAAATGTGCCGCACCGAGCTACCCACACACTAAGAATAATGACCACAAAAATTCCTGGAAGGGGCCTGCTCCAGCTTAGACTGTATGCCGGAGGTAATTTCGTCGTTAATTTTGACTCGGGTTAAAGCACATGCCAGCCTCCAGAGTTTTTCCATCTCCACACACGTGATCCGGAAAAACCTTGAGACGAGAAAACGGGAGAACTTCAAGGTCCATTTCCCGGCCAGAAACGCCAATACAGATGGGCTTTACGTTAAGGAAGAGAGTACACAGGGGAATGTGTACATGTATATACCACGACAAAGGTTAAAGCGTACAGAATAGCCCAAAAAAAAGTCAGGTTGGATACAACGCCCGTCCCGCCACAAAGACCAATGTTGTCAACCTGCAATAGAAGGTTTTCGTTAAGGTCTAAACTAGTCTGGCCAACTGGTGTAGGCACGAAGTTGTCAGTATTGGCAGGATTTCTGTGAGGTTCGGCAGGACGCGCTTTGTGCCGGAAATGCATCTGATCATGGTCCTGTCCAGTTTTGAGTGAACGTCCAGAACATACACATAGCTTTTTTTGCTGTGTGTCCGTCGTGGACTGAAATATCAGCAGCGGGTATCGAATCGATATTTAGTGTGCCAGTGTAACGGCCTGTTCCAGGTCGGTCCTTTCCAGGAATTTGGGTTAACCGGGTTGAAAGATTAGTTCTTTTATACAACTACGGTGTAATGTATAGCTGGTACCAATTACGATCCTAATATATTCCGTAAATCCAGACACCGATGAAACAACTTGGTAGAAGTTGGCCACGTCTCTATGTTGCATTTCATGTTTATCTATGGACGCGAGCCATTTCTTTCGTTCGGCCTCATAAGAGGAATTGGTTTCAAAGTTGTTACTTAGATAAGGTTTCAAGCTACACGTGGTCTGGTATCAACTATTGATTGTGTACTGGACTCTTCCAGGCCTGACCCCGAAGCAGTAAACCTGAAGTTGTGGCATAAAAGAGATGTAGCATGTTGTTATATCTGTTCTCAGCCACAGTTAAAGTCTGCACTAAACTACCAAATTACTATTTTGGTTCGTTTTATAACCATTGCCAGTTTGAAAAACTCCCTTTTAGTGCTCCTAGCTTGGAGGAACCTGTCAAGGGTTTAGAATTCCACACTCGTTTGCCTGCATTCAAAATTTCCACAAAATCCTACATCGCTACTGATTATAATCTCTAGCCAAGGTATAAAAATCCAGTTTTGAAACACAGTATGTCTCCACGGAAAGTAAGATCCTCAAAAATACACCCATGAGGTTAATTTTTCCCCGAGACCCCACCCTTGTCTGATGCCAGTTCTATCAATGACTCCCTTTTACACGGAATAAAATACAAACGTTTATACTCTACTGCTTCTGGTAGTCTTCTGGATAAAAGATCAATCTCTCAACCCCCCTGGCGGTCAAGACGGCCATTCTGATCACCCCACCGGACGAGCCGTCCCACTTGATGGCCTGGCCCAAGGAGTATCTCATGAACTGGATGGTTTCCTCCTGCGTCATGTCCTTCTTGTAGTTTTCGTCACAGTACCCGTAAATGAACGTGGAACCGGAACCGGCAATGGCATACTCCTGCTTGTGCATAGATCCACCCAACGGCACCGAAATGACCTCGCCCTTGCCTGTCTTCTTGTCGTAGCCGGCCACAATGATCCCCGCGGTCAAGTTGTCCTTGTTCGTGTAACAGATTTCCTGGAACACGGACGCCGCGGTATGTGTAGAAGGAGGTTGCTGGTGCTGGGCCTCGTACAACTCTAAGTAATGCTTTACCATGTCTGCAACGGCCTGGGTGTCAGCGGCGGAGCCGGAACGGCAACACCAAATCGTGTCGTGGATCTGGGTCAATTTATCGGTGACACGGTTGGCAATGTAACTGCCAGTGGTGGTACGCGAGTCGGCACCCAAAATGACGCCGTCTTTGAAGGTCACGGCCATGATAGAGGTCCCCAAGTTGACCTCACCCTTCTTCAAATGGTTGATATCGACACTGATGTTGTTCATGTTGTGAGTAAGAGACTAAGCCGTGCTGTATAACTGAAGGCTTGATGGTATAGAGAGAAAGATATTTGGTTGGGGCTGTTGGAAAGTCAATTGACAAACATTTGATGTTGTAACTTGCTTACGCCACCACTCAAGGTTGGTGGAGATTTTCGAGGAGGAGCTGAATGCAGGATAATTAGTGCCTGGGGTGAATGTATTATGAAACTCGCACCCATGGCTGTTGATATTTAAGTTGTATTTTAACAGTAATTTCCGAGGTATACCCGAAACAAATGATTTATTGGCATTTTATGCGATGTATACGAAAATGCAATATATTAGGGGTGCCGCTTCTTTTCTGATAGTCCAGCAAGAGGTGGCGTACCTCTCACCCTGATCAGCGGCCTTTAAGTTCGTCATACAATAACCCCCAATCTTTGATTAACAATCAAGGGCACCATTCTACAATATTTATAAATAATATTTCCTTTGCCCCCATTTTGGGGACGAGGGCAGGCCCGTTCCCTTGGAAACCTATTACACTGGGTCGTGTACCACCGGCGTGTCCATACCACCTCGAATGCCAGCGTTATTTTTTTGATTATTTTTTCACCGGCAAACATCCACTATCCACCTCTTCTCTTCAACCAAAATGCAGTTGCCATTCACCCTCGAACACTTGCCGAAGCAGTCGACCGCCTCCTGGGGTCCACCAACCGCGATCCCAAGCTCGCTTAACTTCCACGACGTGCCATACGCACCATACTCCAAGTCCGACAAGTTAGGCAAGGCTGCCGACTGGTTGACGGACCCAGCTGCGGCGCCAAACGCGTACGGTAATACCGCCACCAAGTCCAGAAATACTAGAGATCCGTTCCACGCGTACGGGACTTCCGCTGCCTCCTCCTTTGCCGCCGAAGAGGAAGAGGAAGCCGGTGATTTCTCCGTTGTGGACAGCTCTACCAGCGCCAAGGTTGCCGCCACCGTGTTGAAACGCAACAGCGCGAACCAGGCCGCAGGCTCTTACTCCACTGCGCTTGGCGCAAAGCGTGGCGCGACCCCGGCCGCGCGTGCAAGCCCAGCCGCCGCACGCGCAGCGCAGCAGGCCACGCAACCGCAGCAGTTCGGTAACAGAAGAAGATACGGCTCATGGAAGGACGACTTCCAGGCTCGAATCCGTGACGCTTCTATCGACATCCAGGACTCCTGGGAGGTTGTCTACGACGCCGAGTTCCACAAGTTGACCAAGTTGAACATGGAGGTCAAGGAGGTCGAGGACCTCGATTCCTACGGGTCTGTCGCGTACTACAACAAGCAGATCGAGAGGCCGTTGTCGAACCAGACCTTGCAGGCTGAAGCCAGGGCTGTAGTGAGCCCTACCGCGTCCGAAGATGCGGTTTTGGTGAAGCTTGCGGCCGCCTCCAGCGGTGCGGTCTTCACCACCGACACCTGTCTTGCCCAGTTGATGTGTGCTGCCCGTTCCGTGTATTCGTGGGACATGGTGATCACCAAGAAGGCCGATACCGGTGCGATCTTCATCGACAAACGCGAAAACTCGATCCTCGACCGCGAAACCGTGGACGAAAACACCCAGGACGCGCCGTCAGACTCGAAGGACACGGACATCAACAACGCCACAAACTTGGCCCAAGAAGCGACCTCCATCAACCAGAACTTTATCGCACAGTCCTTGGCTGCGGGCAAGCCGTACTCCATGGCCCATCCCGAAGCGCCGTTCACATCTACCAAGGGGTACAAGTACCGTAAGTTCAAGCTTCCGGTCGGTAACGCCTCCTCTAAGAGCACCAGACACAAGTTGGGCAACGATGAGGAGGAAGACGCTGAGGACTTTATCGGCTTGGTGGTTAGAGCCGAGGTTGACTCTGTCCAGGCGACCGGTGAGAAGTTGACCATCAGAGCGTTGAATGAGTACGTGCCACCAGCCACCGCACAACAGCACAAGTTGGACTGGAAGACCAAGTTGCAGACCCAGAAGGGTGCGATCATTGCCGCGGAGTTGAAGAAAAACAACAACAAGGTCGCCAAGTGGGCTACCTCTGCGCTTTTGGCCGACAACGACTCGCTCAAGTTGGGATTCGTGTCCAGAGTAAACCAGAAGGCCAACTCCAAACACGTGGTCTTGGCTGTCAACACCTACAAGCCACAGGATCTCGCTATCTCCATTGGTTTGTCCTTGAACAATGGGTGGGCCGTTGTCAAGTCGTTCGTCGACATTGTCAACAACAGATGCGACCAGGAGGAGGACAAGTCTGTTGACCAGAAGTTCGTATTGGTGAAGAATCCGAACGCGCCGAAGATTACCTTGTACAAGGTCTAGAAAGCTAGCTTCGGTTGGTTTACTGTGTATAGATGTTTGAGTAATGGCGAAAGCAAATTTGTTTAACAAATGTAGATTATACGGATTTTCTAGAAATCTACGGGCTATTTTGTATTACATGAATGTTGGTAACTATGTATGTATGGTTTAGAGGAGGTTTATGAAATTAGATAGTTGGTTATTTCTGTGTTTGTTCCTGTGGGATACCTTCCAGAGCTGCTAATGGATTTGTTGATGTGGCCTTGGAACTGACGCAGTCTGTATAATTGACCATGAAAGTTAGAAGGATATATCGCAGTTACTCGGTGTTCTGGTTTCTTTTTTTTTTTTTTTTTTTTTTTAGCGTAGGCTGAACCGTTTAAATAATTTCCATTGTTGGAATGGCAAGAGCTATACTGGTGATAAAATTCTAGCGCATCAAAGACCGAAATATACCAGCAATACAAGCCATGGTATGGCAAATGGGACCCCTTGGATAATGTAACAGCCCGTCAAAGTCTCATGAAACCCCATTTCTCAGCAGCCATATACCACTATTATTGATAAATCTCAGAAAATCTGTTCCTGTCTAGGATAGCTTTTAATCAAGACAGTCTATGGTTGTGCTAAAAACTAGACCTGTCACTAAAACCTCATAATTCATTAAGCTTTTTCTCTGAGAAGCACCCCCATCAACATAAGCGCTTTCTGCACCGTTACATAGTCGTCCCCAACAACAACACACTTCTTTGCGGTTCCAGAGCTAACGTACTCGTTCGTAACATGCACCCGGACCCCTAATGCTTCGATTTCCGGTTTGACAACATCTATGAACCGGGAATACTTGTTTGCTGGGATGATTTTCACAGACTCCGGCGTGTGGTTTAAAATATTGTAAATCGCGTGTCTGATACTCGCGGTAAACTCTGCCACCCGAGTTTCGCTTACCCCCACCACGGTCATTATTTCAGACAACCTAAACTTCTGTTGTACCTGGAGGGTATGCCGGATTTTATGTGTCACAGTATAACAATCAGGGTATAGTTTTTGGATCTTGGCGATGGCGACTTCGAAGGCACGGAAATCGAGTCTGTCTAGTGGTAAGTGAACCTGATTGGCTTGTAAGCTCCCCAAACGGCGGGAAAGCTCAGTGTAGACCAAGTTAAGCGCCAGCGCACTGGCACTGGAAATCTTCAAGACGCTTTTGAAAGAATCCTGGTGCCTCAAACCTTCGATATAGCTCCACTCAACCTGGAACTTTTCACAGAGAGTCTTCCAGTACTCCTGATTCTTTCCGCCCATGGGCTCATACAAGTAGTGGGGAAACTCGAGCTTCTTGGAGTAGACTTTAGGTCTCATTCCTTCCCAGGAAAAGGTGTCGTGGTTCGGGTTATGTCCCCCTACGAGGTCATACTTGCCAACCTCTGCGATAACTCGGTTGATACTTGATTTTGCGAGGGCAAGATTGGCAGGGGAGTCACTAAACACAGAAATCGTAGCATAATCCCCCTCTTCTATAACCATTATTGACGATGTTTTTGACTCTATTTCAGCGGCGTTAACCACCCCATATTGGTTCCTCCGCTTCATGAAGCGCGCCACGTGTTTAGGGGCCTCGATGGTTACTCGGTGGGTCCCGATTCTTTCCACCAAGTTGTTGATGATGCCTGCGGCCTTTTCAGTATCACCATCCACACGTGCCGTAATGAGAATCCTGAAAAAAGCGTCTTCGCAGGATATAAGGGTGCCAGTCATGGATTCGATTTTGTTGAAGTTTGAGCCAATTCGCCGGAGAGCGGAGTACATCGGGTACGGAAATTCCAATACTGTACACCCACGCAACCATGACTGGAGGTGTTCTTGGATGGCATCACATGCTTTGGCAGTGGTATCAGGGTGGAGGCTGTAGACAGATATCGCCTCTCCTGTTGCCGTAGAAACAATGGACGAGCTGGTTTCCTTGCGAAGTTTCTCCAAGGCTTCCCCATGCGACCCGAAGATTAACTTTCCGGTCTTTAAAGACACGAGTCTCAGATGATTGGAAACCTCAGCAATCTTGGCTCTAAACTGTTTGGCTGCGGTATCTGTGCTGAGGGTATCCTGGCCCCTGAAATACACTGGAATCTTATCCTCCGTATACCTGGATTTTCCGGGATTGACAATAATGGCCACTTTGGTGGCAGCTTGAAGGTCGTTCAACCACTTACTGTGGATCCTGTGTATGTGCTGCACCGACAGCGTTGATACTGTCTCGGCACTTTTAGCGAGAGAATACTTCCACGTCGATAGCCGGGTGCTGAGGTATAATTCTGCTCTTTCAAGTCCCGTCTGGGATTCGGCATTGATTTGCAAAGAAATCTCCTTAAAGTGCCCGGGATGGGTAAGGGCAGCGGGGTTCACCGTCACGCTACACTGCAAGATCTGGGCTATGTTCTTCAAGTCATGTCCGTTCCAGCCCGCAAGGATTCGGAAATCGTTGGTGGATAGTGGAACCCTGGACTGATGCTTGAGGAGCATGCCCACCTTTCGGTGAAGTTTTGCCACCACCAGGGCTGCCATCTGTCGAGAAACGCTGTAAACCGTCCATTGTTTTTCGCTCTTTTGAATTACTGCATTTCCTTTAGTGATATTTTCGGCCCACGCATCGCCTAAGCTGGTAAACATGTCCCGTACGAGCGGCGTGAGTGGAAATATCTGTTCACTCGCACGGATGCGCTGGATGGACTCCACGAGCATACGGGTGGGAATTTCCCCAGAAACCCTTACATTATCGGTGGCTGTTGACAAGGAAATTTCAGCTTGGGTTTGGGCTTCGATTTTCGGGACAAGCTTGGCAAGAAGCGGTCGCGTGAAGGGAGGGAATGGTACAAGCGTGGGCTCAGTCTTGGTCGTGTAGTAACTCGCCCGTTGGGGGAGTTTATAAAGGAAAGAAACCAATGGCGCTAGTAACCTTGATCTTCCGGTAAGTCCCATATGCCATGTGATCTGTGTTCGTGGAGGTGGAGAGTAGAGCTATCTGCTGACATGTATCAGTAATCGCAAATGTTTCGCGCATGCAAGTAACGAAAAAATGTTAGACAAGGAAGCAGAAACAGCTGTGGATCGTAAAAATAGATTTACTCCAGACTCATCGTTCCTTGTGCCACCAAGATTTAAGGAATATCGAAAGCCAAGTTGGTTGACGTATATATCATAAAATTCTATTCATACAAAACTTATACACTAGATCAATATCAATTGCTATAAAATGATATAACTAAAGACCTGTTTAGGCCAATACAATATATGCTAAGCTCGATGTATGCTCTATCCTGTAGAGAATCATACATAAGTGAGACCTATACCCTTCACAAGGCCATTCCCTTAGTAGCTCAAGTTTACTTTGCGTACTTACTCTGGAAACTCTGACATACTAAGATCAGTGATGGTGGTCCGTGACTCGGGCCTGATGGCCCGCTCGATGTAACTGTTGGACCGTTGTTGGATGATCGGCGCTGGGCTGATCTTGGGCAAGCCTATGCCGTTGGTGGGAATGAAAATCGGTGTGATTCGGTTGAGCTTCTTGGCTGTCTCCACCGTCGCCGACTCCCATGGTTCCTCGTTTTGGTACACTGGCGGGGGAATGTTGAAAGGGAGGGAATTATCCTGTTTTGATATTCTGGACAGTGCAACCCTCTGCGGAGACGAACTCCCGTTGAAATTAACCGTCTCAACTGACCTATCTCCGGTGGCCGGAAACAGAAGCGGACTCCAGGTCGTCCGCCCACGCCGCCTCGGCGAAAGACTCACGTTGAGTGGGGGGATCCGGTTATCCGTTGACGGTACAGCCGAGAAGAGATTTCTCAAAGGCTGCTCGAGCGTGCCAGGGGCCTTTTCAGGGGAGACAGCATCTCTGGCCCTGCTATACCGCTGTTTCAACGCATTCATACGCTCACGTTTGATTCTCTCGGTGGTTTCGGCCAACTTTGACGGAGATAGGTTGGTACTTGGGGTCTCGTTGCCGCCAAAAAGTGGTTGCTCCAGGGGCCTGCGATTGTACTCGAGCATTTTCGATGTCCGTCGCTTGCTGGCTAACGGGGAAACGTCGCTGACGCTAAAAGACTCGTCCGGGCCTCCCTCCATCTTTACCCGCAAGTTATCCCGCCAGATCTTTATAAACATGCGCAACTTTGCCTGCTCCCACCGCTGACGGAAGAACTTGGCACTTTCCTCGTTCCGCCTGGCCCTGAGCACGTTGACGGACCAGATATCCGAGTATTGCTGCATGAGTCTAACGTCTCGCTCGGCCTCAAAATCGAGCTCCCGGGCTGCAAGCCTCTGAAGTCTAGAGTACTGCTCACGAAACGCCGTGAGCGACCGGCGAAGCAAGGATTGGGTGTACGCCTGGGCAGCCGTCTCCCGGAAATCGATATTGGCCTGGAGGCGATCCATCCAGGCATCCCACGCTGGGGGGATGGTTCTTGCTGCCGCAAAGTGGAGGCAACGCTCTTCTAGGACGCGTTGCTCTGCCACACGTTCTCGCCAGATTTCAAAGTGTTCAGCAACACTTCTCACACGCATCCGCGCGTGAAACTGCGCTACGAGCCCCTGCGCACGCAATTCGTACCGGTCTGTGTATGCCTCGTTCCACCTCCGGAACGCGATTTTCTTCGCCACCACACTCTGTCGGTGAAACGTTTCCGCTTGCTCTGCGTTTTGCCGGTTCAACTGAATTCGATACCTAAGCATCTGGAAAACCTTGGCGCAGAGTATATCGTCCACCTCCGCTCGCATCGCGCGGATGGTCCTCAAGCCCCGCTTCCAGGTGCTAAAACACGCACGCACAGTGGATATCAGGTCAAACCGAGCGTCAATAGAGTCGTCTAAGGCCGCGATCCGTTGCACTTTCTCTGCCCAGAGACGGATATACCTTTTTGAAAGATTGTACTCTCTACTCTGCTCGTGAAGCAGGGCCACCGTGGCCAATTTCCAGTTACGGAAAGTGTTTTCGAGTAAGGCGCTGCCCTGGGTGATCTCTAGCTCAAACGCACGGCTTTGTAACCGCCAGCACGCAAACGCACCGCTAAGGAGTCTCTTTGCACGAAGTTTCCTAGCCGCCGCCTCCATCACCGCAGCCTTTCGCCACGTGCCAAGACAACTGGCCATGGTCCTAGCATCTCTGTCATCCTGTGCGTCCTGGAGCAAAGTGCGCTCGGTGCAGCGCTTCTGCCAGCGACGAAACATCCACGCAAGAAGAATCGTGTCGGTGTTGGCGGTCGCGCACGCTTCGGTCGAAAGAAGTCGGTGTTGAATCTTCCACACCCCCATATACCGCTGAAGCACAAAGCTCCGCTCACGCACGTGTAGTTCCTGTAGCACTGCGAGCGTGTGGCCGGTTCTGGCCTCCCACTTAGCCATCAGCTGCGCTACCGACGCTGTGGCATAGATCTTTCCAGCCTGAAGGTTCGCCTGGGCTACCCGCCGCAACCGATCCTCCCAGAGGTCGAGAAATACCGTCATCAGGATTCGGTCGTGGATGTTTCTGAGAGGACCACTTTGCAATGGAAGCTTAAGCAACTCCGTGGCCTTCTTCTTCAACTGCGTGTCTCTGTGCTCTGTGGCTTTGGTTTCCAGGGCGTGGATAGCGTCCGCACGGTGCTTCCATGCGTAGAAGGCCTTGTGTGCGATAAATTGCGTTGCGCGCGCCTCGCGGGTTACGCGCTCCCCTGCGCGTGTACGCCAGCACTGCCAGTAGCGGAACGTGGTGTACGTATGGTTAAGCAGCGCCGCCTGTTTTTTAAGTGCGTGAACTTTCAACGTCCGGTGAAACCAAAGCTTGAAGACCCTTCTAGTGTTCTGGTGGATGTGGATGCGACACAAGTCGTCTAGCCGTGCAACGTCCTTGCGGCGGCGGTTCCAACGCTCAAAGGAGCTTGTAAGGAACGCAGACTCGGAGCTGAAGCGGAAAATGGCCTCTCTCATTAGAAGCGTTGTGGTCGGGCTGGGCTCTGGGTTCGTCAATAGTCCCGAGTACGCGGTTAAGCGGACCCATGCGGCCATGCTCACGCCGGTTTCGATAATGTCCGCGATAACGTGTCGAATCGCCTGGAAGTAGTGGTCTGTTTCGAAATCACGTTTGTGCTCCCTTAGAAGCGCAAGGTATGCTCTAAAAACTAGTGGGAAGCCGAGGTCGTACGCCAAAGCGTCAGGAATCTCATCATAGGCGCCAAACTCAGCGTAGACACGATCAATCTGGTCGCAAAGTCGTAGCCCGTCCTCTGGGATCTGTGAATAGGAGGACTGGAGGTGCGACGGGAACTCAAAGGTCGAGGCGATATTGGAGGTGAAATCGTACACGGGAGAATTGTCGGACAACTCGTACGTTCTGGGCGTCGATTCGACGGGAATTGCGGGCGTGGTCGGAATTGCCGACGGGTTCCAATTTGTATTAGGATCGTCTGATAATACAGAGCTCATGGTAATGAGCGGAGGCACTGGGATTCCGAAACACCTGAGTATAGTCGTGAAGTGGTAAATATGTCGTGTAGTAAATATTGAAAAAGGTGCAGGATGCGGCGGGGGGTGTGAGGGCAGAGTTAGTGCAAGAGGATTTTATTGCCGTACAAGGCTAGGAAAATACGAAAAAAATCAGCTTTTAGGTATGTAACTGTGCTGCTAAAGGTTGAGAAGTTAGCTTTGATTGGATTGATAATAAATTTTATTGATTCAACCATATACCCTACAAAGCAGTCCAAACAATGAGCGTTTGATTTGCCTTGTGAGCCACATGCTATGTCAAGTATTGTCCCCTCCGACTTGGTCAAAATAACCCCTCAGTCTTTTACTCAGTCATAATTAAACTATGCCAAAGGTATTGAAAGTGATGACCTTTTATGTTGTAGCTATATACGTGAAAATAGTAGCTTTATCTCGCCAGGCATTCGGCCGTCAACTCCAGGTATGACTTCTAGATCAGGGTAAAACTTAAATTGCAATTATATGTATTGGACGTTTATTGGTCTACTTTGGTACGGCAACTAATTTTGCATGTGACTTGAGTTAAACCAACGGTTTTGAAGTTTAGGACGTTATGTCTGGTGTGGCACACCCGAAATCGTAGTTTTAGTGGACTTTTCCCTTTTCATTTGTTCACTTGCTTTTCCTGTCCTGATACTCTCTAACATCCAGGATCATTACCGGGTCATTGCTAGGTCATTTAGCTCTGCTTAGTAGCAGCTACTCAATCCCGTATTGATCCTTTAACTTTCCGAGGATGTCTTTTCTCGTCTCCAACTCTTCGGCCTTCAACTTGGTGCGGTCCACGCCGTACATCAGCGTCGTGACGTAACGGCCCTTGAAGTTCACTCCCTGGAGCCTATCGTTGGCCGCCTTGGCCGCCTTTAGACTGTTGTAAACCACCAAGCATGTGCCTCTGGTGCTAGGGGTGTTGCCCTTCCGCACCTGTATGATCGCGCCGTAGACACCAAACATGCCATAGAGCTCGGACAGCGTGGTCTCGTAGGGCAAGTTCTTAACCATCACTATCGGGTAATCAGAGGATCCGTTCAGCTTGCGGGGTTAGTCTGTGTTACGGTAATGAGAGGTGGGATTGACATACCATATTATATTGTTCAACCGTTATATGTTTGTGTAATCTTTTTGCCCGCCGCTGAAATTTTAGGTCATCGGTTTACATATGTGCAGGGCTGCATACAGCTGCCCTTCGGTCAAATTTTAGTGTATCAAATAGTGGTCAAGTTTTAACTGACATGTAACGTAAATCTAGAGGGTTTTTACAATAAACATGTGAAATGGAATTAAATTCCAGAGGTTGTATTGATAGTAAGATTGTTAAAGAAATAGCAAGTTAGACCGATATTCCCAGAGTCAGCCGTACCTATTATCGTTTTACTGGGGCGTCTACCATGTACTTTCAATATTGCAAATGTATTTATGCAAATTGTCACCTTGACTACGGAAAAGCCACTTTTCAAAGACAGGTGCTTTCAAAATGCTGAGATAATACTTTTCCGCCAAGCATGACACCTTGCTAACACTCGGGTTTAGTTCTATCTACCCCCCAATGACATTCTCTAGTTGCTCCATTTCCCCGGATTTTGTTTATCGTTTATTTTCAATCTTGTATGTACATGTTCTAGGTAACCACGTATTGGTGCTCTAGCAAGCTTCGTTTACCGAATGACATCTTGGCTCAAGCTCGTGCTACACACTCGCTTTCGTGCACTAAATCACATCTCCAATCACAGCCATCGCCTGCCTATAGCTCTCCAACAATGTCACCAACTTAGCCCTCTCGTTCATCAACCCCGCATCCTCCATCAACAAGTCATCAAACTTATCCACATTATACAATTTGGAGACCAAGCGGTTCTGGATCTCATCCTTGCAAAAGTTAACCAACAAAAACATTGTCGATTTCGGGACCTGGTCCTGGATCATCTCACGGATAATGGTAAAGTACGAGCTGATTAAGCGGCGAATCAACTCGCACTCCAACTCCTCACGCTCCGTCAACTCCTCCGAAAACGCTTCATCTCCAGCCGCGGCCTTCACGTCGAGCTTACCAAACTCCAACTGGTTCGGATCGTGGAACTGCAAAGTGTCGGCCTCAGTAGGGAACTGGAACGGCTTGTACTCCGGCTGCTGGTGGAGATTCTGGCCCCTGGTCTGGGTGAGCTCGTCACTCTTCTGGTTTTCCTTGCTGAAAAAGTAGTTCAAGAAGGAATCCTTCTCCTTTGCTTCGACACTGCTGACCGTTCTCTTCTTCGGTTCGTATATAGAGCCATTGGCCAGGGCTTCCACTTCTTCCTCCACCATAATCACCGGTTTGGTCTTCTTTTCGGCTCTCATCCTCTGCCTCTCCTCAGCCACCTCCTGCATCGCCTGAGGCGCGCCGATGAAGTTAGGGTGGTTGGTGTTGATGTATGCCCTGTGGATGTCGATGATACTCTCGACGTAGGTCGTGGTCGGCCCCAATCTCTCTCTCAACAACTCGGAAACAACCTCGATCAATTTCGAGTGCAACTTCGGATAACGCAACAACTCGGGCCCCCCGCAGTTATTGTGCGTGATCTTCATCAACTCCTCGTATACCAACTCGACCACGCGCTTCGACGGCGCCTCAAGGAGCTTGATCTGCGGCTTCACCAAGAGATAGAACGCCAACTCCGGCACAAACAACAGCGGGCGCGGGCCGGTGGAGTTACGAATCGCGGTGCGGATCGATGCAATTGAGAGATTGATAACCGGGTTAATGCTGTTCAAAGACCTCCCGAAGACTTCGTTGTAGATGTAGTAGATGCGCGCACCCCCGCACAACTCACGCGTCGACTGGTAGTTGTTCCCGTCAATAGAATTGATAAAGTTGTTTGCAAACTTGGTCATCAACTGCAAGATGAGTGAGCCCTTGGTAGCAATGTCCGCATCGAGCAAGTTATCTTCGCCGTAGGATCTCAACTCCTGCTCCGTTTGGCCCATTAACGTGTTCAACTTGGCCTTAATGTCTGGCAAACGCTCTCTGATGTGGTTCATCAAGATGTTGTTCAACTTCTTGGAAAGGTTCTTCGTCCCGCATTTCAGCGCAATTTTTGAGTACGCCGGGTGGTTGCTGAAGAACTGTTCCTCGGCCAACAACGAGTCGCCCAAGGGCTTGTTCGCCGAAATGTCCTGCTGCGAGCGGTTGACAATCCCGACAAACCCCAACTTCAACGGATAGACCCGCCCGTTCAAGATATCCACAGCGTTGGTTCCCTGGTCCATAAGATCCAACTTGGTTAACAACCCGACCGTGCGCTTCCCCTGAGGATCGACCTGCCTTGCCAACTTGAGCGATTCGCTATTCACGAGATCCACATTGGCGGGGGAGACCGCCAAAATGACGCAGTTTGGCTTCGCGATGTACTCCAGGATCAAGTTACGTGTTTGTCTTTCGATATCAGTTGGTTGGTCGCCGATCGGAATCTTTGTCAAGCCAGGGAGGTCCACCAAGGTCAAGTTAAGCACTTTGGTGGAGAAGATCTTGAGATTGATCGGGAGACGACTGATTCCCTTGTTTTTACCAGCAATGCGTGCGGTCTCATTTTCAATCTCGCGTCTGATGTCGTCAAAGTTGTAGAAGCGTTTGTTGGGCAAGTGGAGGAACTCACCCCACTCCAAAAGCTCACCCTCGTCGCTAGGCGGAACGGAGTGCCCCTCCAGGCTGGGTGACGAGTTTCTTAAGTGATCTTCCAAGGTTAATTCACCTGGAGCACCATTCTGCACCTCCTGGAGCTGTCTGTCCAAAAACTTCTGGTAGTCCGGCTGTTCAGGGCTGATGTTGATCAACTGTAACACCAACGGTCTTCTGGTGACGATACCAGTCCCGCGCGGAAGAAAGTCACGGCCCACAATATTCTCCAACACGGACGACTTACCGCAAGACTGCGAGCCGATCACCGACAAAATCGGCAAGTCCAAGTCCAGCAACTGGGTGTTGGTGACGATGTCTTGCAACTTGTTGACCACGGGGATCAAGTCTGAAAAGGATGACATAGGAGATGTACCAAAAGAGAATGGCTTAGTGATAAATGGGTTGAGATAGGCTTTTGGATGAGATCACGAAATTTGTCGCTTGCCACCAAGAATAGAAGCCGTGGTACTAGTGGAAGTGCCGCCTGCGGGTAACTCTCGATTGCTGTTGTTTTTGCTCGAGGAATTGACCGAAAGAGGATTCGCGAAACGCATGTGAAAACGAATGCGAAGCACGAGCGAAGTGGGTTTCGCGAAACGTCTACAAGAGAGGGGTGCAGGGCACAGCTTATATAGTCTTGTAGATATCATAAGAGGCACTTCCAAGACGCTTACTCTCCGTAAGCACCCTGGAGCCAGTAACGCCCTCTGTTTGTAAATGGTTGCTATTAACTATTACATGGTGGTGAGCGATTGTTTTTGCAAGTCTTTTACTCGCCCTCTCTGCGATATATTTCCATTCGGTATCCCCTGGCCGTGTTATGAAGCATCTGATTCCCGACAGGGATCTCGGAAAGCTGTTGGGAAAGGCCTGTTGGGTGGATGGAACACAACTTGGGAGTCATGTAGCTGTTTCTGACGCGAAAAATGTGCTTTATGTAAAGAATGAGGGAAACTGAGTACCTCCGTAGAAATTCTCTAGTCCTCGGTGTGATTTAAAACCCTAGCAGATATGGTTATTAATGCAACTGTTGAGCGGAAAAGGTCGTAATCGGCATGATTACCAAGCAGGTCAAGGCATAAGCCCAGAGTTGTTTTATGAGGTACCGTTCATTTGAGCACCAATCCTCTGAGCTGTGTTGCTTCGTTCGGCCATAACATGCTGGTTCATAAAGCTTGCTAGCGCGTCTAGAATTACATATGTTCTATTACCCTGCAGATCTGCACAATCTGTTTATCTGATCGATTCCACTGATCGCCCTAGCCTGTAAGGTTTGATTATGACAAATCGGAGATTCAGGTGTCGTGGGGCCCGTTGACTTTTTTCATCCTAAATGAATTAGTTGTATCAGCCGGCCCGTACATCTTGCTAGCCTTCCTTACATATCCTACGTTTGTCACGCGTTCTGCCACACGCATTATTTGTTCGCGTGCGCTTAGCGTCACCACTGCCTCCAACACTGTTCTTCTCAACACGTATCATGTCAAGTTTATCCGATACAATTGCTGCGTACCTCCCAAGTACGCACAAGTTCCTGGTGGTACACCTCCAGTCGCACCCGAAACAGGCCAAGGCGTTGGTGATCCAGCGCTCTGCACACGCTGAGCTCACGGTGCGCTCCACACACTTTGTAATGCTCAGCTATGTGTCCGACGAGATCATTCCTCTATTCGGGATCGAGCTAAACGTCTACTTGAGCGTCAACCCGCACGCAAACACCATCCACAAAACCTTGTTTGTGTCCAAGGCCGACACCACGGGGATGCACAATCTCCGCGCATTGGGGGTCAAGGTCAACGAGGTGGTGATACTGATTTTAAAACACATTGTCAGCTCCGATTGTCAGGATTACCTCGACCAGGGAATTGTGTTTAAGAGGTCGGTGTATACCAGCGCCCAGCTTGCGAGCATGGGCAAGGCACCAGTAAACCACACTGACGCCGCGGTGAAAGACGTGATGTATTTGAAGGGGATCAATCCGGGGTTGCTCCGGTTGATCCGACAGTTCAGGGAGACACGGCAATGGCCGGATTTGACGTTTGAGAGCTCTGACATCCAGCCAGCGGGAACGCTCGCACCTCTAGCCACGTTGCTCGCGGCTACGTTTCCGGACGCACCCACGTTCGATGTCGCACGCGCCACGCAGCACAACCAGATTTCGCTCTTCACCAAAGCTGCGGACCAATACTTGTTTCCTGAATCGTTCAAAAACACCCAGCACAAGCACGTCTTGGCGGGCGACCAGTTGCTCCGGTGGTGGATGAAGATTATCGACACCGTGGTGGTGGAGTGCTTCTCGCCACACGCGCTCGAATGCAAGCTCTTGCTTCCGGGGGCCGAACCCCATGCGATCCAGAAATACTTTCCAGATCCCCGGTGGACGGTGGGCTCGATCTTCCATGCTGCAAAGACTATACCAGCTGTGTACGCCGTGCCGCTCTTCCCCGACGATCCCAAGGGCCGCTTCTTGGAGCATCTCATCGTCGAAAACAGGGCCAAGCAAATTTGCATGGAGACTTTCTGGGTCGAATTGAGCATCAGACAAGAATTCCGGTTGGGCGACACGGTGGGGGTCATCGGGGTGCATGGGGAGCTCAACCGTACAGTGCGCACCCGCGCGGCGTTCCTCAGCTTGAAAAGCTATCACAAGGTTCGCAAAATTCTCAGCGATCTTGATTATTCGTCGCCAGAGGGAGTTGGAAATGCGTTGCATGGGTTGTTGGAAGGAAAGGAGACATTTTGGGTGGAAGAGAGGCGAGGGGAACGAACGGTGGTGGTGGTGGCTGCGGCCAAGCGGACCGTCGCTTCACCAACCGTTAACAACTTGACCAGCATGGTTAGGAAGAAACCAAAAAAGGGTATTTAGATGGTGTTTGGCATTAGTTCGAGTATAGTAGAGATGGATCAAGGTATAGAGGAATGTGCAGGGTGAAAAGCACTTAGCTTCGATCGTGGTGTAAATAGCTTTACAATTATCCGGTTAGCGATTCACTGAGATCTGACTGGCTCTTAAGGCTTGGTGTGTAGGCCGATATTCTGTGTCCGGTCACGTTGTGCACTGGTAGCTGTCAGATGCAAAATATTCTACCAATCCTCTAAGAGCTTCCTAAACGTAGGTAAAATCTTCCGGCAAGAACAATTTCACATAAGGCAGCAAGTCACTCTTATATGAAAAGGACTAGCTCGGATATTAAGTAATCCCACTTGATTTCACTCTACTTAGGGTAAATGTAAGGCGCACTAGTGATACAGTCAAGTATTGCAAATCCGGACCCCTAGGCACATGCTAAAATATTAATTCTCCCACCCCGGTAGCAGATGCTCCAGTGGCGCAGTTGGTTAGCGCTTCGTGCTTATAACTGTTAACGATGTTACGGCTTATGCCTTATGTCACGGTCGTGTGAGAAACGCGACGGTCGTGGGTTCGAAACCCTCCTGGAGCATGTGCCTTCTTTTTTCGAAAAAAGTTTCGATCGGAATATATTATTTTTTTGGAGGACATAATGAGTTGATATTATACTAGAAATATTATATTCAGAAAAGACACGATTATTTGGTCGTGCTAAAAGGTTGTATCGGTGAGTATGCTAAGAACTTGGTGTGTATTAGATTATTAAAGGGCTCATTGAATGCACGGACAAATTAATATACATATCGAGATATAAAAGGGTGTGCATAAATATACAAATATATTTAGCTTTAACTGAATCAATATACCATAAGCAGATAGTTAAATATTTCAACACTGCCATATACAACAGTAGATGTAGCTATATATAATAATTACAAGTATATTTGATACTTTATGCTAAGAATTACATAAGAGCATAAGGGTCATAGTTGCATATACCGTGTAAAAGATCATCTAGGATCAGAAATATCAGAGAAAACTGTAAGCCGTAAAAGTGGTATGGTTCACACGGCAGGTTAGGACTCTAATAAAAGCACTAACCCAGGCATTCAAGTAACCAATAGCATTTATCAAAACAACCATTTGTTTCTATATCGCTCCACTATCCAGAATCATCTCTTATGCACACTTGCCTAGATACTTTCCGGATCCCCGGTGGGCTTGATCTTCCACATCCTGCCTAGACTACCAACTGCTTTGCTCAAGATCACGCCACACATTTCCACAACAGCCACTCGCCTCTGCACCCACGCTAAGCACTTGTTTCAGCACTTACATTCGCACGCGCACGCATTCCCCGCGCCAACTCTGTCTCGTCAAACCTGAACCCCCCCTCAAGCTCAATAAACTTGTGCCGCAAAAGCGTCTGGGCCGTCGGGCGCTCGGTCGGATCGATCTTGAAGCACTGCGCGAGAAAGTCCTTCCCCGCCTCGCTAACATACGGAAGCGTGTCCTCAGGAATTGGCGGCGCGCTCTTGGCAATGCCCAATTTGAACAACGCCCTGACAGCGTCGGCATCGGACCATGGCCGGCGGCCTGCAAACATCTCCAAGACTACACAACCCAAGGACCAGACATCCACCTTCGCACTATACCCCGACTTGTGTTCCTTGCTAGACGCGGATAGCACCACCTCAGGCGCCATCCAGAAGATCGATCCTTGCATCGACATCTCCGCGTTGTTGTCGTAGATGTTTTTGCTGATCTTCGAGATCCCAAAGTCGGAGATCTTGCACGTGCCGTCTGTCTCCAACAATAAGTTATCTGCCTTCAAGTCGCGGTGCAAAATGCCTTTGTCATGGATGTAGCTCAAGCCCAAGAGCACCTGCTTCGTCAAGTACCGGATAACCTGCTCGCTAAACCGCCCGTACATCCGCAAACACGACCCCACCGAACCGCCGGCCACGTACTCAAGGAACAAGCTGTACGACGTCGCGCTTTTCTCGCACCCGAGATACTGCACGATGTTGAGGTGGTCCAAGTCCTTCATGGTCTTCACCTCCGAGTGCAAAGCGTCTATCCCGTCCGCGTTTTGCGCATGGTGGCGCCGAATGTCTACCTGCTTGACCGCCATCATTTCTCCTGTCGTCACGTTAAGCGCGATATACACCTTCCCGAACGTCCCCTTACCAATGAGCTCACCCTTGACCCACGCAAACTCCTTATACCGGCCGTCCGCGCTGCGCACTTTTGATACAACCCCGTCCGTCGTGTTTGGCTTGACCTCGAGAATTCGTTTCCCCCAGAGCTTTGTGCTTTTACGACGCATCAAGTTGACCTCGGCCCGAATACCGTTGGGCGCGAGTTTGATACTCTGTTGGCGGAGCGATTTATTTTTTGCCTCGCGTGCCACCGTTCTGATCGTCTTCATGCGCTGCGGCTTCGCCGCGCGCGGTGGGGTCAACATCCCGAGGCCAGCAGCAAGCGGTACCCCCAAGCCCCCGTGCAACCCCACCAGCCCTGGCGCATGCGATCCCGCGTTGCTCACCGTGCGGGAGATACTCGGCTTGGAGGATTTGGACGATGAAATCGACGGTTCATACGAGTTGGAAGAGTCGGATTTGAACGAATCCACCAACAGTGGAGACGTCGGCGGGGAGCTGACATCGGCGAGAATTGGTTTGTCCAAATCCGTGTTCGGGAAGAAGCGGTCGAGATTGTCGTAGACAACTTCTGCTGGCGGTCTCACGCTTCCCAAGGAGCTTGCTAGAGAGTCCTCCCTTCCTAAGCTATCGCCGCCCGAGGTGGTGATGGATGTCCCCAGTTTCTTCACCATCGGCTTAGAAAACAACCCGTCGTCGTTCTCGCTGCTCTCGCTGTCCTCCAACCCCGGGAGATCGTCAAATGATACGTTATTCTCCTGGAATCGCCGCTGGTCCTTCTCTACACGACTGGAGGCCCGGGCAACGCTTCGGGCAAAGGTCTTTCCATGGGAGAGCGGCACTTCCTCCCGTATCCCAGGCTTGCCCCCCATGTAATCCTCTCTGAGCGCCGTCAAGTCTAGGGTCAAGTTCGGCGTTCGTCTGGTGCGCGGTGGAGTTGTAGCGGCGGGGATGATTGGTGGCGGAGGGGCGGCCCTGTAGGCCACCAACGGCGGCATGATGTCCTCAGCAAACGTTGTCACAGGCGAAACACTGCCGGAACCCGAAGGAAACGTCTTAACAAACGGTGACTTGCGCCGCTTGTCGAAATCAATCTCATTGTTCTCATCTCGGATGACCCGGAAGTTTCCCGTAGCTTCAGGCATGCACGTTTGGATCGCCGCCGGACGTTTGTCCAGAGAGCTCGTGGCCAGACCAGAAGCAGGGGACAGACCAGGGGTAGCGGCAAGACTGGCAACCACGCCTGCGGTCACGATCGCAGACACCGCCGCAGTTGCCTCAAACTGCGACTTATATTGATGCAGCTTCTTGAAGTCAGTCTTCTCAGGGATCTGGTTGAGTCTCTCAAACTCCTTGAACTTAAAATAGTCTGTCTCCGCCGTTTTGGCCGTTCCCGTTAACAAGTACTGTGGGGTTGCGGGATACGAGTTGCCGTTTTCCTTGATCTCGAAAGAATGCGAGTCCGAGTAGTTATCGGAGCTGGCATCGTCCTTCCCCACCGAGAGGTAGCTGCGGTAGCTGTTAATTGATTTTGCCTCCGGAACACTCAACTTATTCGGGACAACCTTCACAAAGAGCTGGCCGTGACCCTGGAGCTGGTAGCCCGCATCATACAACCTGGCCAAGACGTCGTCCGGGAGCGCCGCGCCGACGGAGCCGGAAAGCGAACAGAGGTGAACGGTGTAGGAGCCCTTGGATAGATTGAAAAGAATTTCGGCGTTGTTTTTAAGGTCCACGTAGGAAGAGGATCGTGAGAGGTCGGTAAGCCGAAAGTTCAAGCCATCGGTTGTGATGAATACCAGCCGCGAATCGGAGGCGCTTTCGGGTAAGTAAATATCGTCCAATCGGGCCCCAGAACCCTGAAAAAGTACGGGGCTCTCGATCGTGGGCGAAATAGTGTGTGGAAGGCTTCGCTTGGGCATCTCTAGAAGCAAACTTTCCGGAAGGGTCGCGGCATCTCCCATGGAACGGTTATTTGTGGCAACGTCATTCCGAGCAGTCGTGATGGCTTCATTCCCCAATGAATGGCTTTTCTTCGCATGGGGGGTATCTGAGATCCTTCTTGTCTCGGAGCTTTTCACAGAATTACTCTTTTTGAGTTCCTTCATGCCGCTGGTGCCGATTTTCTTCAACTTCCCCAAGAACCCGCGCCGGTGATTGCCAGTAGATGACGTAGGTGTCGGCACTTCGGCCATCTCTGGGTCATGGTTGCCGAAGAAAGAACCGAATATCGACGTTTCGGACGATTGAGCCGGGTGTGGCCGGCGGAAGAGATTGGATGACTTGGAGGAGTCGTAGTATGACATTGGTCTTTGGTTTTTAATCACCTTGGAGTTGCGCGTGAGCGACGATCCGGGGGCAGGACCAGGCGCGGGGTTTTCGTCATGGGAGGTAGAGCGCCCGTGACTAGCGACAAAACGCTCGGATCCGGGCGACTCGGCCGAAACGTTACGGAATGGAAGGTTGGGGAGTGTCACGGCGGATGAGGGGGTTAGGATTTCGTCCTCGTCGCGGGGCAAGAGCACCTGAGGACCGAAGGTATGACCGAGGGGTGAAACACCCGAGGCGCCAACGGGAGAAATACCCAAGGCACCAACAGGGGAAATTTCCCCAAGGGTAGAAGCTCCGGGGGCCGGAGTAGCACTCATAGGTGAGACGGCTCCAGGCAAGGCGATACTTAGCGATCCAATGGTGCCAGGAGAGATGGCGTCAGGCGAGGCCCCCGGCTTTGGGATTTCCGTATGCATCCCCGTGGAGATATCGAGAACCGGCCTGGGTCCTCTATCCTTGTCCTCCTTTTCAATATAGATATGGGGGTCGAAGTTTCTTGGTTGCTCCTTAGGCATTTCTCTGGCGTGCACCACAAGTGACTCTTCGCGGTTGTACTCAAACGAATAGTTTGACGACGAGGTGTTGCTGCAGGTCTCGGCTTCAGGTTCAGCAAAGCTCGCGGCAAAACTAAAGGAGTGGGGCTCAAGGGCCTCGTGGGCCACAATGAGCGGATTGTGTGACAGTTTGACGATGGGGCGTGAGAGCTCCGACACATCCATTGAATTTTCGCTGTTGTTGCTAGAGTTGCGGTTGTGCTTGGGCACGCTGGTAATGGAGATGTGGGACGGCGTGATATAGATATGGCTGCGGCGTTTGACGGCATACTTTGAGTTTGGATCTTCGTTTTTAAGGTCCGAGCTGACGGAAACAAACGATGCATCGTCGAGGATGTCACTGTTGTTGCTCGGGTAGAAGCGGGGTGTGAGGTAGGCAGAATCGTTCGTCGTGTCGCCCGAGACATCTGCAGACTGTTGGCGTCGCGAGTAGTTTGAGGCGATTCGGCGTTCCATGGCTTCCGAAGCTATATATGGTGTCGATATGATGTAATCGTGGGGGTCGGTAACTGCTAAAAATACCCCAATAGGCCTGCATCGAGCGGATAAAAGTCGGATGTTTGAGGCTTGGAACAGCGTGTGCATATTAAGAACTAGCTACAGTTTTTGTTAGATTTATTCAGTTTTATTGGCTAATAAATGTAATGAGAGCGGTAGATTGCAATTCTTGGCGATTATTGAGGGGTTTATTTAGCAGAAAGGGTCTATTCTTCTCAATACCAGAGCTCGTGCTATCTCAAGAGGCACAGGTCCCGCAATAAAGCTGAGGACCGCAAATTCCGGGTCCAGTAGAAAATTGTCAATATATATGCTATAAATATATGGAATATGCAATAAATCCTCTTTGATATATATGCACCCGGCGACGCACGGGAAATACTTACAGTTCCGTGGCGTCGGTGTCAAGCATAGCCCCAGAACGACGATCATGAGGAGACGCTTCCAATACTAAATAGTGACATAACGCATACTATACGTCCTGTTATGTCAACCATGGCGACATAGCAGTGACAAGGCTGAGCAGCCTCTGAGCGGCTTGGTACTACGAATCGGGGTATTCCAGAATATTCTCCAACATAACTCCGTCACAAAAAGCTTGACTATTTGGAACCAAGATAGAAAGGCAATAAATCCTAGTGACAAAATTAAAGTTCCAACGGAACGGGAGGGAAAGCGAGTCGAATTTAGTAAATACTAGGTGTATACCCTTCCCGTGAAGAGTTCAAGACTAGTTTATGTAATATATGATTATAATCTAAGATTATAACTGTATTTGGATAAAATTCTTACCTAGTATCTAGTATACATTAGAGGCACCATTCAAGGCTTTCACAGTCCCCTATTGCCTCACAATATACCTTCTGCCCATTCCCAACCGCTTGCCCCGGGTTCTCTCGGCCAACGGAGGGAGTCGCGGCACGGACACAGACGCAGCTTCATCTGGCGGATTAGGGCACGGTATTTTGCGGCTATGGGAAAGGGTGACTTTTGTCGTTTCGGTCCCTGGGGCAAATTTCGGAGCGTTAGACATAAGCCGGAGTGGGACTGGTGGGGTCAGAAACCCGCCAAACTTTTGGACAACCACAGGAACACACGACCTGGCATAGGCTTTATATCCGTCAACAAACTTGGCCAACGCATGCTCTATCTGAGCTGCTTTCTCGTATTCATTCAGGACTTCAGTCACCTGGTGGTGCGTGTAGCCCACGAGCCCCATTAATGATTTCAATGCCTTCACATCCATTAAGGCCGTTTGCTGTTTCGCGCACCGCCCCGCTAAAGTGCCCATAAAGCGGGATTTGGCGACGGGGTTGGGCTTGCTATCAGCCTTGGAGAAGAAGCCGCGTTCCTCCGTTTTGTACGCCGAGAGATACAATAAGCGTCGGGCCCGGGTCACGGCTACGTAGAAGATTCGCCGCTCCTCGTTCACCGCGGTGGTGGGGTCGGTCTTTTCTGCCTCAGTTTTTGGATTGAGAGCCCATCTGGCGGGCAAGATGGTGTCGATTAAGTTGGGGATAAACACTACGTCCCACTCCAAACCCTTGGAGGCATGGATTGTGGAGATTGACACCTTTGGGGTTTCGTCTCCATCAGCCTTTGTTTCGTTGAAGATGTTGAGGGATAAAAAAAACAGGTCTAAAAAGGATTCTTCCGATTCACTTTCACCCAACGGTTGATCCGAGTCTTTCAACTTATCTTCAAAAATATCAATTTCGGTTAGCGGTGAAAACTCTTCCATGTGCTTCCGCACCTCCATCACATTGAGCTCCCGCTCCTGGCCATTATCTTCCTTCTCATAGTGCTGCTTCATGCCTGACTGAACATACACGTAATCAAACACCTTGAGCGCGTTGTGCTTCTGCAAATCTACCAACCCCTTCGGCCTGTCATTTAACACACGCACGGCTTCGTAGATCACCTCAAAGTAGGCCACCATGCCCAGCTGAATGGCTTTGGGCATACCGCTACCAAGCTCAGAACCATCCTGTAACTGCTCCTCGAGCTTTGCCAACGTTTTGGCACCGATCCCTCGCACGGGAAAATTGACGGTACGCAAGAAACTCAACTGGTTGAGCGTTCCAGCAGCCACACTCGCCACGACTTTAAGGTAGTCAAGCATCATCAACACTTCCTTGCGCTCCCAGAATGCACGGCCTTTGATAATAGTGTATGGGATACGACTTTGAAGGAGCTGGGTCTCGATGACCCGCGATTGGTAGGACGCACGGAGGAGGATTGCAATAGAGGCGTTCGGGAATAAGGCAGGCAAGCTGGGGGCCTTTTGCAGGAAAGAGCTTCCATCTAGCGGTATTTCCTTCGTCAAAAACCGGATCTGGTTCGCAATCCACTTGGCTTCGGCAGAGTTATCGCAAAGCTCGGAGTTGTATACACACGGAAACGAGACATCCATCTGGGAGTTCAACTGTGTGAGGAAGTCAGAGGTGTCGGCTTGCTTAAGCAACGCCTCGCTGAGCCCGAGAACGTCCTTTGTTGAACGGTAGTTCTCCTGTAGCTTCACCACCTGCACGTCACTGTAGAAGCCCCGCTCTGCAGAGCACATTATCTGGAAATTCTTTCCGTCAGATAGGGCGTCGCGGAAACCGTAGATCGACTGGTTGGGATCACCCACCACGGTAACATTTCCCGCACCACTGTACACTTCCTGCTCAACGTCAATGACCTCGGCGCCGCTGAACAACCTCATTAAATGCAACTGAATCAAGTTAGTGTCCTGGAACTCATCCACAAGCACGTGTTTGACTTTCCGAAGAATGCCGGGTCTAGCGGTGAGCAATGTGTAGGTGTTCAACAAGATGTCGTCAAAATCAAGCATGTTGTTCCGTTGGAGCTGATCCTGATACAGAGAGTAGATGCTCGCAAGATCGGGGTCGGAGTCCGTGAAGGACTGATGGGTCACACAGTTCGATTTAAGTGACGAAATACGCCGCAAGTAGCCCTTGCCTTCGTCTTTTTCAATCTTTATCTCGTTGCCTTTGCTCTTTCTGTGCTTGAACTCCTGAAGAGCCCTCTTCATCAACTCAGCCGAGTCGCGGTCGTCCGCAATAGTAAACCTGCCCAAGCCGATCGCCGACCCATACTTTTTAAGGATCCGAAGACAGATGCTATGGAAGGTTCCAATGAAGAGGCGCCCGAGATCGATCTCCGTGTGCTCGAGCATGTTCCGTAACCGCTCGAGCATCTCGTTGGCAGCCTTCTTCGTGAAGGTTGTCACGATCACTTCACTGGGGTCGAGACAGAACTTGAGGAGGAGGTATGCCACCCGCGAAGTGATCAATTTAGTTTTGCCCGTCCCTGGGCCCGCGATGATCTGCAACCGGCTGTTAGGGTCAAACGTGACGGCTGTGAGTTGTTCTGGGTTGAGCGTGGAGAGGATCATGGGGAGAGTGGGAGGAATGGCGTCCATGGTGGAAAATTATGGCAACTGGGGTGTCACAAATACGGATTGACGGTAGTTATGACAGGTTTAGAAGAAAGCAAAAAAATTGTAATAAATGGTGTTATATGGCAGTTGGCAGCAATTAGATGCTAAACAATAATCAAAGACACTTTTGGGGTTGAAAGTGGTATTGTGAGTGTTTAACTGTAAACGGTGGCGTCTATGGACGAAACGAATGTAAGCCGTATTGGTTTGACTGTAATATGGCCCAGACAGTAAAGATTAATATGGCGTTTGGTAACGGAATATTGTGCTTGAGGGTTTATCGCGGTCAGTAAGATATTTGACTATATCTCAAGGGTAACAGACTTATCTGCTCTTAACAGAAGGGCGAGTGGCGGCCAAATGTAAACAAAAGCCATAGGCCGATGCCGAAACCGTGCGGCTCACACTTCCATTCTTTAGTGTAGGGTGTGAGGTCGAAAGGTCAAATCATTATGACATTTCGAGGGAATATTTGTACGGATATCACAAAAGAAGCCATATGTGGGCTCTTATAACTCCAGTTGACCTTTAGCTGTGACACTATAGTGGGGGTGAGGAGCGGTGCCACATCTGGTACGTTCTGGTAAGGGTATTTTGAAGCTCCAAAGGCAGGTTTAACTTAGTTAAAACCAGGCTTAGACATCTAAATGAAGCCTGTGAGTATACTTTCCCACAGAAATAATAATATTCACAGTCTATCAGTGTTCCGATTCTCGGGACATTCCCAATATATATCCATTCATAAAAGCCTGATTTACGTGCGGCTCAAAGTTTTTTTACTAAGCCATTAATCAAGCGCCTGTTTCTGTTCCAATCACATACAGCTTGTAAAGTAACACCCAATGACATTCAACGAGATTCCCTTACTTATTGATGACAGCGGCAACCCCGTTGAAGATGTCAGCTCTGGTGCCATTGCCTCGGTCGACTCCACGGTCCAAGAGAAGCTTGATCTGGCCCCAGGTATTGCCCGTTCCGAGCAGAAATCCGCCTGGATAGACGATTCGGCCGTCCTTGAAAAGGTCCCCATCACAATAATTTCCGGCTACTTGGGTAGTGGAAAATCCACCTTACTCGATCATATTGCTTTGCGCAACAGCAACACCGGGAAGAAGTTTGCCATTATCGTAAACGAGTTTGGCAACTCCTCATTAATCGAAAAATCCAAATCCTTCAAAATCACCGCGGGCACCGAATCCTATGACGAATGGCTCGACCTCGGCAACGGGTGCTTGTGCTGTTCGGTGAAGGATACGGGGGTGGCGGCCATCGAGAACCTCTTGAGCCAGGAAAAAAAGTTTGACTACGTTTTATTGGAGACCAGCGGCGTGGCGGACCCCGGACCCATCGCCAATATGTTCTGGCTTGACGATGGGCTCAAGTCGAATGTTTATATAGATGGTGTGGTGGTGGTGGTTGATGCCAAGAATATTCTTGATTGCTTGAGTGATACCGACGGGCAGTGGCACAGGTCTAATAAACATATAGGGGAAGAAGCAGAACCGGTTGATGACGATGGTGTTTCCATGGCTCATGTCCAGATTTCCTTTGCGGATGTTATCTTGTTGAACAAGATTGACTTATTGGAGACTGAGCCAGACTACGACATCAAGTTAGAAACGATTAAAACCCACCTCCGCAAGCTCAACGGGTTAGCACAGATCCATGAAACCCGCTTCGGTGAGCTAGACAACTTGGACAAGATTTTGAACTTGAACGCCTTCACCCAGGCGAAGCTTCCAAAGGAGATTGCTCGCACCCATCACGATGAACGCATCGCCACTATCAGCTTCCAGTTTAACAGGATCCCGGCAGCCAAGGTGCCACAGATTGAGGCCTGTCTCCAGCACTTGCTCTGGGAGCATCCAGACTTGGATGGCTCCGGCAAAGAGTGGGAAATCTACCGTACCAAGGGGTTGGTGATCGTGGAGGGAGAAGAGGATACGTGGAAGATCATCCAGGGGGTTAGGGGGACATATGATATAATGGAGGGGGCTAATTTGGAGGCGGAATCCGACGGAAAGAGTGTCGTGGTGTTTATTGGAAAGCATTTGAGTGCGTACAGAGCTGCGATCGTGGCGCTCTTTGAGGAAATGACCGGGATTCCTGTGGTGTAGGGGAGGTGAATAGAAGTAGATTTAAGACTTAGCAGTGTAAGGTCTGCAGACAATCTCTTGAACAATAGCCAGAGTTGTATCCACGGAGGTTTATTCAAAAATATATAGGACGCCCTTCGGCTCGAATTTTTTTTCTGGGAAATAGACAAGGTTCACTAAAACAGGTGTATATTCAAGAGCATGGCCCAGAAAGCCACTAACAGCTTCGAAAAGTTCCTTCATTTCCCAACTACATTGGTTGCAAAAAAATGATAACCCATTGATTAAATCATATTCCTGGGAATGGTAATTTCCTTTACTAGTCAGGGAACTACGTGTTCAGGTTAGGACTTGTTCCTTAACCATGTGCCCTGGCTGTGCCACTTAATTAAGGATTTTGCACTTGGCAACCCCGCTGTCCAGCGGCAAACCGGCTGCAAAGTCTTGGATATAGAGGACACCCCTCCTATCCACAATATACAACCGATGTCCATTCTTGGAAAACCGTATGCTTGCGCTCTCGCGCATGCGGTACGCATTGGTGACCTCCGCCGCAATCACCACGCGGCGTGTTTCGTGGTGCATGTCTGGTGCGAGCATCACGTAAACCATACCATTGCGGTCAAGAAACGCGAGCGCATCTCCGCGCGGTGACACCGCAATCCGGTGGATTGTCGACCCCACTTCATCCACGCGCATCACCATCACCGGCTGCGCAATCTCATGGACCCCACGGATACTATCAATTTTTGTCCGTATAATGATCGGTGGCGCATTAAACGCAACCGACGACACAGCCATGAGCTTGTTATCCGGGAAGAACCGGATATCGGTGATTCCCTCGCTCTCCAACGAGGTGTCAAGCGAACGGAGCGACTTAAGGATCAAACGTGGGCTCTGTGAGTTCTCCACGCTGATCACCATAAACCGCAGCTCCAACACGGTCGAACACGCGAGATACTTCAGATCCAGCGAGAAGCTGAGCGAGTTGATGGGGTCGCGGTATGGAAGCGTGATCGTGATGGGCTCCACCTTCATGAGTAACGTCTCACCACCGATATTGCCGTACTTGAGCTGGTGGAGCACAATAAGTGTCTGTTCCGTTCCCGATAACCGCTCCTTGCCGGTGATCCCACACGCGACATACGTCTCATCCGGCGAAATGTCCACGCATCGGATCGGGAAACTAGAGCAGTATGTGTACACTGGAGTACCACGCAGCTCGAGGTCGATCACGCGCACCACACCACGCGTCCCTGCGATCACGAGGTGACGGTCTGATAACGCACAGTACAAGTGCTCCCATGACTTGAGCTTCTCGCGCGTGTCGGTACCGATCAAGATTGTATTCTGCGTACTGGGCATCTGAAGGCTTTCAAGATGCGTGCCATACTCACCTGTGGACTTGCCGCAACACACGAGCGTTGGCGCACGTGCGGGGTCCTCTGGGATCTCGTACACCTCCCAGCGCTTCTCCCCGAGCAACACAAACTTTCTCATATCCGGGGAAATGGCTGTTGCGATAAAGAGCTGCGACCGTGGCTTGAAGAACTTTTGGTGCGTAGCGTGCTGGTATTGTTTTCGATACATCGGAAAGCACTTGGCAAAGTTGTACTCTTTTCCTTCGTCACGGGAAGAAATTCCTGCGAGTTGTTTTGTTAGGTTGGAGGGGGAAATCGGAAAGTCTGAAGGTTTGTTGGCAGGCCTCGAATCGAGTTTGGAGATCGAGTCTCCGGTCAGTTTTGTGAAGGACCTAGAGTCCCCGGAGACTTGATTTGTGAGGAGGTTCGAGTACTTCGACTCTCCGGTGATTTGCCTTGTCACTGACAGTCGGGATTCCCAAGAGACTTGTTTGGTGAGTGATTTGGAGTCACCCGTGGTTTGCCTGGTGAGGTTGGGTTGCTTGGGGTTGACGCGCGTGTCAAACTCACGCACGTCGTCGCGTGGTGACGCCGCCTTCCACGCGAGCGCGGGTGCGTCCATACGCAGAATCGCCCACTCCTTCGGCGAGTGCGATAAAAGGCTCAGGTTGAGAGCGGCTTGCCAGTCATCGATATTGGAGCGTGGGGACGAGTCAAAGATCGGTGTTTCCGTCGACGTCACGTCGATATTCTCCGTGCTTTGCGCGCTCAGTGGTTTGATCTCGGTTTTCTCGGATTCACTCTTGGCAATATCGTAGAACAAGTTCATGAAGTTGGTAGCGTTCGGGGAGAAAGGCTGGGCGCTACGCCGCGAGCCCGATTTACCGCGCGCAATCTTGGGCGTGTCGCGCTCGCGCACAAGCCGGTATAACGCGCGGAGCGGCTCCACCGGCGCCAACACCTTCGTCTTGCTCTGCGAGCACACTGGACACGTGAGAAAGCCGCCGTTGACGAGAATGTTGGCGTACGACTCGGAGATCAAGCAGCCACACGTGAGCATCGAACAGTCGCCCACCAAGCTGCGCTCGACCGAGGTGGTCTGGAGCGCCGGTCGCGCGGGTAGATGCAAGAGTTCTTTGAGCTGTGCTAGCGACATTTAGTGGTAGATATTGTAATATGATGGAAATGTGGCAGCGCAGGGGCTTGAGGGTTTAGAATTGAGCGCGGGTGGGCTTGGGGATCTAGACTTATTGGAAGGTTGGCTTGAGCAAGGTGTCTAGAATTGGGAGGGCTGACTTGAGAAAGATCAATAGGTTATGAGTTGATTCTGCCTGGAAGGTTTCCTTGTTATTTGGGCTTACTGTTATGCTGGAACTTGGCTGTGAACCGTGACAGATACGCAGCGGTGTACTTTGGCGATGTAACACAGGGATTCTGACATAGATGGTGTTAGGCATCGCGCGCGCAAAGTCGTGTGCGGCAGATACAATCACTCCGCTCGCCGGTGCAGACTGGCGACATAACTAGCTCGAGGCGACACAGAGACATAGCATCACTTATCCTTCCATCAATCATGTCTGATTTTGCAAACTACACTGTTGAATTGTTCCTCAAGGATAATCAGCGGGTTGGCGGAACCGTAGCCCATGTGGCTGACCAGAAGGTTACCCTCAGTGACGGTATGTGCAGAAATGCAGGGGATTGGTGAGATAAGAGAGTGGCACGTTATTGGGACTATAGCCCGGTTGTCAAAGTCCGATCAACATCCAAGATGTTATGACAAAAGATAGCATGATAACCAGATGTGACAATACGAGACGATTGAATAGGATGTGACGGCAAAATGACTGTATAGTTCAATGGCGATATGACAACAACAACAAAAAAACAAAAAACAATATCAGACGATATCCAGATGAGAGGCCTGAAAAGTCACTGTTTACATTCTCATATTCTCAATCATGCCACATTTTCAAATCCCGGGCCGATCCCGAAGCAATCTTTCCCTCAGTACTAACCAATAGCCAAATTTTTACCTAACGGGAGTCACTTTCCTACCTTCACAGTAGAAGGAACCCACATCCAGGACTTAAAAGTGGTTAGCCTCCCAGCGAACATGAAGAGAAGGAAGGCGAAAACAAAAACAACCCTTGATGACGCAATCGTTTTCTCGTCCGCCACAATTCCCTCACCAGAATACCCGCCGGCCAAGCAACTCCAGGCCGTAAATACATCTAACCGCCGAAAGAATGCACGCGGGCCGCGCGCGACACTCATACAAGATGATCCTGATTGGGACACGGACGTTTCAGAATCCGTGGGCACTGATTTTGACTTCTCCTCCAATTTGAGGAAATTCGACAAACACCGTGTGTTCGAGGAGCTCCGTGCAAGCGATACGGTGGCGCACTCCGACCGGTTGGTTGGTCACAACAAACTTGATTCGCCGAAAACCAAGTACGAAAACACCGAGATGGTGTTGAATTTGCAGACGGATGGCTGGGACTCCAACGGGAACACCCGAGCCTCTACCCCATCGAAGAAAGATTTGCTGGCAAAACGTGGCAGCAAGGCTTCTGTGAGCGAGGCGTCCTCCGCCAACCTCCGCAAGCTCTTACATGGTAAGGAAGAGGTTCCGGTATGCTCGCCGATCCAGTTGCTCGAGATCGAAAGATTGAGCATTGAAAACTACAAGCTTTCGGCCGAAATTATGGCCGAAAACGCCGCGGTGAACTTGCAGTCGGTGGTGGTGGGCATCCTAGGAGGCTCCTCGCGTTTGGCGAGCTCGAACCACAACGCCCCACCGCTTGTGGTGTTGCTCGTGGGAAATAATAGAGCAGGGATTCGCACGTTGGCCTGTGGGCGCCACTTGAGCAACCGTGGGGTCCGGAGTGTCGCGTTTTTGCTTAACTCTGGGAGCAACAACGCGAGCCCTGACCGCAATGCCAACGAAGATGAAGAATTGGATTCGCACTTACGTTACCAGTTGAGCTTGTTCAAACTGTTCGGAGGACGGGTCTTCAACCAAATGGGTGCGTTGACATCGTTCTTGAAGAGCTTGGACTCGCCGGTCGAACTCATTGTGGACGGGTTGCAGGGTTTCGACTCGAACATCTCGGATTTGTGGGGCGCCGACTTGAAGTTGTGCACGGGGTTGATCACCTGGACGAACCAGCAGGCCTGCGGTAAGTTGTCGATCGATATTCCGTCTGGGCTTGACCCCGGATCCGGGCAGTTGACCTTGGACGACTTGCGTGTAGAGAGCAAGTGGGTGGTCAGTTGCGGCTTACCATTGAACGGGTTGCTCCAAGCATATAGGTTGCACTTTGACACTCAATGGATCCACTTTTTGGTGGATATCGGCGTCCCCACCGCTCTCTACAAGAAGGGGAGCTTCCGCAAGTTCGATCGCGTGTGGTTTACGGACGCCGGAGTTGCCCAGTTGAGTTTGTCGTAGGTTGTATCACTAGATGTATATTAGAATAAGATTATATTAATGGGAGGTGTAATTATTGGTCAATCGAAGGGAGTGCCAGGTATCGCAAAAGCCAGCATGAGAATATCAACCATACCGGTATTGGGCGTTGAATTGGTCTGGTTAACCGTATATCTCACAAAGTATGCGTGGCCAAGGCCCACGGATTAACTGATGAGTAGCGATCAAGGGCACATCCACTCGAAAATATATATCCTACCATGGCTACGATATGATAAGGGTTGTAGAGACTATGGTTAAGTAGCCTATAACCTAATATGCATGTCGAAAAAGGGTGCAGTCATGCATATAGGTCGCTTATATAAATGATTATTGTTTCAGCTACCCCTCAGGGAGTTAAATTTGTTCCAGTTCACAAGTCGATGTCTGGAGGTTGGTTCACCTCTACAATTCTGATGCTAAATTCTCTTTGACTTTCCCTAGAAGTTTGTTGACTTTTATGTATGGCCCTGCGTAAGCTAAAGCCCTAGTTTTTTTTTTACGTACGTTACCCGGATTGGTACATCCTGCGTGTTGTCTCCAGTGAAAAATTTTGAACGGGTATTTAAACTCCGGCGCCTGCTGGTTTTCATCAGCCGTTCAACCACAACCAATACGTTCACAAACGATTGGAGTACGAATGTGTATTACCAATAGGTATGTGTACCTTCTTATCACTTCGACATAACATTTCTTCATGTCACATTTTAATGATGAACAAACTACACAGACCTGTACTGATTGATAATGCTTGAAACTTATCAAATATGCAGATAAACGTGCTATACCTGACATTAAATGTACAAGGAATAAATATGTTGTGGAGTATTTGACACTTGAGCCATTTTCTAACACACTCTAGATTTACGTACCTTTAATACACCGGTATACTCCTAAAATTACCACAAAGCCTAATTGTAGAAAAGAGCGTGGACTATTGAGAACAGTGCCCCTCAGTTCGCGGAATTCCGTGCTCCAACAGAAAGCTCTCTATTCCTGCGTCAACTCCTGTTATACCTTTCCCGGTCTAACTTCCCTCTGACGTCCGATTACTCAGCTCTTTTCAGCAATGAAACGTCGGGAAATAATTTCTACTGACATCTACGAACTGCCAAATCTTCAAATGTGACTCCTCATACATCTTGTACGAAAGAACAGACATAGTATGGTGAACACAACAGATTAATGCTTATTCGTATTTCTAGACTAAATTTTCGGTCGAAAATAGCTCCATAGGGCCCAACGGCTTAGCGGGTTTGCCCCAGAAAGCATGCATCTCCAGGGTACATGCAATGTATTCATGTACATCGGTGAAATTTCAACCCGCAACTCTCACTATGGCTTTCATCCTGCTCTATGGGCCAACCAGAACTCGAAAATTATCGGGCTAACCTCTCTTGTCTCGAACTCCATTCTGTAAGCATTAAAATGAACAAGAGAACATGCCCCAGTTCGTCACCCTTCAAGCTCGACTCAAAGATCTCCACCACAACAGGGGTTACGAGCGTTGAGCGTGGGGAAAGATGGCAGAACATTGAGCCGGAGTACGCGCAGGATGACGATAGATCACTTTGGAGCCACAGCAAGACACTACTTAAGGCATCGCGTATCCTAGATCTTTTTTTCCTTTCTCCTCTCTGCAATTCTCACATATACAAAACACAATGTCTCCGCTCTCCTCCACTGTTAAGTTAAACTCCGGCCACTTGATGCCATTGGTCGGTTTCGGCTGCTGGAAGGTCAACAATAGTACCGCCGCTGACCAAATCTACAACGCCATCAAGACCGGTTACAGAGCCTTCGACGGTGCCCAGGACTACGGTAACGAGAAGGAAGTCGGTGATGGTATTAAGAGAGCCATCGCCGACGGCTTAGTCAAGAGAGAGGAATTGTTCATCATCTCCAAGTTGTGGAACAACTTCCACAAGCCAGCCAACGCCAAGATTGCTTTGAAGAGAACCTTGTCTGACTTGCAGTTGGACTACGTTGATTTGTTCTACATCCACTTCCCAATTGCCTTCAGCTTTGTGTCATTGGAAGAGAAGTACCCACCAGGTTTCTACTGCGGCGACGGTGACAACTTCAAGTTCGAAAACGTTTCCTTGGCCGAAACCTGGGGCGCTTTGGAATCCTTCGTCGACGAGGGTTTGGTCAAGTCCATTGGTATCTCCAACTTCAATGGCGCCTTAGTCTACGACTTGTTGAGAACCGCTAGAATCAGACCGGCTGCCTTGCAGATCGAGCACCACCCGTACTTGGTCCAGGACCGCTTGGTTGAATACGTTCAGTCTCAGGGCATCCAGATCGTCGGCTATTCTTCCTTCGGCCCGCAATCCTTCTTGGAATTGGGCCATGCCACCGCCAAGGACACCCCTACCTTGTTTGAGCACTCTACCATCAAGTCCATTGCCAACAAGCATTCCAAAAGCACCGCGCAGGTTTTGTTGAGATGGGCTACCCAGCGCAACATTGCCGTCATTCCAAAGTCCAACAACCCAGAAAGATTGTTGGCCAACTTGACCGTTGAAGACTTTGATTTGTCCAAAGAAGAAATTGCCGCCATTTCTGCCTTGGATGCTAACATTAGGTTCAATAACCCATGGGATTGGAACAACGCCAAGATTCCTATCTTTGTCTAAGCGGATCCGTTGACCAGATTTTCAGGAATATAAATCAATTATATAGGTGATTCAAATGTAGGTTAAGAGTGGGCATAATTACTCCACAACCAAATGGTGTGAAAATTAGGATCTGACATGCTCTAAGAATAGCGCAACCAAGAACTGGTTATCCATGCAGACTTCGAGAGCCATTTACACCATGACTGGTCGTCACAGATCAAAATAGTTATATAAACGATTCTAAATACCTCTCATTGCTCAGTCATGCTTCCACGCGGACAGAAATCAGTGCATGATACCAATATCTCACCAGGCCATGTTTAACAGCCCTATCTTACAAGCCGTTACATAAATACTTTTTTTTGAGCTATTTAAGACTCGTCTAGTTCATCCACCTTTTTATCTCGTTGGTTCCCAATAGGAACAGGCAAAACGTTTGCTTTGTTGGCAAGCTGTAAAATAGCACCAAGCTGGTCAACAAGATCAAACACATCACTGCTGGAGTTGGGCGCTTGGAGTAAGCCAGTCCCATGCATTGCCTGGTTGACTGATTGGCGCAACTGCAACAACGCGACGGAATTTTCGATTCTGGTAATCACATGGTTCAAGAAGGTAATGGTGTCAATTCCGGGCATCCGCTTCTTGATGACTTCATTGGTGTAAGAACTGAAAGTACTCTGCTTCTTGTATTCCTGCGACGGATCATGGATGCTCGCGCTTATTGCTTCCAAACGAAGCGAAGTCGAACGTAAAGAATTAGTAAACTCCGGGTTGAAGAATCCCTCCATGTTGCGTTGAATAACACTCTGTTGGAGATCATCGTCGTTGAATGAGAACCGCCCTATCAACTTCTCGGGATAGATCATATGGATAAACTCGGGTGTTTCAAGCCCCTTCAACTTTTTCTCTCCCAACTCTTCAAACTTATAACCAATCGTCTCGATCGCCGCAGCTTCGCGGTCAAGAAGCTCGCCAAAGGCGTCATCCCCATAAGCCTCCCCGTATGACAAGTGCTCTTTTTCAAGCTTCTTATGGGCGGCGTAGATCTTCTTCCACTCGTTAAAGAAGTCTGTACTAAGGGTAATCTGCCCACCGTCGGCAGTGGCAGAAACACGCGACGCACGATTAACCATCGGGCCAAAGTAGTCCATGCGTCGAGTGATGATATCACGCTCACACACTGGAGACCCCCAATGGGCCCCCATACGCACCGATATACCTCTGTAGATCACGTTTCCTTCAGCGTCAGTCACCTCATGACCCTCGCTGGAACTCAAGATCTCCGCCGGCCAGTCCTCCCGCAAGAGCTGCAACTGCACATTGAGACACCACAACAAGGCAGAGGAAGGGGTCGGGAAGGAAACCATAAACGCGTCACCCTCGGTTTTTACTTCGTACCCACCCACAATCCGCAACTGACGACGCATAACCTTATTGTGGATCTTGATGGCAGAACGCATCGCGATAGGAACAGTGTCCCATAACGTGGTGGAGTTCTTGATATCGGTAAACACCAATGCGAGTTCGCCCATCGGCGGCGGAATCTCCTCCTCTAACCGTCTGAGGGTGGAGTCCTCTGGGAACACGGATCTGTCCCTTCTCTTCTTGGTCATCAAAAGCTCCTCTTCGTTGAACGTAGAGGAAATTGCACTTAACGAGGACTTGGTCTTCTGCTTCCCCAAAGAAATCACAATAACGGTAATCTTTTCGTTTGAACCGTAGGAAATGGCGTAATCTCTCAACTTTTGAGCCGCGAGCATGGCATCCTTCTCTCTCCGGATGATATCCACAGCCACTTCGTACGCAATATGGTCCCACAAGCTCTTGGTGGCAATGATAATCGACTCGTCGGTATATGTGATGTCCACCTCACTGATGTCAGGGCCAGCATGGATATGCGGCAACAAGTCAACAAAGCCAATCGCCCGGGACACATCCACCACACCGTCCACCATACCGTTACTGGATACATATCCACCCCCGGCTCTGATCCTCTCAAACTCGTGGCGCTTAGTGGGGTCGTGTTTCACGGCCAAGGTCACGTATTCACCATTACCTCGGGCGAGCAACGCCATGGTGTCACCGATATTGGCAGTATAAAGCTTTTTGTCTTTAATGAACGCAACCGTCATACAGCAGCCGGTAAACACGTCCTTTTCATCGATAACAGTGGAGGTGGAGGATTGGTGGGCGAGCACCGAGTTGACAAACCCATCCTCGGACCTCAGCATCACCAATGTGTTAATCTCCTTGTTAGTTCTCAAGAAGGCACGGCGAATACCATCGGGGATGGTCTCAGTGCTCTTGACCTTACCTAATTCATCGGCCAAGATCGTGGAGAACGTTTCCTGGATGAGCTTAGCGATCTTGTGACCAGATTTCGGACTGTCGTTCTTACCGTCGTAGATCGCAACCAAGATTTCATCGTCATTACCTCTGAACCTCTCAATCAAGAGGTCACGGGTAGAGACATTGTCCCTGGAACCAAGAGTGTCCGCAATCCCGTAACCAATGTTACCGAACTCTGTCGCTGTTGTACGCACACGAAGGTCATAACTCTCGTCGGGAACCAAGGGAGTGGTGACGGTGACGTCAACCAACCCCAAAATCCGGAGCTTCTTCAACACTGTAAAGTCGTCCAAGTTCTCGTTGCTCTCGCCGTATCTGGAATTCAGATGGCTCTGGCGGATTTCCAACCGCTTGTTACCGGAAAAGTTCAAATACTTGAGATCCAAGTTCCAGTGCCAATTCCAGTCGTACGGCCAGTTGGAAATGTTGTACTTCAAGTGGTTGGACCCCACGTCAAGCACCTGCAAGTGCTTGATCTTACCGAGTTCGGCCGGGAGAGCGTGAAGCTTGTTCCCATTCAAGTGCAAGGTCTTTAACGCCTTCAAGTATTCAAAGTCGTCGGCCGGGAGACTCGCAAGCTCGTTCCCGGAGAGATACAAGTTAGTGAGCTTGCTCATGCGGCGGAGGGCGCCGTTCGGAATCTCGATAAGCTCATTGTACGACAAATCCAACGTCTTCAACTCGGTCAAGAGCGAGACACTCTCAAAAATTTCATCTGACAAGTTGTTGTCACCCATCTTGAGCACGAGTAACGACTCAGCAAGGGTCTGTTGCTGGTCGTTCGTCCAGGACGACCGCTCATCACTGGCGGATGATATGCTGCCCTTTTTCTTGCTGAGAGCGGTAAGAGGAGCTGCTGCTGAGTTCCGTCTGCTACTGTTCGGGCCCGCTAAGGTGGACGACTGCGACCAGTCCGACAGCCTGCGGGCCGACAAGTCGCTGAACGAAGCCTTCATTTGGGCTAGGGATACGGCAGAGTGGGCGCGGCCCATCACCGGTGTCGGTCTCGGGAACGAGTCCAAAGAGTTGGAGGAGAGATTGAGAATGTACAACGAGGACAACTGCCAGATGCTCTCGGGCAACGCCTGGAGGTTATTGGAGTGCAAGTCCAAGTACTGGAGCGAAGTCAAGCCGCCGATCTCCGCCGGGATGGACTCCAAGTTGTTAGCGTAGCATGAGAGGTACACCAACTTGGACAACCGGCCAATCTCCGACGGCATGCTGACCAAATGGTTCTTGTCCAACACCAATTTTTCAATGTTGGGAATCTTGGCAATGAACTCAACCGGCAACGACGTGATCTTGGCGCCAGACAAGTTCAAGACGGCCAATGATGGCAACACGTTCTCAAACTGGAGGTCGGTGATGGGGTTGCGGTCGAGATGGAACATCCGAAGCTTGTCCATACGATCGGAGAACTGACTGACCTTGTTTTTGGTGCTATACAAGACCTCCAACTTGGGCAACGAGCCCAACACGTCGATGTTGCTCAACTTGTTGTACTTGATGTTCAAGCTCTGTAATGAGACCAAGCTTTTGAATGCCAGGGGCAAGCCGTGGCTCAAACTGTTGGTGGAGAGATCTAACTTCTCCAACTTGGTCAACCCGGCAATGGAATCCGGCAAGTGGGTGAGCGAGTTGTAGGACAAGTCCAACTGCAAGAGTTTGGGGAGTTTGGTGATCGGCTCGGGGAATACGCTGAAATTGTTAGAAGACAAGTTCAACGTCTTGAGGTTCTTTAACTGCGCAATGGAGTCCGGCAAGGCGCTCAACCGGTTACACTTGAGCTCGAGCGTGGTCAACGACGAGAGAAGGTGGATGCGCTCGGGCACCTCGCGTATGAAGTTGCGCTCCAAGTCCAAGCGCGCGAGCGTGCGGATCTCGAGCAAGTTGGTGGGGAACGTGGCGGCGCGATTATTGACGAACGACACGGACTTGAGCTTGTCACAGGTCTGGAGGAAGTCCAAGGGAATGGTCATAGAGGCGTTGTTGGACACGTCCAAAGACTCGAGCTCGAACGCGTGGTCGTACAAGACGATGGGGATGGTTTTAAGGTTCATGTTGCGGAGGTTTACGTACAGGGGATCACGCCGGATGACGTCGTGCTCTTCGTCCGTCAATTTGCGCAACTCGTTTTTCACCAACACAAACTTGTACAAAAAGGATAAGTCCTCCCGGCCAATGATGCGCAAGTTGTCGCGCTCTGAGTAACCCGACAAGAGTAGCAACTGCGACTGGATGGTGACGGGACGCGAGTTGGGGTCCAACACCTTGGTGAGCCGCCCGATGCGAAGCCCGATCAAGTAGTTGGAAATATCCGGAATGAAGAACTTACGCCCAGCCATGGCCAACAACTCGGCCTCACACGTATCAAACGAACACAAGAGAGTGGCAAACGTATTGTCCTCACGGAACACGCGAATGATGTAGTTCCCTACCTGAGAGAGTTTCTTGGTGGAGGTGGCCACATGGCCCGTACTGGCGGTCGGGATCTTCTTGGTGATAGACTGCGACGGTGTGGCGCTGCTGACACTGCCACCCCTGCGACTGCCAGGACCGCTCTCGGAGCCCAGAGACGGCACGTCCGAGTTTTTGCGCAGCTGGTTGAATGGAAGATCCATCGGGCTCATGGTCATGGATGGCCCTCCGTTTACAGTGGTGGGCGACGTCGGCGTGATAGCGCGTCGGTTACCGAAGACAACTTGCACCGGCGCGTCGAGATACGGTCCGAGCGCCGATGAGAAAGACCCGTGCCGCCGGCTGTCGAACTGAAGGGTCTGCGAGTCGCTGGAGCCGGTGCTGGTGGCACTGTCCTTGCGTATCGCAGGGCTCTTGTCGCCATCAAGGCCCGCCTTTACGTCCCAGCTTTCTGGCGCCAGCCAGCCGCTCGCTAACAACGTGGCGGACGACTGCGGCTCCGCCACAACAAGCTCCTCCACCTTGGACCCGTGGCGCGCACTCACGCGGAACGCCGCGGTGTTATCCTCGCTACGGAGGTGATTGAAGTCGCTACTCGGCGCACGTGGGATGGACCCGGGTGGTCCGACAATACCCGCCATTTCGCTCAAATTGGTGTCGAGCTGGAACACATGCAGTGACCCGGTGTCTGTGAGAGTGGGCGTACCCTCGCGTGTGGACAGGGGCAGCGACTTGGGCTTGTGCGAGAGCTCGGGCCTCGCCTTTTCCAGGGCAGCCGGCTGTAAAAACCCCTGCAGCTGCGCACGGTTCACGTTCAACGGCCCGATGGACGCATGTCTGGGGCCTTTGGCGCCGTCCATTGAGTGGCTCAGTACCTCGGCTAGCGAAAGGTGCCGCGCCTTGGACAAGCGCTTGGCAATGGACGATACGGCGCTGGGTTTCAACTGGTTCGGGTCGTTGATGCCGGTGTTACTGCTAGTATTTTCAATGGGGCCCGCTTCCGAGTCTTTGCGGGCATAAAGGAACTTGCTCAAGATGGAGCTGCGCTTCTTCGGTGGTAACTTCTGGAACGTGTCAGTGATATGTGGCTTGGCGTGGAACCCCCGGTAGTTGTCTGGAACACCGCCCAAGTTGCTCATTCGCACGGGATCGGGACTGGTGGCGGTGGTGGTGGTGGGCGACGCAATCACGGACGCCTGACGGCCTTGGGGGAACGAGCCAAAGACCGGTGTGGTCGGCTGTTCTGTGTACTTGTCGTTGAAGTGGGGTACAACCGAGTTTTCTGCATTCTGATAGCCGGAAAAGTCTACTGTTACGGTTGCAATGTTATCCTCGTTGGTTATGCGGCTGGGTGGCGACGTGTTGGGTGACGTGAGCTGCTCCACAATGGAAGAAGTTGGGCGGTTGGACATTGCAAAGGAGGCGTACAGAGGGTTATAAGTTGGTAAGTAAAATCAAAGTCAGGATTAGCTGCCGTATAATTGACAGTTGGAGGGTGTGATAAGAGGAGGGGTGCAGATTTTGAGAGAAACGTTGGGCAAAGTGTAGGTTTGCGGGGAGGTTTGCAATTCTACCAATCGGTTTGCAAGTTTGCAAGTGGTATGAAGTGATGGAAAGATGGATGAGGTAATGAAAGGGTGTATAAGGTGATGGATGAGGTAATGAAAGGGTGTATAAGGTGATGGCAGAGGCTGAAATCACTTAGCTGAGACAGTTACGGGTATGGGGCTAAATGGGAGTACGCTCAAATTTCTCCTTGTACTCAAGCTTGCACTCCTGTAGCGCCCAGAAGGGAACGCCGGGAGGTTGCTACCGTATGCGGCAGTCAAGCATAGTCCGCGATCGGACGTATTACCCCGACGTGTGCCGAACCTCCGTGCTTCCTGAAGCAAACACGAGGCCAGTGGCCTGTGCAAATTTACTATTCTGGCTAAGATATATCTTGTTGGAAAAAACAAGCGGCTAGGATTTTTCATCCTATAGGCAGCGGGTCTATGGTTGCTTTATCCAATGAGTAAGCTTGATTGAATGCCAGTTGTCTTGAGCCCAGCACGGGTTAGACGCGGTTACTAGCGGTTATAACTTAAACGAGTTAAAGAAACTATAGATCGTGCATGGCCAACTTCTCCTATGTCTCAGACTGTCAACTTAGCGTTGACGTTGTGACGTATCTGGCTCTATCTATATAAGTCTCTTAGAACAGTTTATAATAAAACTAATCATTACTAAATTTCAAACCCCACGCCCATAGAATCCGTGGGTGCCGGATTGCTAGCCAGCCCCAGTGATACCCAACGTGCAGTCTAGGAAAATCTCTTTCCTCGTTTTCTAAATCCCATTTGAAATTGACAACATACATCTTTCGACGTCACGGAACTATCAACTCTCGTTATTGCCACACCTCCGTATACCTTTTCGATGGGTAAGTTGTTGAGCTCCTTATTTTGTTGTTCCGCTCCAGAGGAGGAACAGAAACCGCCGCCGAAACACACAGCCATCCGCCCCACTACCTCGCGGAACGTCCACCCCGTCAAATCGAACGTGTCCAAAACCGCCGTGTCATTACGCAAAGCCGTGGAGACGCGCAAACCGGACGAATTTGACGACGAGAAAGTGCAAAAATCAAAGGTGCGAGTCCTGAACACCGAGTTGGATAACTCGACGAACGAGTCAGAAAGTGCGGCACAGACGAATACAAACAACAGCCTGGAGACCAAGACAATGCCTGTAAAGTCCCTTAGCGACACAGACACCTCCCAGGTGCTCGCCTCAGTGAGCAATACGCCGCAACAGGAACTTGACCCCTATGACGACGAGGTTGCCGGCTTGGACCTTGTGTCACCGCAACCGGGCCAAGTGCTTGCCTCCTCCGGCTGGTTATTGGACCCACCCGCGGCGCAGTTCAGCCACAAAAAGTGTCTTGTGTTGGACTTGGACGAGACGTTGGTCCACTCGTCGTTCAAGTACCTCAGACAAGCGGACTTTGTGATCCCCGTGGAGATTGACAGCCAAGTGCACAACGTGTACGTGATCAAGAGACCGGGTGTGGACGAGTTTATCCGCCGTGTGGGTGAGATCTACGAGGTGGTGGTGTTCACTGCCTCGGTCTCGCGCTACGGAGATCCGTTGCTAGACAAGCTTGACATCGATAAGAACATCCACCATAGATTATTTAGAGAGAGCTGCTTCAATTACCAAGGAAACTACATCAAGAACCTTTCGCAGATGGGCCGGCCACTCAAGGACACGATTATTATCGACAACTCGCCTGCGTCGTATATCTTCCACCCGCAACACTCAGTACCGATCTCCTCGTGGTTCTCCGATACCCACGACAATGAGTTGTTGGACATCTTACCGTTCTTGGAAGACTTGGCGGAAAAGAAGGTGGATGACGTGAGTTTGGTGCTCGACGTGACCATCTAGCGAGATCCATTCACTTCGAGCTGGTCTCCACCATGTGAATTTGCCATACAGCTGCTGCCCTAAACGACTCTTGGCGCCCAGGAATGTCCTACTCCCTGTATTTCCCTTTTTGGCTTAAGAAACCGGGAGGGTTGTACCAACCATTCTGGCCTAAACCCACTCTCACACTTTTGCTGAATATTTCTTTTCCTTGTATCCTATAATTTGACCGTATTTTTTTCTCGATTGCACTGAGACCCCTAATGCTATGTCTCACAATAATAGCGATAATCTAAACCTTAATCCTGGCAATAGTCATCAAATCGGAGGAGCATGGCTACGAAAAGAGGCTCTGAACTGGAAGCTTAAACGGAGATGGATGTTAATTAACATTCTGCGATACTATCAGGTCAAACCAATACGGGAGTAACCATGAAAAGGAATCACTATATGCGTGTCAGAATAAGTGATGTTTTTTTAGCATCTTCCTAGATCAATCTGCCGAGTATTATTTATTTGTTTAAATCTGATACGTTAATTCTGTGCCCCCACTAATCTGGTTGGCTTAGGCTGTCTATGTAATCTCCATGCAGGTCATTCAAGAAAATTATGCACAGGAAATAGAAAGATTGTATGACCTTCTCTCCCAATCTCCCATAGGACCTTAAACATGTCATTACAGGATGAGTTGTTGGCCGATTTTGCAAGCAGTGATGAGTCAGATCCAGAATTGGCCGTGCCAACGGTGGATCTGATCGCAACAGAAGAAGTGACACAAGCGTTAAACGTCGATGTCGAAACGTATCTCAAGCAAGACAGAGAATTAACCACCCAGGATCTACTCAAACTGGTTGATTTGGGGCGTGTGTCTGACATAAAGTCGCTATCCAAGCTACAGCCCATCCTCGAACCGGTGCTTACCCAAATTGGCCGCTACGACGCTGAGGCCTCCGGTACGCGTGCTAACTTTTCGCAGGAGTACGAATTTCTCATTAAGTGCAATGACTTGTCGTCAGACATTATTGCCGAAATCCAGCTCATTCACAAACATGTGACGTTAGCGTATAGTCCTATCTTCCCAGAATTGGAGACATTTATCCAGAACCCAGTAATCTACTCGAAAACGGTGCGAGTGCTCAGCTGTGACCTCTCCTCGGTAGAGGATCCAATAAAGGTTGGGGAATTGAGGACTTTTTTATCCGGAGAGCAGGTGCTTGTTCTAACAATGGCTGCGCTCCAGCAGAAGAAACAAACGCACAACCTCCTTAATCAGATATCCACCCAGTTGATCATGGATATCTGCGATATGGTGATCGATTTGGAGCAGACACGGAATACCATCACACACTACGTCTCCTCGCGTCTCAGTCTCTTTGCCCCGAATATCACCACAATCGTGGGGTCGTACACCGCTGCCCAGCTCATCTCCGTGTTGGGCGGCCTCAAGACGCTCGCCGCTACGCCTTCGTGCAATATACCGTCCTTGGGAAGCAACCGCCAGATAGGGATTGGGTTTGGTAACGTGGGGGTTAGACAGAAGGGATTCTTGTACAACTGTGACATGGTACAGCAGTTTCCGGAGGATTTACGGAAGCAGGCCATGCGGATTATCAGCGGAAAGTTGGTTCTCGCCGCCAGAGTAGACTTGGCCAACTCTGCCACAAGTGCAGCGCAATCCAACAACAGCTTGGGAGTCAAGTGGAGACAAGAGATTATAGAGAAGCTCGAGAAGTTGGCTACGCCGCCAGATGACGTGGGCGTGAAGCCGCTCCCAATCCCGGTAGACACAACGTCGAAGAAGAGAGGTGGCCGGAGATACAGAAAGTTTAAGGAGCAGTTTGCAATGTCTGACTTGCAGAAAGCCGCGAATAGAATGGAGTTTGGCACAATGGAAACCACTGTCACCGATGCCTTTGGCCGAGATATCGGGTTGGGGATGGCAGCCAGACACGAAGCCGGCACTGGTAGGATTCGCAAGGCCAAGGCCGAAAGCAATAACAAGCCAAAGATGTCCAAGGCCATGGCTGAAAGATTAAAGTAGGATATATATTTTTCATTGATTTATATGCTTGTTCACCGAGTCCACAATCGAATCCTTTACGATACTGCCACACAATTTAGCGTACGGATTGACTTTCAGGGCTAACAGCCCTGTGAACTCATCTCCAAAGAATGCTGCCTGGTTCATAAGGTTGCTAGCGCTAACTTCGGCGGAAAAGATTATATCCAAGATTGGTTTGAGCGTCTCGGGGGCTAAGTTTTGAGCCCTATAACCGGCCGCAAGTCTCTCGAACCTCGCTGCACGATCCAAATACACGGCGGCAAGCTGCCCGTATGCCGCTGAAAGAATTCGAGCACCCCGGGCAGAGAGTTTGTATGTGACCTGATTTAACCCCGTGTTTGACTGCACCTCCTGTTCCGGCAAGGCCAACTCGATAGCCTTGTATAACAAACTTGTAATGTGTTTTTCTCTGAGTGAAATGACATTCAGAAGGGTGGCAGCGGTGTAGGATTCTTCCAGTTCGGGGATGGTATCGCCCACCAGCGTAGTGGACTCAAAGAGCAAGAGCAAGTAGCGCTCAATCTGGGCCACGTTGTTGTAAACGGAAGCATACTTTTGTCCCTTTCCGGAAGGATCGTTGAGGATCCGCGTCTCCAATATGGACTTGGAGCTCTGCAATTTAACTAGCGCATCCCGCTCCGTGGGAGAGATCAGATCGACTATCGAGATTGCCTCCACCTCAATTCTCAGGTACGCTTCAACAATGTTGGCATCCTCGACGTATCTTTCCGGGGGAAGGTTCATATCGATCATTACCCCGGTTTTGTAGTTGAAAATTATCTTTTTGTCTTCGTCAAAGAACAAGTCACGGGGGATATCCGCCTCTGAATATTTGGATGCAACCCCACCCATCTCCTTGTCGAAAAGGGTACAAAGTACCAACTTATCATGACTGTCCAAGGTAACCTTAGTTGCAGAAGCCATAGTTTTAAATGGTTTTGTATTGTCAGCAAAGAGTGAAACTATAACAGCTCAATATAAGTTGAAACCTTCAACGATAGGGACGGAACCAGCTTTAATAAAACAGACCATATTCACAATCATGGTTGAAAACCTATTTGAATAGCGTCTACATGCTTTTTGCATAACGACACAAAACCGCTTATGACGGACAGGAATCTATATTAATTAATTTTAAAAAATTACTTTATATAAACTTGGAATGGCAATTACTAGTTATGCACATAGATTTATCCATATATGATTTCAAACTCAAACTAGTATATATAGAGATATATACGCCCGTATATTCTAGATGTATATTCATAATAATTATACATATCTAGTCTGTGTTTATATCTGGATGGTTACCAATGGTAAAACTCCAAGTACGAAATCACAAGTCGGAAGGCGCACACCGTCCTGCATATATCTTATACAAGTCACCTGACCGCATCGCGTTTCTTTCTTTTTCTAGTAATTTTTTCCTCTTAAAAATTTAATGCAATAGGTAAGCACCCCTTCAACCCCAGACCCAGTTTCAACCACCATGAAGATCAAAACCATTTCCAGATCGGCAGACAACTATGTCCCAATCCGTAACACCCAGGAATCCTCTTTACCAAGAAACTTGAACCCTGCATTGCACCCGTTCGAGCGTGCGAGGGAGTACACCAGAGCGCTTACCGCGACCAAGATGGAGAGAATGTTTGCGCAGCCGTTCGTGGGCGATTTGGGAAAAGGCCACCGCGACGGTGTGTATTGTATTGCCAAGAATTTGTCCACCTTGAACGCTGTGGCCACTGGTTCCGGTGACGGTGTCATCAAGTACTGGGACATGGCTATCCGCGACGAGTCTGCCTCCTTCAAGGCCCATTACGGGACGGTTGCTGGGTTAGTTGTTACTCCACAGTCCCAGATGTTGTCGTGTGGTGCCGATAAGACCATCAAGTTGTGGTCCGTGAACTCTGCCGACTACCGCGGGGTGGATGACCAGGAGATCAGCAACAAGCGCGGCACCAATGGGTTGCTCAAGACCTACTTGGGCGAGCACTCGTTCCAGTCGATCGACCACCATCGCAAGGAGTCAATGTTTGTCACCGGTGGGGCAGAGATCCAGTTGTGGGACGCCAGCCGCAGCAAGCCGGTCACCAACCTCTCGTGGGGCTCCGATAACATCACTGCTGTGAAGTTTAACATGACCGAGACAAACATTATTGCGTCTGCTGGTTCCGACAGATCCGTGGTGTTGTACGACATCCGAACCAACACGCCTACACAGAAGATGGTGGCTACGATGAGAACCAACGCCATCGCCTGGAACCCGATGGAGGCCTTCAACTTTGCAACCGCATCCGAAGATCACAACGGGTACTTGTGGGACATGAGAAACTTGTCGCGCTCGTTGAACGTGTACAAGGACCACGTCGCGGCTGTGATGGACATTGACTTCAGCCCGACCGGTGAAGAGTTGGTCACCGGTTCCTACGATAAGACCATCCGTATCTTCAAGACTCGCGACGGACACTCCAGGGACATCTACCATACCAAGAGAATGCAGCGTGTGTTCTGTACAAAGTTCTCCATGGACGCCAAGTATATTCTCACCGGGTCTGACGACGGGAATGTGCGTTTGTGGAGATCCAACGCGTCTGCCAGATCGCTGGTCAAGTCTACCAGAGAGCGCAACAAGCTCGAGTATGACGAGGCGTTGAAGGACAGATACAAGCACATGCCGGAGATTAAGAGAATCGCCAGACACAGACACGTTCCGATCGCCGTCAAGAGTGCGGGAGAGATCAAGCGTGTGGAGATGGAGGCGTTGAAGAAGAGGGTCGACAACCAGAGAAGACACAGCAAGCCGGGTGCCGTCAAGTACAAGAGCGAGAGGAGCAAACACATTATTGGAACCGCCCATGGCCACCGCGACGACAAATAGGATCTTGGGTTTGACCGGGCGTGTATGTATATTAATCAAATGTAAAATGGATAAAATGATGGAAACATAGGAACCAGAAAACGTATACCAGTCGTTAATGCAAGGAGATATCCAAGCAGACGTATGTTAGGTCAATGGTTTATAATCAGTCTATTTTGCTCAGCGTTACACCATTCATATGTTTGAGTTTTACAGATATCTTAGATCAACGGACCAAGATTTTAAATTCCCACTCCCCTGTAATTAAATGTGCTAGCGATTGCAGGGGATTAAATCTGTGGAGGGATTTACGTTTCTACTGTTAGGGCCAAGCAAAACACAGCTATAAAAGTTAATAGTTTGCAAAACACGTGTAAAGGGTCGTCTTGTATGTATGGAAGAGACTATAGTACAGCTACCCTAAGACTGACTCACTCTAATGCTAGAACCATTTCCCGGAGAAAAAAAAAGAGTCATAAGGACCAGGTGAGCCTGAAAATGCTAAACCTTATTGAATGATGCGGTGAAAATAGGAGTCGCAGACGTTCACACCCAGTCCTTCTGTCTTAAACGCAAGAGTAAAATATTCAGGGCAAAACAGCCTTTTAATTAATAACCAGAGCAGTGTATGAATAGGGCAGTACTGCGAAAAATGCCCAGGATGTCGACATAACTCACCATGCTCCATTGGCTAAAAAAAAAAAAGTCTATGGTTACATATCAATGTAAAAAAACCATACCGTGATCAAGTTCCCGATCCCGACTGAATTATTATCCGACCAGAGCTGTGGGTTAAATTGTTAGTCCATCAAACCATGCCGGTCGGACCTAAAGCTCTATACAGGCTCTTGCGACCCTGACTCACTTCTCGAGACGCAAATTTCATAGCCGTCTAAAGACGCGCAATGATGAAATGACTCATGGTGGCAATAAATCTAGCTTAGCTACTAGGCCCGTAGACACATATTTTCCAATACCGTAAAAGATTCAGTTACTCGACACGCTATCCCTGGGTGTCATAGGTGGAGTGTAGCACCGTTACCCGGCTTCAGTCGCACTTTTTCTTTGACGTCAATGGATTTTGCAAAACCACACGCTGATACCACTATGTTTTTGTTGCGAGCGAATATATATAAGACCGCTGTTCGCATTCACACACCTCGACTCTTTAGCATCAAAATGTCCGACATCCCAGAAGCGCCAAAAATGAAGACCGCCAAAGAGATCGAAAGAGACCTCAAAAAGGCCGAGAAGCTCGCCAAGTTCGAGGCAAAAAAGAAGAAGCAGGACGCGGCCAAGACCGCCGCGGCCACCACCGCCAAGCCAAAGAAGGAAAAGAAGGTCGAGGAGCCAGTGCCACAATTTGTGGACCAGACCAAGCCAGGCGAGAAGAAGATCTTGATTCCCTTCGAAGATCCTTCCTTTAAGGCCTACAACCCACAAAACATCGAGTCCTCTTGGTACTCGTGGTGGGATTCGCAGGGTTTCCATGCCCCCGAGTTCACTGCCTCCGGTGATATCAAGCCAGAGGGCGCGTTCACCATCCCAGCACCACCGCCAAACGTCACCGGTGCCTTGCACATCGGACACGCGTTGACCATCGCCATCCAGGACACCTTGATTAGATACAACCGAATGAAGGGCAAGACCACGTTGTTCATTCCAGGCTTTGATCATGCCGGTATTGCTACCCAGTCCGTCGTTGAGAAGCAGTTGGCGAAGCAGGGCTTGAGCAGACACGACTTGGGTCGTGAAAAGTTTGTTGAGAAGGTCTGGGAGTGGAAAGAGGAGTATCATGGCAAGATCAAGAACCAGGTTAAGAAACTTGGTGCGTCCTACGACTGGACCAGAGAGGCGTTCACCTTGGACGACGCGCGTTCTGAGGCCGTTGTCGAGGCTTTTGTTCGTCTCCACGATGACGGAACCATCTACAGAGCGTCCCGTTTGGTCAACTGGTCCGTCAAGTTGAACACTGCCATCTCTAACTTGGAGGTTGACAACAAGACCGTTCCAGGCAGAACTTTGTTGGCCGTGCCAGGCTATGATGAGAAGATCGAGTTCGGTGTGTTGACCTCGTTCGCCTACCAGGTCGAAGGCTCTGACGAGAAGTTGGTTGTCGCTACCACCAGACCGGAAACCATCTTCGGTGACACCGGTGTGGCTGTACACCCAGACGACGCCAGATACAAGCACTTGCACGGAAAGTTCGTCTTCCACCCATTCTTGGACAAGAAGATCCCTATTGTCTGCGACAAGGAGGCAGTTGACATGGAGTTTGGTACCGGTGCTGTCAAGATCACTCCCGGCCACGACAACAACGATTACGCCACCGGTAAGCGCCAGGGCCTCGAGGTGGTCAACATCTTGACCGACGACGGTTTGTTGAACGAGAACTGTGGCGAATGGGAAGGCATAAAGAGATTCGACGCCAGGGCCAAGGTCATTAACTCTTTGAAGAGCAAGGGCTTGTTCGTTGAACAGCAGGACAATGAGATGACCATCCCGACCTGCTCGAGATCCGGCGACATTATCGAGCCGTACTTGAAGCCGCAGTGGTGGGTGTCTCAGAGCGACATGGCTAAGGAAGCCATCAAGGCCGTCAGAAGCGGTGCCATCACCATCACTCCGAAGTCCTCCGAGTCTGAGTACTTCCACTGGATGGAAAACATCCAGGATTGGTGTATTTCCCGTCAGTTGTGGTGGGGCCACAGATGCCCGGTTTATCTTGTGAAGATGGACGGCTCAGAAGATGACAACTCTTTGGACAACAACTACTGGGTCGCTGGTAGATCGTTGGAGGAAGCCCAACAGAAGGCCAACATCAAGTTCGCGGGCAAGAAGTTCACCTTGGAACAGGATGAGGATGTGTTGGACACCTGGTTCTCCTCCGGGTTGTGGCCGTTCACCACTGTCGGCTGGCCTAACACCCAGGCCGAAGACTTTAAGCGCTTCTACCCGTTGTCCATGTTGGAGACCGGTTGGGATATTTTATTCTTCTGGGTTTCCCGTATGATCTTGTTGAGTTTGAAGTTGACCGGCGAGATTCCTTTCAAAGAGGTCTTCTGCCATTCATTGGTCAGAGATGCCCAGGGCAGAAAAATGTCCAAGTCTTTGGGCAACGTTGTGGATCCTTTGGATGTTATTGCCGGGATTCCGTTGCAGCAGTTGCACGACAAGTTGAAGGGCGGTAACTTGGACCCAAGCGAGCTTATCAGGGCCGAGGAGGGCCAGAAGCAATCATATCCAAACGGTATTCCAGAGTGCGGTACTGACGCCTTGAGATTCGCCTTGTGTGCCTACACTACCGGTGGCAGAGATATCAACTTGGACATTATGCGTGTCGAAGGCTACCGTAAGTTCTGTAACAAGATCTACCAGGCTACCAAGTTTGCGTTGATGCGTCTTGGCGACGACTACGTGCCACCGGCTGCCAAGGGCTTGACCGGCAAGGAGTCTTTGGTTGAAAAGTGGATCTTGCACAAGTTGAACATGACCAGCAAGTCTGTCAACGACGCGTTGGATGCGCGTGACTTCCTCACTTCCACCACCGCCATCTACGACTTCTGGTACGACTTGTGTGACGTCTACATCGAAAACTCCAAGTACTTGATCTTGGAGGGTTCCGAGGAGCAGAAGAAGTCTGCCCGTGACACCTTGTACACCTGTACCGACGGTGCGTTGAGATTGATCCACCCATTCATGCCGTTCCTCACCGAAGAGATGTGGCAGAGATTGCCAAAGCGCGCTTCGGAGACTTCCGAGACCATCGTCACGGCTGCTTACCCAGTGTACAGCGCCTCCATGGATGACTCCGAGGCTTACAAGTCTTATGAGATGGTGTTGGAAATCACCAAGGGTGCTAGATCCTTGTTGTCCCAATACAACATTTTGAAGAACGGTCAGATCTTTGTGGAGGCCACCACCAGCGAGATCTACACTGTCGCCTCCAAGCAGCAGGACTCCATTGTCTCTTTGATTAAGGCCGTCGAGCACATTACCGTTGTCAAAGATGCCTCCCAGGTTCCAGAGGGCTGTGCCTTGCAATCCGTTACTCCAGAGTGCAGCGTCCACGTTTTGGTCAAGGGCCAGGTCGACATCGGTGCCGAGATCGCCAAGATTCAGAGTAAGTTGGCCAAAGCCGCCAAGGCTAAGGAAGCCATTGTCAAGACTATCAACGGTAAGGACTATGCTGAAAAGGCCTCTGATTCCGCCAAGGAGTTAAACCAGACCCGTCTCGAAGCTACCGTCGCTGACATCGAAACATTGGAAGCTACCATCTCCAACTTGGAGCGTCTTAAGTTGTAGATATCTTTTTTTGTTTAATCTGTGTATATGAAAATGTATGAACCACGATTCATAATTTATAATTAGGTTTATAATGTATGATCCATAATTTATAACTGAACCTGTAAATGCGATAGACATTACATGTTCACACCCCCCATTTTCTACAACAGAAACTCGCACCGTTTCTTAACGTTATGCATTAAAATCAACTATACATTCTAGGAAAAAATGCTTCTTTGGGCGCTGCTTTTGTTCGCCAATTCCTCGGCTTCACTATCCTCCTCGTCCACAATGTTGATGCTGAAACGCTTCATAAACTTTGATTTCAAGTGCTCCTCGTCCACCCTCGCAGACTTACGATCACTTGGGCTGAGGGATTGCACCTCTAGCTCCACCTTCGGGAGAGGGGGCTGACCAACCAAGCTCCCGCGGCGCGATTGAATCTTGCCGGCGCCCACCATCAACGAGGTAGTGCCTCTGATCTTGGAGGTGGAGAAGGATGTGGCCGGCACCACGCTCTTCGCACGGTCGCTGTACAGAAACGACAGGTGTCTCTGGTACTTTGGCTTGGCTGCAGCCTTGACGTCAAACGTAGTCTCACTATCCACCCCTGCGGCTTCCAACCCCATCAATCGTCTCTGCTTCTCGGTAAGGTCGGTAATTTTGGGGTTGGGAGCCTGTTTCTGAAGTACCACAACCGCGCAACTGATAATATTGTAGCAGAACAATCCGACAAGCGCCCAGTATGCGTACTGGCACAATGCTGTACCCGCTTCGAGGAGCTCAGAGTCGACTCGCGAGTGGTAGATGAACTCCTGGATGGGGCGCAAGCTCGCAACCTTTGTAAGAAGGTGCACTGCCATGACGAGGAGCACGTTGACCACAAGCTTGCGGCCCGCCATCTCCTTGTTCACGAGGTTGTGCTGCACTTCCGCCATCAACGGATGCGACCACTCGCCGGTGGGTAAGTTGTCTTCTAGTGCCGACAGTGGAAGGGAATCGAGCGGTGCTTCCAGATATAATGCAGAGGTGGGGAAGAGCATCACTGGGACGGTCTCCCGCGAGACCGGCGGCGACTGAAGCTGCGACTGACGGGGGAGTGACAGAGAATGAACCGGCGACTTAGCGCGGCTAAAACTGCTGGTAAAGGCTGATGACTTGACTCCACTGAGAACGGTGCGTTTTGGGGTCACAGGAGAGCTCCGCTGGTTTTCAGACACAAACGGTGACACCTTGGCAAACTGCGTGAAGTTGAAGGGGCTCTTCATGGCACTCAGGTCGAACGAGAGCGGGGATTTAGCGCTCTTCGACCGGGCATAGGGCGACTGCGCAGGGTCACGGAGCGGCGTACTGAGTAACGGGTTCAACAGCGGCGTTTGCACCGACTTGATCCCCGCAAACGACGTGTTGGCGCTAGCATACTCCGAATCGGCGTCAACGGGCGTGCTCTTGAGGAGCCGTTTAGAGATGGGCGTCCCAGGCTGGCTCTTTATCGGCGTGGAAAAAGAATGGAACGGCAAAGACATTGCACGTGGAGAGGGTGGTATGAGCAGGGGAAGGGTGGTATGACACTGGCCAGTGCCGTTTTGATCCAAGTTTTTTTTGACATCGCAACATCGGGTGTGTGCGTATACCATGGAAAGCGTGAAAGTCACGTGTATAGTACAAGCCCCCTTGTGCAGTCATGTAAGGGTTGCCGGTTTAATCTATCAGGTGGGATGTCGATTTGATTCCACAGAGGATGTTAAAAAACTAGAAACCCCCCTCCCCCCCCCCCAAAAAAAAAAAAAAAAAAAAAGTAATGCTCTAGCTTTGTGTAAAGTGGTTATCAGGCGTGGAGGCTGGATGAGAATAACATCAAGAGACTGAAAAAAGATAAGCGAGATAGCTACCGGCAGATCAACGATACTTGCTTTCGACGCTTAATCCTCAGACGAAAGGATCTATGCTACTGGATAAAATAAAATAAACTAAAAATTACCTGAATGGAGTGTTTTTGGCCTGCTCCAATATAAATCAATGACATGAGATAGCCATCTCCTCGGCCTTGTTGGTCTGCTGGGCAGAGCGGTAGACACACGCCGAAAGTGCGGCCACGTTACCAATACATCGATCTGGTACTCGATCCACCACCCGTTAGTCTACAATCACACTCGTCGTTTAACATGAATTCTCCATTCTCGATCTAACCTAATATCAGTCTTTCACAACCTATTCCATTTGTCATACCTACCCTTTAATGTTCAACTTACGCAATCTTCTTCGGTTGCCGCAGTCGCTAAAGCACAGCCTCACCCACACAGCATCGTACCAAGCGCTAAGTAGCCCCAACGGGGATGCCCCCACGATGCCGCTCCGCCTTGTACTTCAGGTTCTCGCAATCCAGCTCTTCTACTACACCACTGCTTTCCTTCTCATTGGCATGGTAGCGCTTCTCCTGGGCTGGGTGGGGGCCGACCCGGCGTTTTCCGTGGAATGGATCCTTGCACCGTCAGTGATCCTCCGTTCGATCTCAAACACCCGCACGCTCACACTCATCGGCTGCTGGTGTCTCATAGACGTGCTCACGGTGTGTTTCATGTCACTCATTCTCCAGTCGCGCTCGAAGATCGTCTGGGACTTGGCCTTATCCTTGCACATCATCAATGTGCTCGTTGATTGGTTTTACTTGGGCACTTTCCCCTCGCTCTGGACAGACACTGAGTGGTGGATCTGGGAGCTTGTCAGCTGTGGCGCAATGATCTTGGCAAGCGTGCTATTGAGCCGCTGGTCCGAAGTACGCGAGGGCTTCTTTGACGGATTGCTCGACACCCCCGCCAAGACCCCGCGCCAACCAGACATTGAAATGGGTGTAGTTACCACCTCGCAACAATAATCACAGGCTCAAGCATACTCAAAAGTGTATAAACATTCAATCGTATATTGGTAAAATCCGAGAGTGAGAGGATTTGTGTATAAAAAAAAAGCTCGAAGCTGGACTTCCTGGTCTTGGAAATAGTTAATGTAAGGTTTAAAGTTAAATTCAATCTCTAGCTTAAAACCAGGTGCTTGAAAAATAGTACGACGAGCTTCACAGGGCAAGGTTTCCCGATAATCTCCCCATCTGAAAGGGCACCGAGAGCTGTATGTAAGAGTACGTAGCCAATTGACAATCCTTTACAAGATGCAACCCATTATATGGCTCAGATAAGGTGGATTTTCTAGCCTTATGCTCTAAATATAGAGAAACCATTATTTGGCTATTCGATATCTGCCCCTGCTCGTATACTAAGATGTGCCTTATGGCCATCTTCAACCATTCGCAATAAATCCCACCTGGGTACTTTCATTCCCTGCCGTGGCAGACTCTATTAGGAAAGTGCCGGGGATTTTCAGATTGCTGCCTGAATTCAATTCCAAGGTGCTTTGCAGGATCATAAATTGCTTGTAAAAGTATCTCCCTCCCCACTCCAATTTGGAGACACGGACCCATACACAGTTGTCAGCGCTGACCTGCTCTTATCTCTTAGCAACGCACGGGTCTCTCTAGCGGTTCCGTCACGGCGCTCCTCATCCTCCTCTGGATAAAACTTGCTGGAAATCATGTTGTCCACAATGATGTATCCTATACCGTTCATGATCATAGGAAATACCAAGATCACAAAGAACACACGCACATCGCCTGAAAGCCCGTCTAGCCACCATAAGCACCAGAGCAGAAAGAACTCGATCAACCCGGGAAACACAAGCAACATGCTGAAAATGCTGAACTTGGTCATGAGCACCGCGGAGCAGTAGACAGACAACTGTTTCATGTACCACGAGAACCTCGGCTTGGGAGAGCCGTACTGTCCCGAGGTTATGGACGCGTGCTGCTCTTGCGGTAGATACCGGTATAAGAGATAGTAGATGAGCTTCAATGTTTGGTAGAGAACAAACACCCCCACCGTTGTGTCAAAGAGTGTGTTGAGAAAGTACCAATCACAGGGATCATCATCCCCGGCAACCGGACCTGAAACCGGTTTTCCCCGGGACTTTTTCTTTCGCCCTTCAAAGAGAACCAGTCTTACAGATATAGGGGTGTCTGGGTCGTGGAAAACGCTGCCAAAGAGATTCACAAAATGGACCAAGCAGGACCCACACAACTGTTTCAGGATATCAAACCACCAGATAAGCCATGGCCTTCGGGGCGTCTCGTATTGGCGTTTGATGACCAAAGTGGAGAGGGAGGCAACCGCCATAAGCGATTGGATGATGAGGGATGTAGGGCCTAGAAGCTCGCACTGGGCATCGCTCTGAGGCACCGTGCCATTTGTAAAGATGCTAAAGTCCATGTGTAGTAGTAAGGACTGGTATTTGTCTATAGGGGTGAGAAGGGTTCAGGTATCGAAGGCGTTGAAAGTATGCCACATGCGTCATGACTGATAGCAACGTATCCGGCAGATTGGCAGACGCTGTCCCAATGCGGAAAAATAAGAGGCCAGAGTTATATCCATGATACGGGCGTAACGTATTGGCAGCCCAACAAAAGGGTAATAGTTTGAGTTTAAAGATGTGTGGTTTTGGAATGACTTGAATTGAGGAAGAGATTCGGAGTGTAGATTTAATGAGAGGGAAATATCATCAAACTCGTTGCGTGCACCCACCCCCGCTGGATTTAAAATGGGCTATCTGTGGTATATCTCTACCTCAAGGGTAGAATATCTACTTATAGTAATAAGTAATACTGGTTACCTCTATAATGTATATAGGATAAAGGAGGGAGGGATCGACCTCCTTATATAGAATATTGACCCCTATCACGTGACAGCTACACGCTTACTACACTATCGCAGGTTTATAAACACCTAATGAACATCCATATACCCCACTCCTCGCAGATAAATACCCTATTTAAACGATTCTACAGGTTTGAGGCAGAATATTTCACCAGAAATTTCATCCCTACATTATCCATAACCAGTTTAGCTTCCCTCCACCTACTCAATCCATAAATCTACTTATCCTTCCACAGTCCTTCATTTCCTCTCCTTCGCTGTACTCAGCTACACTTTTTTTTAAAAAAAAACACTTTTATAAAATACACTAACTGTAGAAATACCCCGCCTTCTGCAAGGCCATCAACTCGTCCAAGTCGTATACATCGTCATCCAACGGCTTGGCGCTCACGCTCTCAGGTAAATCGTCGTCATTCAACTGCAATAACTGGATGTTCTTGCGCAAGTCCTCCAACATGGAGATCTGGTTGGCGGTGTCTTCCGATAACTCGTTGGCGGTGTCGGGCACGGAGTAGGTGCTGATACCTGCAATGACAGAGTTGCGCACGGAGTTGGCGGTGGAGGCGGCGGTGGAGCTGTGACCACCGGCAGTGACGCCACCGGCCGTGCACAACACCCGCAAGCCATCCACCCACACAAAAGAAGACTCTTTTGTGTCAACGTAGAACTCAAACAACAACTTCTCCTGCTTGACACCGGAGCCAGCCGTACCCGTGGTCATCACCGAAGCCCCAGAAGATGCCACCGTTGCTGTACGACCCCACAAGCTGATCAACTCGTAGGACGTCCGACTGATAATGTTGATCAAGTGAGGTGAGGCCATTGGCACGCCAGACTCCTGTTCGATCTTACGGGTCTTGACGTTGTACACGTTCTTCAACTCGATGGCCTTGACCCCGGGGGTGTTGAGGTCAAGCGACGGCTTATTAGAGGTTTTAAAGTCGTAGGTCTTGTAGTAGAGGAGCTTACGGTCTGGCGAGAGGGCAATGTAGTAGTACAGGGCCTTCTTGGAGGCCGCGCTGGCAGTCACCGAGCTGGCTATGGTGCTGGAGGATGCGGGCGGCGCTGCTTTAGCCAACGGATTTGAAACAAACACCCAACTGCCCTTCAATAACTGCAACACACGCTGCTCTCTGACAAAGTCAAACACCTCAGAAGACAACTTTTCGTTGAACTGGCCCAACTCGCCGCTCCACAAGTCAAACTTGTGTTTCTTGAACTTAGCCAACTGGATCTTGCGCAACTCGTCGTAGGTGATGTCGTTTAAGAGCTTGAGCTCGTCAACCACGAAGAGCTGACCCCCGCGCGCGAGGATGGTCTCGTCACAGTACTCGTAAAGAATCGTGATGAGCGACACAATGGTGCGCAAGTCCAGGGCGGTGGCCTTGGAAATGTTGTACAAAGTCAATGTCTGGGTGAGCGCGTAGTGGTAGATGGACAGCTTGGAAAAGACAAATTCGTGGAAGTTGTGGAAGCGCGGGCGGTACGAGTTGGTGATCAGCGACGCACACGCAAGGAGGTTGTCGCCCAGGCCGTTCTTGTCAAAGATGGACAACATCAAGGAGGAGATCTCGACGATGGCTTGTGCGAGAGGAAAGTGCGAATCGTCATTGTTGAACAAGAGCGTCTCGGAGAAAATCTTGCGGAACGTCTTGTCCGAGTGTTGGAAGAACTGCGTAAGGTCCAACACGTTTAGCACCGTGTAGTTGGCAAGGATGTACTCGTGGGGCTTTTCGGTGAAGCCGGAGTTGACGTAGTCCTTCTTGGTGGGCCCGTCGGCGGACGAGCCCCACGCCTCCTTGAGCACCTCGAGGCAGTCTTTGAGGATGAGGCGGTGGATGTCGTTGTCGTAGTCCAAACGGATCTTGTCGAAGATGCGCATCGTCTTTTCCAACACGATCTTGAGGTTGTTGAGCTGGTGGTGAAGCTCGGTCAGCTTGTCACTATCCTCGACGAGCTCTGACAACGTGGCCCACACGCCCGCCGCCGTCATGTCCGAGTACACCTTGATCAACATGGTGGACAGATGATCGACCGCGCGGAGGAGGCACAAACGGAGGAAGTCAATGAGCGCGCCTACCATACGGTGATCCTGACTGAACAACTTGTTGTTCAACGGCTGGAAGAAGTTGGGTGTGTGGATGATGGCGGTCAACATGGCATTGAGCGGTTGCAGCTTGGAGATATTTGTGGGCTGTGGGTGTAATTGCCCGTCGAGCACCTTGAACCCGATGATAATGATAGACTTGTAAGTGGAGTCGTCGAGCGGCGTCTTGGTAAGCCACTTGAACAAGTTGAGAAAGAACTTTTCGTCCATCGCTCCGATGATGAGGTCTGACGGCGGGAGAATCTTGAAGAGCTTGTTCAAATGGTAGATCGCTTTGGCGTCGCTGCCCACCGATTGGATAAACACCTGAGCTGCCGTGAGGCAGATAATATTGATCGACTTTTTGATCTTGTCCGTCTTGGTCAGCGCATGGTTTACGAGCACGTCGAACTTGTCGTCAAACAACGAGATGAGCTGCGGCGTCGGTGGCAACGTGTTTTCCAAGAGTTTGCCTAATAAGTAGATCGAGTTAGAGAGCTCCTGCGAGTCCGTCCCGCTGAGGTTCTTCTTGAGGATCTTGAGGTACTCGACCGCGGTTTTCTCGCCCAACTCCGTTTTGCTCTCGCGCACTAAAGGTTAGGAATGAACTGGGTGTACAGACTAGCATGTAGCTAGTACTCTCATCTCTGGCGATCGGATACTCCGTCGAGTTATCTTGATACATACATTGGTTCAAGTGATTATTGATACTTTGCGAGTTCATTGTGTGCTAGAAGGTAATTAGTGGGGTGGGATTAATAGCAGGTAGCTAGTGGATATTAATAGCTGACAATAACCGATGGATTAATTAGGAACGAAGGTTTCAGGAAGAAAGCGGCTCAACGAACAAAGACCTTAAAGTGCAACGGGAATCGGATATATATGGTGGCTACACAATGTAAAAAAAAATGAACGCTGGCCACTTTTGACGCCGGATTAGCCGTATCCTGTGTAAAGCGGAGCGGCTAATTCCGCCCTCTGCGTGCTGCGAGGCGGGCATCCGCCTGGGTATTCTCTCACCAACACCCTGGTAGATTTGGAAGGAGAACATGGACCGGGGAATTTTTTGTCAATTGGATTAATGTTTAAGAGCTAGGAACCTTGAGGATGAACGGAGGGTGGAAATGGCCGCGACATTCCACCCCTTAGGTTGTCACGTGTGGGGAAGTGCGTCTGCGCTCGTTAGTTTAGCAGACGCTTACCAGTTTAGTGGCTGCGATATAACAGGTGCTGACCAGGGCTGTTTGGCGCTCTGGCCGCTTCTACCAGACTGGAGATTCCCCATCGAAGGTTGCTGCCAAATGAACGAAAGTTAAACCAGAGGCACGATTTTTGGAAGCCAAGGATAGGAGGCTCCCCGGACTATATTACCTAGAAATGTAGATCTGGCGGTTCTTGTGCATGAGATTCGAGAGCTGCTCGTATCCTGGCCCCATCGTGCTGATCTGTCGTCAACGTGTCTTAGACGCACACGCTAGGGAGCATAGGGGCGTTCTGGTTATCGAGCTGAGCCATACTTTACTCACTCCAGATGCCGATGGTCTAATTTCCATCGTGTCGTCTATGTTTTGTCCCTGGCTGGAGATTGGGCTGCACCGGGTGGTCAGTCCCGTTAGAGCCATCCGTGGTATGTGCGCACTGGCAAGCGGGCAGATCTGCCAGCACACCCGAGAGAGATCGCGCTATTGTCTTTGGCCGGCACCATCTCTAAATTTATCCGTTCCAGAAGGCTATTAGGGTTGAATGGGGATAAAATTGGCGGGATTTACCGAGATTCACACAGTTTGATGATGTAAGAAGTTTTATGAACGGGTGATGAATACCTTGTTTGTTTTTATATTGATCGATGGATTTGTCAGATCAAATCCGAGAGTTTGAATCTCATGACCTGGCCCTCAGGTTTATACAGAATTTATATCTACCACACTGTAACCCCCCAGAAAATTCAGCCTTACTTTAATCATTCTTGAAATAACATTAATTAACTATTATACAGATACCCCAGACATTTACTTTTTGTAGGTTGGCTTCTTCTTCTTCTGTTTCTCCACGGACTTGGCCAGCTGCTTCTTGAAGCTTCTGTCTTGGTCGGTGACCCTGTCGTTCTTGGTCTTCTTATAGGACCTGCCTGGCTCCTCCTTTCTGACCTCGTCGGCCTTTCTCTTTCTAGAGTTGACTTTCTTCCCGCCCTTGGTCAAGGCGGCCATGACGGTCGACTGCTTCTTTTCCTGGGCGGTTTCGAACCAGGTTCTTCTTGGTCTGGCGGCGATTTCCTTCTTGTACTTCATGATGTTTTCCGATTTGGTCAACTCCATTTCCGCAATCAACAACTCCTTTTCGCTCTTTTCTTCCTCCAAAACCTCCTCCACAATATCACCCTTGTCGGCAATGACCTTGAACAAGGATTCAACCTCCTTCCAGTCAATGTTTCTACCGACCGCCTTACCACCGTTCTGGGTCTCCACCCCCTTGATTGCCTCCTTGACGATACTTCTGTCGAGGGAAGACTCGCCCACGAGCGAGATGGACTTACCGTTTCGTCCGGCACGCGCGGTTCTCCCGACTCTGTGCAAGTAGATTTCATAAGATTTCGGCATGTCAAAGTTGACAACATACTCGATCTTCGGAATATCCAAACCTCTGGAGGCCAAATCGGTACAGATCAAAATTGGAACAACCAAGTTCTTGAAGTCAGTAACAGACTGTAAACGCTGCTGCTGGGTCAACCCACCATGCAACTCAGAAACCTTCATACCCAACAACCCAAGAATGATACGCAACTTGTGGCACATTTCCTTACGGGCCACAAAAACAACGATACGGTGCTGTTGCTGATGGTCGATCTTCTTCAAGACACTGAAAAGCACAGATGGCTTCAAGTTTTCTCTCTTACGGATTCTGATGAACTCCTGGACCAAGCCGGTGGCGGCTTGCTTTGGCGGGTTCAACATGATTCTGACAGGCGATCTAAGCGACAACTGGATCATGGAGTTGATCTTGGAGTTCATCGTGGCAGAGTACAACAAGGTCTGTCTCTTTCCCGGCAACAACTGCAAGATCTCGGTTAATTCCTTTGCGAAACCTTCCTCCAACATTCTATCGGCCTCATCGATGACGAGCACCTCAACTGCATCAACGGAGAAGGATGGCGAGTTGCGAATGTGATCGATGAATCTACCCGGGGTCGCAACGACAATATCGGGCCTGCTCTTCAAGTTTAATTCCTGCTGGCGCAAGTTCAAACCACCGACGGCCAAACCGAAGGACAACCCGTTGACAAACTGCCCGATTCTCTTTCCGACATCGGAAATTTGGATCGCTAACTCACGGGTAGGGGTTAACACGATGACACGCGTGGATGCAATCTTGGCCGGCTTGTACAACAATCTCTCGATGATCGGGATCATGAAGGCAGCGGTTTTACCCGAACCAGTCACTGCCCCAGCAACAATGTCCTTACCAGACATGGCCATCGGGATGGTGGCAGACTGAATAGGGGATGGAGTGGTATAGCCTAACTGGGAGAGACCACGCAACAATGGGCGCGAGAGGTTTAAGGTGTTGAAGGTGGTGTGAGTTTGCTTCTGGGTCGCAGTAAAGGTTTCAGATTCTGCGGAAAAAAACTCTGCTAATTGCTCTGCTGAGTCTTCCTGTTCGACTGTAATCTTTCCCGAGACATCACTGGACTTTAATTCAGTAACCTCCTCTTCTTCTTCTTCCTCTTCCTCTTCATCTTCATCTTCATCTTCTTCAGATTCCTCGGGCTTGGCACCCATACCAAACCCATCCATGGCTAAATCTTCATCGTCTGCTTCCTCCTCCTCTTCAATGTCAGAGGTCTGACCACCAACCAATTGACCTAAACCACCCTTTCTTCTCAAAATACTGTCCAAGTCAACATCCTTCTTGATAACATTACCATTGCTATCCTTAACTTCCTCATCACCAAAGTCCCAGCCCTCAAAGTTGTCGGTCGTCTCGAAACCGTCCAAACTGAACTGGAAGTCTGGGTTCAAGTTCTCGTCAACTTCGTCTTCTGCGTTGACAACCTCAGTCTTCTGGGCCTTCTTGGCCTTCTTGGCCTGAATTGCCTTCTTCACCTTGGCGTTCTTCTTGGAGGAGATCTCGGTGGCTTCGGCCTCAAGCGCCTCGGCGGCTGCCGGCACGATCTGCTCATCATCACTGGAGTCGTAGTCCGGAACCTCCTGTTCGGAGTCGGAGATGGTCAAGACAAAATCGTCCATCTTAGGAGTGACCTTCTTAGCTTGGGATCTCTTCGCCATATTGTGTTGTGTGGGCTATAATGGGATGCTGAGATAGTGTACTGTATTTTTATGTACAAAAAACTTTTCACCGTGAAAGGAAAATTAAATTTTTGTGCGGCGGGCGATGCCGCAGGGTGCAGGATGCAGAGTGGAGATAAACCGGAGGCTAATCAGAAGGATTTAATATTCGGCAATATGGTGTTACTTTGTGATTGTTATATTAAGGATTGTGCGAGGACGTATCACAGAGAGTAAGGCATAAAAATAATTCAACTATTTGTCAGATTTTAGTGTAATCCGTCCGAGAAGGGTAAGGGTCAATTCAAACGGTGCTTATGGCACGGAGGGAATGACCACGATCCATACCACCGCACTCTTATACTATACAGTAATTATCCCAGATTACCAGTACCGCAATATGTTAAACCACATTAGACTGTAACTCGGTCCTCACACATCCACCGCTTGGGCCTTATCAAGCGTTTCTTTGATCATCTTCAAGTGCTGAGCCCGCTCTGCTACCCCGAATTCATCCTCCTGGGTACGCTCATAGATAAACACAAGCTCTTTTTGCACTACAATGCTCTCCAAGAGCGATACCCAACTTTCCCATCGCTGGGCACTCTCCCACAACTCTGCCACGGGAATGCGCTTGTTATCGCCCCAACTTATGATCTCCTGTAAGATTGGCAAAACACTGGTGTGACTATATCCCCAGACGGAGTCAACCTGTCTCCAGGTGTCCTTAGTCAAAAGCCCTGATGTCTCTAGCGGCGCCTCCATGATGAGGTAGTCGAAGGTTGGCCAGCGGACAAACAAGTCATCGGAGGTCTCAGATTTGTCATAGACAACGGTGACGTCGTGTATCTGCCCGAATAATGAGGCTCCTGTCATGGCAGTGTAGACGTCAAAGTGCACAACCGCCGGATTTGCTTCACTGTGTTGGGCTAATTCATGACGATTATCTGTGTTCATCTTTTGGATAATGTGCGTGTTAAACTTCTGAAGCGCTACCCCACCAGGGTAGTTGATCGAGGAGATGTATCCCGCAAGCAAAGAGCCGCCCAAGTTTGCAACTGCTAAAGCCACGATAAATAAGCTGAGAAATTTTTTCATTAGGGTTTGGGAGGCTGTAAAGCCATAGGCACCGTTGGCACCGACAGCTGTAAGCAAGGGGATGACGTAGACGATAAATCGCCACTCTTTGTGCGGCTGGAAGGAGATTCCAAGCACGTAGAGTACAGAAATGGTGAGAAAGATCTTGAACAAATGAGGGGTCTTGCGCGCAGTCTCGGGTTTATAGAAGAAGCCTGGAAGTAGAAGCAACAAAACCACGGGCACGGTAAAGATGTTTGGGATATATTTGGTGAAATATGCCCAGAAAGGCTCAACACCCCACAACTCAGACTTTCCCTCCACCAAGTTGAAGTACACTGACTGCAACTCAGGGATGGTCCAGTATCCCCAAAAGTAAGAGTCCACAAGTAAAGAAGTGACGGCACCAACCAAGACCCCAAATACCATACTCATTACCTGGAGAGCAGTGGTGGCGATAAAGCCGTTGTCCTTGGCGGGGACGAAAAGGGTCACCGTGACAAACGTTGCCACGGCTAACAACCCAATTTCAGCCCTGAACACTATTCCGCAGAAAGAGAGGAGGTGCAAACAGCTGGTGTAGTTCCCCTTTGCAAGGAGGGCGAACGCCACGTTTGTCACTGGTAATGCCATGAAGTTAGGGAGGGTTCTGGACGCATAGAAGAGCACATGAAATTGACAGTACTGGAGAATACTGTACCAATTAGCCCAGGTACCCTTTGAGGTTGCATCTTTCACCGCATTCTTGAAGAAAATCATGGACCCCGCATTGGCAAGGCCAATGAGCGCTCTTGCCGCCATCTGGATGTCGAGCAGAGCACCAGTGTGTTCCACAAACGGCCTGACAAGAGTCTTGTAGAGGAAGGTGGGGAAACTAACAACCAACGCAGTAAGAAACGTTCGAGGAACCACCCCCGGGAAGGCAGAATGGTCGAATTTGGCAGTATCAAGGACCCCATAGTATGTGATATCGTGGATCGCTTGCATGTTGAACGACTCCTCGACCTTGGAAAACGGCGCCGTTACCAAGTAATGTCCGATAAGCACAAGCAACGCCATGTCCAACACATGGTTTGTGTAAGACCCTCGCATTTTTGTAGGGGAATAATCGGGGAAACTTAATAGACGGGTGGTTTGTTTGATTTGTGGAGTGACGTGTGCGTTACGCGTAGATTTCTGCCGGACTTTGGTCTCTACGATCGTAGACGTCCAAACAACCCCGCGATTTACCAAAACCGTCAAATCCACGGAAAATTATTTTGAGAGCTAACGCAGGCTACAAAAAAAAAATGAATATCGGTGTGTCTTGTCATTAGATTCGAAACTCCTTTTACTAACGGTTGTGAACCGGTCAAATGTCTCACGTGCCGCAAGAACCGTGGAGTGGCTTAGTACAGCACCAGGCTTTAAATCACTATGATCGGTATCTCTATTGATACAACACCGAACTGGGAGTGTTTTCACGGGTTCCTTCACGAGGCATCCTCTTGACCAACCGACTCCGCATCTTATCAGGATTGATATCGTCGATGTTCAACAAACGAGTCTCTTTCTTTTCAAACTCCTCCATTTTCTCTATAATATCATCGATAATCTCCACGATTAGCGGTAGTGCTTCGGTGAGGATCTTTTGCTTGTCGGAGAGGGAGATTTCTGTGGATAAGATCCACTTGGACATTGTGTTGGAGGTGGAGTTCGCAGGCTTGGGGCCGATCCCCACGCCGATCTTCAAGTACTGGTACTCCTTGTCGTACCCAAGAAGACGCTTGTTGAGATCCTTCAATCCGTTGTGCGATTCTTTCTTATTGCTCTTGGATTTTGTGAACTTGATCTTACCGCTGTTAATTTCAAAGTCGTCGTACAACACAATCACCAATGGGTTCTTGCCACCCAAGGCAGCCGGGTGCTGAAGAGCATTCCGGAGAGCGGTTCCCGACTCGTTCATATAGGTTTCACTTTTGCATAGGGTAAGTCTCTCTGATGTGGCCGACGAGAGTGCAAGGGCCAGCGACTTGGTTAGCTGCGAAAGTCCGTACTGCAGATGGAGTTGGTTCAACACATAGTGGCCGATGCTATGACGAGAGATGGCTCCAGGGTTGCCGATGGAGAGGATGAGAATTTGATCGGGAATTTTGTCGAGCCAAGCGAGGAGACTGCGCTTTTAGGGTAGGGATGCGAATGATGAAGCTGTCGGATAGAGATTAAATGTGATTTAAATAGGGCTTATAGAAAAATCTAAAATCAGTGGCAAGATCGCGACGCCGCACCCCAATCGCCACCAGTTTGCCACCTAGCACAATATTTATGGGCAAGTCCATCAGGGACGATTTTGATGGGCCTCGGGGTGAATTACAAGGATTGAAAGTGTCTTTAGGAATATAACAAAATGACTCTACCAATCCTGTGAGTCTGTTGAAGTGTCTACTTGGACTACAAGCAGCGTGCAGATGTAAATTTGTAGCTGCCCTTGCAATCGTGAAAATATCTTGGTAAATATGAAGCCTGTTAGTGTTGAGGATGGTGGGTAAAGTCGTACCTAACCAACGTGATAGATTGGTTCAACCGAAATTTGGATTTTCCCGTCATTTTGCACAACCTAGCTCGCCTCCTTTCGGATGGTAATTTCATTGAAGTGCACGCCAGGTGGAAGTATTAGGTGATGACTCATGGATAAGCGTGAACCCAGATGCGTCAAGTGCACATCGGAAATTTTACAATACTCAGTTATAGTCTACCCGGTCCGATGCGTAATACCCGATTAAAATCTCTATATATCCGCGTAAACAACCAGATCAGACAGGTCTACAATTTCATTTTGGTATGTCTCTCAAGTATTGCCATCCTAAGGTTCTTTTTCATTAGCTTTAAAGGTTAAAACATGAATGTAGACATTGATATATCCCAGAAGTCTCGATAAGAGCTGGAAACTAGATACAACGCCCACCGCTTAAGCCCCAACTGTTAGGGGCAAGCCGTAACGTTTAATAGTTCGATGTCCGGTAATTGCACGATTTTAGTTAATCTCAACTCGTTAGGGGATAAAATAATGTTGGGAGATTTATATTCAGTATAAGGGCAGTAAAGGAATTCTAAGCATATGCAGGAGGTTGTCACTCAAATAATAAAGAGAGCTGTGTGCTTCGAAGAGTTTCAGAATTTCGTTATAAGCTCTATAGAGTTTACACCTAGGGATGTTATGGCAGACGTCCTTGAATCTGAATCAGGTTTACATTTTCTAATGTAACTCTTAAGGTCTTCTGAGGTAAGTAGTAAAAACGGGAACTGGATCAGTACGCAAACTCAGGTCGAATCCCTCGGAATGAACACGGATAAGGTTCTCACTTTACGTCTCACTACTAAGCCCTAGACTTTACCGGTTATCTCCTCATCCACTCGCTTCCAGAACCAAAGTTCAAAATACTCCCATCTAGTAACCTACACTTGTCATCCAAGCCCGGGCTAAAATTTAACTCACCTCCAAGCACTTTGAAACCCCCCACCTAACACCTTACATCTAAACTCGCTATTGCTCGTTGTTCAAACGAAATACATCTATTACACAAGACTTAGGCAGACGCAACGGCGGAAACCATCCCGATCAAACGCTTCACACCGACGGCCCAATCCCCACAGTCGGCGCTGAACGCGGTGGAAATCTCACCGTACAACGCTTGGGCCCCGTCAAGGTTCTTCGCCTCGAGCGCAGTGGCCAAGGCACCGAGACGCCCAACGACAGCATCGGACAACTCGCCGTTGTTCAAGTGATCGTACAAGATGTTGAGTCTCTTTTCAGTGTCGTTCACCTGCTTGGCGCGGGACTCTGGCATGAGCGGCTTCACCTCTGCGAATTTGGCAGACAAGGTGGCAAAGACAGGTCTGGCAGTGTCCGAAAGGTGTTCTCTGTTGCCCGAAGCATGCTTGGCAGCAGTCACTGGGGGGGTAGAGACAGGAGGCGAGGCAATCGGAGGAGGAGCAACAGGCGCCAGAGTCATTTTAGGGGGTGGGGCTAACTGGAAGTTTTGCGAAGGTGGAGCAAAGCCGTTAGCCTGAGCGAAACCGTTCTGAGGCGGGGCTGGCGCGTAGGCAGAGCCCTGCGACTGCGGTTGCGCGTATGGGTTAGGCTTGGCGGTAAAGGCCTGGATTGGAGGAGGACCATAGCCTGGAGTTTGCGGCTGAGAACGCGATGTCGGAGCCGACTGAGTAGGCGGGGCGTACGGGTTCGCGGCCGGTGGCGTTGGCATTGGCGGGGCCGACACACTCGCTGGCTTCGTTGGAGCAAGCTGCGGAGGTGGTGCGTATCTGTTCGTAGGCTTTGGCGGGGCCGGAGTTGGCTCCACCGGCTGCGGGCTCTTGATCGTCGGAGCACGCGGAGGCGGAAGCGGCGCTTGCTGGGTGAAAGAGGAAACCCTGGAGTGCGGGGTCAACGGCTGTTGTACTGGCTGCGACGAGGCAACAGCCGCTGGCGCGGCACGGCGCACCGTGTGCTTGTTAAAAGTGGTTGGAAGGTCGTTCCAGCCACCGTTGTCCTTGGTTGGGTTCTGCGACGAAGTCACTGGTGGAGGGCCAGCGATCGACGGCGCAGGTGGGGACGAAGCTGGTCCGGCCTGGATGCTGCCTAAAGCGGTCGGGGCATACGGGTTAGGTCTCGCAGAAGGGGGCGCTACTGATACTCTGGCCGCAGGAGAGGCTGAGACCGGAACCGACACTCTCGCCGCAGGCACTGGCGCACCCACCGGCGCATAAAGCCCCTGCTGTTGACGCACCGGCGAGACTGGTGCAGAAGTTACCGGGGCGTACCCAAACTGTGGCTGTCTATGCCCAGTTCTTGCCTGCTGTTTGGCCGCTGGCTTGCTGCTCGCCTTGGTGATCCGTTCCTTCTCGAGCTTCAAGCCCGCAATGTCGCCCGGCAACAACTGCAAGAACTTGTCAGCAAGGTCGAAATTGCCGAACCCCGCAAGGATCGTTGCGTACTGGAGGTAGGCGTCAGCCGTGGCCTTGCCTTCGAGCTCGCCTGTGATCCGGAACGCGGCTCTGTAGACCGAAACCTTCTCGACAAAGTCGCCCAAGGCGGTCAAATGAGCCTCAGATGGAGATGTCGACGTCCCCGACTCCAAAATCTTGTGTTCGAGTGCTGGCAACTCGGCGAGCCAGATCTGCGAAAGCTTGTCCAAGGCACCCCCAGCGACGTAGCACGCGATGGCGTGTGCGCGGGTCTCTGAGGTTTCACCGGAGACAAGAATGCGGTCGCCTAGCTGAGTGATCTGCGCGTTGAAGATGGCATCGCTGGTGGCGTAGGTCTTGATGGCGGCAGCAGTTTCACGCCAGTTGGCAACCTCAGCGTTCGCGACCAAGTCATGCGCGTCATTTTGCGCGGCAGAGAAGAGCACACGTGCTACCGGCTGGGCACCGTGCTTGGCAAAGTACGCATTTCTGGCCTTGGCCTTCATGGCTTCGGTACCGTTCAATGCAAGCATCAACGCCTCCACCAAACGGTCCTCCTTGAGACAGATGTTACTGGCGTCTTCAAGCTTTCCCGCAAGAAGCGCACGAACCAATGGCGACTCCGCGTCAACAGTAAACGTGCCGGTCGGCGCGTACGCGTCCGTACGCGCGGCAGGCGCAGCATCCTCGCTCGCAAGCTTATCAAAAAAGGAGTCTTCCACCACCGACGAGGAATCGAGAATGTCGTCATCGTCCTCCTCGTCCAACGTCTGGGCTCCCTTGAGCTCCTTGTTCAATAACTGGAGTTTGTCGCCGGAGGCAACCTCCTGCAAGAGCTTCCAGTCACCGGACCCCGTAGCGACGCGCGCGGTAATAATCTCCTGAAAGTCACCGGACGTCAACGCGCTGCTGAGCTTTTCCGTCGCACTCCTGACTTCGTCGGACGACGGAATCTTGGCCAACACGATCTTGGCCGTCTTATCGTCCATGTTGTTCTTCACAATCACGAGCTTACCGCCGAAACCAAAGCTGACGGCGACCGAGTTTTTCAACCAGCGCGGCGCCTGCTTGACGGCAAACTGCGGCTGCTGGGTGTCGGTAGTAGAGATCTGGCTCCAGAAGTCGTCCTCGTTGGTGGACTTGACCCTGGTCGAGACAGGCTCCAGGGTGTCCTGCAAGGTCTGGACAGAGATGGTGCCGTCAAAGGAGGCCGTGGCGAATAAATCGGGCGCGGCTGGAGCGAAGCGCGTCTTGAATGCCCAGTTGGCGGTAGTTGGGTATTCTCCGAGCTTGGTCCCGGCGATCGGGTTCCACAAGCTGGTGCAGTTGTCCTTACCTGAGCTCAACAATAACTCAGGATCCTGCTTGCACCAGTCGAGCGACAACACGCCCTTGGTGTGGCCCTCCATGATCTTCTCCGGCGCGTTGGCATTGCGGAGGTCCCACGTGAGGATGAGCGGTGTGCCGTCGTTGTCGCTGGCGGTAACGAGCTTGGTCGACTGGGTCGGGTGCCACGCGACGGTTGCGAGGTTCGCACGCCCAGACGCACCCGAATAACTCAAGTGGAGAACCTCACGCTTTGCCTTGAGATCCCAGATGGACGCGAAGCCAGAGCTACCGGCTGTCGCAAAGATATGCGGCACCGAGTTGTTCCAGGCAACGCACGTGACATCCTCCATGGGCGACATTGCCTGGCCCGGGCGGAATGGCGCGGAAAGTTTCTTGGTGTCCCAGACAAAGATCTCGCCGCGGGAGCCCGTGGTGGCAAGCACGTACGGCTGGAGGGGATTGAATTGCAAGGCTCTAACGGGGCCTGTGTGGTGTTCGGACTTGGAAACAATTGCCTTGGCGAGGTCCTGCGACGAAAGGAGTTCCGCGGCGTCCCACAAGTGGACGATGCCGTTCTCGAAGGCACCGGCGATAAGCCCACGAGTGTAGGACTCAAACGGCGCGGACCAGTCCAAGGCGTGGAGTTTGGCATCAATTGAGGTGGAGAAGAGCGTGGTTTTGGTGAGAACGTCCGTGATCTCGAGGGTGGAGGCGGAGGAGAAGTTGGCATCAACCGCGCCCGCAACGGTCCCAGTGACCAACAATGGCTTTTTGTCGCTGCTCCAGGCAAAAGTCGACGTGCTTTTGATTTCGTGGACCTTGACCATTGTGGATGCTTGAAGAGTGAGGGATGATGGAGAGGAAATGGTGAACGCGTCTTTATGCTTACCTGCCAGGTCACAAGATCGGAGGTGTGCGCTGGCAGTATTGGGATTACGCAGGCATTCCTATTAGGATGCAGCGCGCGTAATTCTAGGAATGGTTCACACTGGCACGTCTCAGGCCGGTGTGAAATGCCAGTGTGAACCACCGGGCGGTAGAATTAAATAATCGTCATCTCCCTAAGTATAATCAAAAGCATTGCCTCCAGAGTTCTGGCTCAGATTTCGGCTATCAATTACACCTTCAATGCTGTTAAATAGCTAGTGGGAACCAACTAGAGCTATTGCCTTGTATGTAGGACGGAACTATATTTAGACGGGCGGTGACAGGTGAGGTGTCACTTCTCCGCAGCGTTAATTGATTGTTAAATCATATAATAAAATGAGGCAAGGATTTCCAAAAGCTTTGTGAAAGGAGGGAGGGTTTGTGAACTTTGCGGTGATTAAAATTAAATTAACAGTACGATCCGCCTCTATCCAGGTGTGGTTATTTAGCTAAGGTGCCCACCCATACCATTCGAAGTCAGCCAAAGGGATACTCCGCGACAAGGCAAATATTCCCACTCCAGATTAGCCTTGCCAACTTTCCCTCTATATTCTAACCTGCATTTCATTCTACACTCGAGAGGGATGTTTCAGGCCATGCATGTTTAGCCTATGGTCCTAGCGTACCTACGTATACAAGCAAGCACAAGTATTTCGACAAAAACTATAAACCACGTGAGATCACCCTCGTTAGGAATTTGCTCTTATATCGCACGCTTTGGCTGGTAAGCAGCCTCCAAGTACTCAAGCTCCTTATCATCTAGCGTCACGGTGAATGCCTGAAGAATATCATCCACTCTGGCCTCCGATGAAAGTCCGACAATAGGAGAAGCACCCTTAGACAACACCCATGTGGTAGCAATCGTGGCCATTGAAACATTCTTGGTCTTGGCCACCTCTTCTACGCGCTTCAAGATTTCCGAATCGGCCTCCGTCAAACTGTCCAATCCCAACAAGGTCATGGTCCTATCAGATTGCGTTCTATCGGACTGGGCAGACGCAGGACGAGTCAAGATACCTCTGGCGTTTGGCGACCACGGAATGAGCCCCACTTCGGACCGGTTGCAGAATGGAATCATCTCTCTTTCTTCCTCACGGTAGAGCAAGTTGTAGTAGTTTTGCATGGAGATGAACTTGGTCCAGCCGTTCTTCTCGGCCACGAATTGCAACTCGGCAAACTCGGTAGCCTTCATGGTTGAGGCTCCAATGTATCGGGTGTGCCCCAACCCGATAACGTCGTGCAATGCCTTCATAATCTCCTCGCTGGGAGTATCTTGGTCCAAGCGGTGCACCTGCAACACGTCCATGTAGGTTCCCAACCTTTGGACCGTGGCCTCCACAGCGTCAAAGATGTGCTTGCGAGAAAGACCCTGCGAGTTGATGTAGTCCACCTTTGGGAAATTTCCTCGGGTATTAAGGTTAAATCCCGGGATATTGGTGTCCACCGGGAAGTAGCACTTGGACAAGATGACGATCCGGTCTCTTGGGATGTTGTACTGCTTGATCCACTTTCCCAAGAGTTCCTCAGACTTGCCGTTGGAATAAACATCTGCGGTGTCAAACGTCCTGATACCCGCAGCGTAACATTTGCTGAAGATACCAAAGATTACCTCTTCGTCTTCGATGACCCAGTTGGCCCAGGCTTTGGTACCATAGGACATGCATCCGACAATGACGCGGGAGATTTTTAACCCCGACTTTCCGAGCTTGGTGTAGGGAACTTCAACAGACATTGCAACGAGCTTACTGTTGAGTATGATTTGACAATGGTGAAATAAAGAAAAATACGAATGGGGGGTGAAAAGAAGAAATTTAAAGGGGATTGAATGGAGATGAAAAGAGGATGAAATGGAGATGAAAAGTAGTGATGGATTAGTAAGCAAGATCCAGGGAGCTTTCCCCAGGTTTTTTCGCCTTATCTTGCGGCACGTTGCAGTCAGAAACCAGACGGATTTGAAGTTGATTATTCCATAGTATGCTACACCATGGATATTCTTCGAAGTGTACGATTTATATAGACTAAGCTAAAGATGAATCAATAAGGCTAGCTAGGGCTGATTTCCTTTCCAACGTAGAGCGTGTTTGCACCAAGTATGCGACGCGCCGATATCTGAACAATTTGAAGCTTTTCAATTTGTTAGTGTTAAAAATTGAAGGCCATTAAGGTCTCCTTTTGATATTTGATGACTAGTTCTATATGACATGTTGTGTGGTTAATATATGATACATAGTTTGTTGGTGTCTCTGTATATGACATATAGTTTGTATTTAACCTTCAATACACGCAGTAAAGACCGAGAGTGGCCATATATTTTGCACATCTGATAAAATTAAACTATGCAGGTTAGGACTATCCTTATTAGCTCAGTTGGTAGAGCGTTCGGCTTTTAGAATCACGTGACTATTGTTAGTGAATCCAAGACACCGAAACGTCCAGGGTTCGAGCCCCTGATGAGGAGCATTTTTTTCGCCAAACACAGCTATTTTTGTTCAGCCGATTAAAGGTTTGGAGCAAGAAAATGAGCGAGGTTTTTGTTGTAGATATAAACACTCTTGGTAGATGTTGTGTGATAGTCTCTTCACATATCGAATGGTCTCATGGCGTTAATACGTACAGATATAATTTTCAATATTTGCTGCCTATTGTCCTCATTTGATATTGTTAGTCTGTTCTTATATATGCGGATATCATGCAGAAGTGGAGTTTTGAGGGGTGCACAGCGTAGCTAGCGCTGGATAGCTTTCTTGACTTTAGCTTAGCCCATTGGCCTATCTGAGGAGATTAAATATTTACAGCTTATGGAATATAATGCTGTTCTCTACTCCATGCCTAATTTATATTTAATTAATATATATGTCTTGGAATATATGTAAATCAGGAATATATGCATGCAAATGCACTCTTTTCATACGCGGAAAATTCATTAATATGTTTTGTTTCAAATCTAAACTAAAGGTGTAAAAGTATTGTAAACGCTTTTAATTAATAAATTGTCATTAACCTATATCATTTTTTCTATCATCATTGGCATGGTGTATAAATACCCCTTTATCTTCCACAGTTCCTTAGTAGGGATTTACTCTTAGGGGCTTTACTTTTGATCTCGAGAAATATACGGACTCACATGCTCACAATCCGATACCGTAGATTTATAAATCTATACACCGTATCTCACTGTGCAACACATGCCTTCTATGTAGAGATGTTTAATAATACACTAAGTTTATAATATATTATTTTTCGAGCTAAAACCTTGTCTCGATCAACTATGTATTATGGCGTCCCACCTCTGGCATCAAGATGGTGCATTTACCCACAGGGTAAACCATGAGTCATAATTATTAAATTACATATACGCATTGTTGAGTCACCTTTTGCATAGTTACTGATGCAGATCCAACCTACCATATTTACTTAAACTGCAACTCGTAATACTAATATAAAATTGGTTTGTCTTACAGATACCAGCCAAAATGTCTGATTTACAATTACGTATGTTGCAGGCCGTTGAAGCCAACAATGGTAAAATCGAAAACTCGGACGCGGTATTCCAAGATATAGAGTCGCAAATCTTGCAGGCTGCCCTTAACTCTCTTGTGGCCAAGTCCATGATCACTTTTTCCATTATCGAAAAGGAGTCGTGGAAGTTGACCAGTGAAGGTGAAGAGGTTGTTTCTGAGGGTTCTCACGAATTCAGATTATTGGCCGAAGTGACCAAGCACTTGGAGGGGTTGGATATCAGTAAAGTCTCCAAAGTCTTGGGCCCAGCCGGTAAATTAGGTCAGGGTAAGGCATTCAAAAATGGCTGGATCAAAAAGGACGGCGATGTCCTTTTATCCAACGTCACTGACTTACCAGAGGACAGCGCTGCTGGTTTGTTGAAGAGCATCAAGGAAAACGGCATTTTGGACGATAAAAAGGAGCTTGCCGATTTGAAAAAGAGAAAGTTGGTCTCCTTAACCAAGATCCTCTCCTAAAAAATCCAGAAGGGTGTCGAGTTTGCCTTGACCATTGTCCAAGTTGAGACCGACATCACCAGCGACATGCTTGCCAATGGTAAGTGGAAGACCGCCACCTTCAAGCCATATAACTTCAACTCCGAGGGTGTGGCTCCACATTCCGGTGCCTTGCATCCGTTGAATAAGGTCAGAGAGGAGTTTAGACAGATCCTCTTATCCATGGGTTTCACCGAAATGCCATCCAACCAGTATGTCGAGACCGGATTCTGGAACTTTGACACCCTTTACCTGCCACAACAGCATCCAGCCAGAGATTTACAGGACACTTTCTACTTGAAGGATACATTAACTTCCAAGAAGCCAGAAGACGAAACCTACTGGAACAACATCAAGAAAGTCCACCAGGAGGGTGCTTTCGGGTCTATCGGGTACAGATACCCCTGGAAGGAGGATGAATCCTTGAGAATGGTCTTGAGAACCCACACCACCGTCATTTCCGCTGCCATGTTGCACCAATTGGCCAAGGACCCGAAGCCGGCCAGACTCTTCTCCATTGACAGGGTCTTTAGATACGAAGCAGTTGACGCCACTCACTTGGCCGAGTTCCACCACGTTGAAGGTGTACTTGCCGACTACAATTTGACCTTGGGAGATTTAATCACTTTCATGAAGTCTTTCTATGGAAAGATGGGTGTCAAGAATTTGGCCTTCAAGCCAACGTACAACCAATACACCGAGCCATCGTTGGAAATCTACTCGTGGCATGAGGGGTTAGGCAGGCTATTGGAAATTGGTAACTCTGGTATGTTCAGACCAGAAATGTTGGAAAGTATGGGCTTGCCAAAGGACTTGAGAGTTTTAGGCTGGGGATTTTCGTTGGAAAGACCAACCATGATCAAGTACGGCTGTAACAACATCAGAGAGTTATTGGGCCACAGGGTCACCTTGGACTTTATTGAGACTAATCCGGCCGCCAGGTTGGAAGTTGACTAGATGTGCCATTTTCTGTAGAGAACTGTGGTTCCTGCTATCTGGTGGACCTTTGAAGAAGCATGTAGGAAGGAAATGGAGAAATGAGGATCAACACCCAGAAAGTGAAAGTGCAGGTTGTGGAATAGGTCTCGGACGGTCCAAAGTATAAACTTATGCGATGATAGACCTATTGGTACGTTGTATCGGTCATACTCAGAATGATTTGAATCTATACTGGCAGTGATCGTACTTGAAAATGCGCGTAGACATAGGGAACAAGTTTTATACAGGTTAAATGATAGGTACCAAACTTGTAGTAAAGGTGCCATTTAACTAGACGGAAGTCGGAGTCCATTATCCCCTTATTCCTGATAAGCAGACACTCTAGCATCGTATCCGCCTCAGTATATAAGGCCATCGACTACCCTTTTCTTGTAGATATTTTACATAGGAAGTATTCTCTTTTAGCTAGCTAACAGTATCTACTATTACCTACTAGAAATACCACAAAACTAGACGCCTAACAAGCAATCCTAGTGACAGCAATTACTCAAGTCTGAAAAAGCTGTTTCTCCAATGAACAATTTGACATCTATAATTCAAGAACCCCTACCAGTAGACTAAATCACCGGTAAAATGGTATATCCGGTGGATATCGTTAGGTAAGAGAAAATGTAGTATTTTCCTCTATGCACTAGATATAGCAACGAGAGGACAAGGAGAACGTGGAGGCCCAAAAGGATTACCGTATACCACATCAGATGAAGGGAAGATTCGGGAAAGGCGCGGAATGCACACGATGCGCGATACATAAACCAACAGCTTTAACATATTAATTTTTGATTTGCTTACTTCCATCTTTGGAGATGCGGTAAAATGGGGATACCCACCGGCCTCGTCTCACATTCGCTCACATCAAGGGATATGATTGTCCACACGCGACGTTACACACAGGTACCTGAACACCTTAAACATAACTAGTGTGACACGGAATGGAGATAAGTTGAGTCCCTTGAGGCACCGGGGTTATTGGATAGAAACACGGGTGTAAACGATTAGCGGTAGCACGCAGAAGTGCATTTTTATCATGCATGTACAGAGCTTTCTAAATTCGCAAGCCGGGTCATGTACAGGGTAGCAGATCGACGAAAAAGCGCAGAAGGGGGTCACGGGTAACCTTGTCGATAGAATGAGCAAAATAAAGTGTCACACGGTATTAATGAAGATTCAGTCGGGTAAGGGCATAGGATTCTCGAAACGGTAAATCTGAGACTAGAATGGCTTATGCACGCAGGCCTCGTCAAGATGGTACAGCCTGCTCTCAATATTTACCCTTGAAAGCTTCCACAGACCACGGGTAACGCGATTCATAAACATGTACTGTTTTAGTTGTCGCTAACCAATTTTCCTGGACCAGTCTACATTGCGTTAGTTTCAATTGTTCGAACAGCTAGCCTGGATATTATCTCTCGTGGTCCACATGCGGTGAGAATTTTTATCGCTTCGGGTGACGACGAATCTCCTTCGAAGGAGGCGCTTTTTAATGACCCATGGTAGTCTCTAGTTTAAACCAACACGAAAATCCACGGATATGTAGTGTAAACTTTATATATCTAAAATCAAGTGTCTGTCTCCAGTTACTTTATCCCAGAAATAGGCTCGGTCAGCGCACCCTAATGTGGCACTACCATGGTCACATATCCTGGTTTACTATTTTAGGGCGTAGCCGAGAGCAGCAATAAATGCAGCACAAAGCCAGGCCAGGAACCCAGGCGCCAACGTATATGCACTTGCGCTTGCATATGCGTCTACATATGCTCATGAGTGCATGCAACAGCTGATGATTCATGCACCCTGATAAGATATTTATATATATGCGGCAATACATAGACCAAACTAAGCTTTCAATCCGAAAATTGAATAAATGAAGCTTGACATAAACCGCATATCTTCACATATTTCATTAACACACAAATCTAAGCCACTTGATCTTCCCGCCTAAGCTCGTGGAGAATGGAAGTCAAGGGATATAGCATTTAGCAAGGAACTTGCGTGGTGGTGACGCATGAATGGTAAAAACACTAGTGGTATCTTGTAAACCCGGACTTAGTGTTCGCGCCGACATAGACTAAAGTTCTGGATGGACTTGTGAAAAAGATTCTACACCATGCATTTGAAGGATTGAGCAGGGATTGATACGAGATACCGGATTTTTGGAGTGCGTCAAAACGGCTAGTTGGAGGTCTGCATGATAGGGATGTGCACGCCCTACAAATCGGAGGTCAGCGGAGTTTCGTGTGACACAGAATTCGCTAGAGAGGTTGAATACTGGGCATGAGATACAGTAGTTTACTTGCGAAACCATTACACGGTGTAGTTGAGACTGACTTATGCTTTTCTAACAGAGTTATAAGCCAATGGGGGGCGGAAAGAAGGAGAACCTGGACTACTATTGGCGTCTCAACGTCAGGTGCAGGCTGAGACGCTTGAAGCGTGCTATTATTAACATCGTCTAAGCAGGTGCTGCAGTAGACGGGCAGACGTGCTTCTTTATCTTGGGATACAGGATTCTTGGTATTGAAGTACCCAGTTTGATTGAAGGTTGTGTTATCATCTAACAGATACATGTGCACATAGAGCGATAATTTTCGGTTGGAGACATTATTAATACCAGTACCCAAGCCATTGTTTCAGGCCCACATAGCTGGATCTACCTCGGCCAAGTTAGAGAAGGTCGAACTGCTATGTACCGGTTAGTGTGTAGATGCATAGAGGCTAACCTCTGCATAGCACTTGGTGAGGGGTTCTTCCACTTTCCCAATCCGTTCCTTGTGTAGTTGCGTGCTCTTCGTGGTTCCAGGCTTTAGATGCTAGACCAACAACTCTGTCCATCTAGTGCAAGACGCATGCTGCACACCGTTTTTACAACCCCGCCGTATCCCTTGCGTCAAAGAACCCTATCTTCACAAAGCCATAGTTAGCAGCCATATCTTTCATCTCCACCTCCATGAGGTTGATGATATATTCACAAGGAAATTATCTATATAGCACCTTAAATTTCCGTAAAAACATATCTAGTAGTGTCTTTCAGCGGAGGGGTTGTCTATTGATCTCGCCTAAAACAGGCACGCACTAACAAATGCAGCACTACTGCATCTGCACACACCCCACAGCATTACACTCTCTGGGTATCACCCTTACGTCGACAACTCCCTCTGAGGCCATACTATTACAGGTGCTACAGCTCTTGGTAAAACGTATTACAGTCATTAATAACGAAAAAGTATGAAATGAGTATTTTATACCTTTCCGGATTGTAGGGAAATCAGTACGGTTGACACTTTAACCGGAAATGTGTTGTAAAACTAACATTCAAAAACGTAGCCCATGCTTTTAGCTATTTCGCAAGAGACATTCAGGTTGTTCAGCAGGGATTACTCAGCTTCCTGATTTATAACTAGTCATCTACTGAACCCTGTTACCCATGACCCCTCTTTTGTTATTTTGTAATAACTGTCCGATATTAGATTGCAATCCCACAGGCTTAATATGGGGTTTGAAGAAAGGGTGACCCTAAATCCTTTTCTCGAGGTGTTAAATAAAACGCTATATAAGGCAAGCGATAGTCTTAGCCATTTTTAACTATTCTTTTATTAATATATCACCAATATCATCATGAAACTCTCTCCATTACTTTTGGTTCCCTTCTTGTTCCAGGTGGCCACGGCCGTCATTAATATTACCACTGTTAGAACTACTATAACTAACTCAGCCCCTTCTAACCTCTGTACTTCCTATATTACTTCCGGCGGTCTGGGTCTGCTTGCCTGGCTGGCTACTGCTGATTTCTATGCCCAATCAACCAGTGATATTGCCATCTTAGGAACTGGGGTGAGGACGTACACATACATTGTTCAGTGGTTCTTCACCTTTGATGATCCGTTGGAGGCCACTGGTTTTAACATCGGTGCTTTGACCAGTGCCGTTTCGTTGCTCACCACTGTTAATGTGGTTGTTAACCCTACCCAGGGTGGTTTTATCCTTTCTTATAACGACACCGTCACCTATCCAATTGTGCTTAATGCAGAGCTTCTTAATGGGCTCAACTGTTTCGATTCCATTATTGGCTACACCACGGGCTTTACCGGTGGGCCAAATCCTACCACTATCATTTTAGGCTCCTCAGATTTCTGGCTTAACCCGGCTAACGACTTGACTTGTGTTATCGGTTCTATTACCTCGAGCTGCATCGCTTTGGGTTATCCATCGTTTAGCACCTGTATTCATTGGGGCCAGTGTACTGGCGCTACCCCCCCTCCTAGCGTCATAACGGCCACTCTCACATCTATTGAGCCCAATGGATGTACGGTGGTTGAGAAAATTCTCGGATCAGCTTACACATATAGCACCACGATATACCTGACGAGTACCTACCCCGTCACTCTGACCAGCACGTGGACATCGGTAACGGGTACCTTCATTATTCTTCCATTGTATGGTACCTTTACCACTACGTTGACCAGTACCACGACCCAAACATTTACCCAAACCGAGTTAGTCCCTACTGTCTCCACCTCTTTAATTACCGCTGTTACCCTGTGTCCAAGTTCCTCAAGTTCTTCCTCAAGTTCGAGCTCTTCCTCAAGTTCTTCCTCAAGTTCGAGCTCTTCCTCAAGTTCTTCCTCAAGTTCGAGTTCTTCCTCAAGTTCTTCCTCAAGTTCGAGTTCTTCCTCAAGTTCTTCCTCGAGTTCTTCGAGTTCTTCCTCGAGTTCTTCCTCCAGCTCTTCCACGCTATCATCTTCGAGTTTGAGTTCTTCAAGTTCTTCGAGTTCTTCGAGTTCTTCCAGTTCTTCCCCCAGCTCTTCCGTCGCTCCAAGCTGGTCCTCCTCCACCTCTTCTTCTAGCCCCTCTTTGGACCCTTCGAACTCTTCCGTTATCTCAAGTTCTTCTACTCCTACGCCCGCTACTTCTAGCTCTCTGTCTGAAGTTCCAAGCTATTCCTTATCTACGACATACATCACGCTTACTACCTGGGTTAATCTGTGTTAAGAGCCCAAAATAGCTCTTGCTACACCCGTGATATCACTTTTTATATTGTAAAATACAAAGTCTTCAAGTCTTGAGATACGGAGGGACCGCTCATGGCGTGTAGCCTTGTCCTCGCGCACGCACCTGTAACATGTCCATGAATCTGTATTCGTAAACCCACAGCCGTACTTTTCGTTAGCCACGTGTTTTAATTTATACATCGGTGACAAAATCCCCCAGTCAAATAAAACCACGATACGGTTTAGAAAAAATATAAGGATGCAGAGAGACTGTTCCCAAACAGTGTCACATCTGAGTTCGCGCAGGTTTCACAAAATATAACAACGATTTTTACGCAACTAGTAGTCACTTACGCCAATACATGCGAGATATAAATGTACTTGAAAGATTTCTAGGGCCTAGGAGACTAAAGAGCCACAATCGTGGGGTGTCACTGCTTGTCCAAGCTTGAAGTACATGTGTTTCACGTCATGCGCCGCTGACACCTGGCGGCTTATCCGGACCCCTTATTACACCCTAGGTGACGCAACACGGCTATTTATATGATTAATAAGACTCCCTTAACCTCCTTAATTATATACCTAGCTCATAGGCCACTTCAATATTCTCCAATCTAGCTCATGGTCCTTTATTTTGAATGGTTTCGATCTAGGGTAGAATCTTGCTCGGGTTTCTGTTTCTGGAATCAGTCCTCCATAATTTCCGGCGTACTATACACGAATCAAACGTTTATAGTACACCGGAAACATGGTAAAATGAGGCTATCCCTTGTCTCGTATCCCCTTACAAAGTTGATTCAGTGGGGTACGATTACCCACATGCAACTTTGTATGTGATGATTTGAGAATTATGTATATAGTCGGTGTATAACCTATAGCGGAGTCGAAACAGAACTCCTAGAGGCACCGGAGGCTATTAGATTGAATAGCACAAGGGCTGATGAGCCGTAACGTGTAGAAATGCATGTCATGCATATCCAGGGTCTCCGCGAATGTGGAGACAGATTATGCACAAGATGGCCAGATAGCGGACACAGACTGAAAACGCGAGTGACATTACTGATTAAAAATGTTAAGTAGAGCATCTCATGGTATTAATGGAAATGTAGTTAGTTCGGGGTACAGAATTTTCGACCTGAAAAACCTGGGACCAGACAGGCTTATGCACACAGGCTCCGCCACTGTTATGCAATCGGCGCTCAATTTATACCCTTTACAGTTCCCAAGACCATGAAAAGTATACCCGGAATATTCTCGCTAATATCCAACGGAGTAAGAACTAGACGTCGCATATATGCGACAATATAGGCCAAACGAATTATGTAGCCCGGAAATTGTATGAGCAAAGATTAATACAAATTGCACGTTTAAATATTATTATAATGTGAGCCTTAGTTACCTGTTCTTTCAGTCTAAGCTTGTTACAAATGGAGGACTACAAATTTGGCATTGAATGAGCTCGTGGGAATTGCGCAGTAGCACATGAAAAATGCTCCGAAAAGATTAGTGGTATCACGTAGACTCAGACTTTATGCTGCCACAGAACAAGATTTTAGTAAACTCGGGTGAAACTCCAAACCATCAATGTGAAGACTTGTACAGGGATTATGACAAACAGTGTTTAGAAGTGCATCAAAAGGGCTAGTTGGGTCTAAATAAGGTATATGCACGCCTCGTGGGACGGGGCTTAGTGGACTTTTGAGTGGTTCATAGAATTCGCTAGAGGAATTGAATACAAAGCTAGGAATAAAGTTCACTTGCGAAACCACTACATGGTGTAGCTGGGACCGACTTATGCTTTCCCAACAAAGAGTTATAAACCAATGAAGGACGGAATGAAGGAACTTGGGCTATCATTGCCGTCTCAATATCAGGTACAGGCAGAGATGCTCGAAGCGTGCCATTGCTGGAATTGTTTATAAAGGTACTATAGTTGTGCAGACGCACCCCTTTTCTTTGGCATACAGAATTCTTTGTGAGAGGAAGTATTCAGTTTTATTGAAGGTTATGCTGTCACTTAATGGGTACGCATGCACCTTGGAGTGCTAATTTTTGGTTGCAATTATCAAAAGTAGTGCCCGAAGCCATTTATTCAGACCTGCCTCGGTTATTTTGGAACCGGCCAAAGTGCCAGAAACCGATTGGCGTGTATATTCATAGTAGCTGACCTCTATATGAAATTTTTCAGATTCTTCCATTTTTCAAATCTGTTCCTCAGGCAGGTACTTGTTCTCTATGGACCCTGGCTCTAGGTGTTAGGTTAACAGTTTGATCCATCCTGTGAAAGACGCATGCTGCATGCCGTTTTTTACAACCGTAATTTTCGTTGTGCCAAAGAGTCCTATTACCCTTGCAAAATAATGGTTGTCAATTCGAATATCGTCCAAACCTCCTTAAAATTAATAATAAATTCACAAGTATGTCATTTTTTAGTACTTTCAAACCACCAAGCGACATATCTAGATGTGCCCTTTGACAAAAAGGTCGCTTGATCTCGCCTAAAATAGGCACGCACTAAACAATGCAGCACCACTGCATCTGCATATAGCTCATATCTATACTTTCTGGACATCACTATTTTGCCAACTATTCCCGTCGGGGTCATACCAAAACAAAATTTCACAGATAATATTACAATATATTACCATATAAATGATAAGCAAGAATCCAATTACATCTTTTCAATTCCTCCTGATTTTGTAGAAATTGGTACTGTTATCGAAACTAGAAATGTACCTATGAGACTAACATTCAAAGCCTAATCTTACACATTTAGATCTTACCCAACAGATTGTCTGTCTGCCTAGCAGGGATTACCCAATATACTTGTACATAACTAATCTTCTAAGGACCCATGTTGCTTAAGACCCTTGCTTTGTGATTTCGTAGTAACTGCCAAGCGTTGGGGTGCACCCGTCGTTGAATCTTGAATTAACAAAAAGCGACGTTAAATCCCCTTCTCAAAGGTTTAACCGGATATTATATAAAACAAAAAATTACCCCGATTTAGGTGCTGTTTAAAAGTGTCATCAATATTATTATGAAGCTTTTTCCGTTGCTCTCGGTTCCTTTCTTACTTCAGGTGATTACAGCTGTCATTAACACAACCACCGTATCTACCAGTCTCATCTAATCTCTGTACTTCCTATATTATTTCCGGTAGCCTGGGTATGCTTGCCTGGTATTCTACAACAGATTTCTATGCCGTTTCGACCAACAACGTTGCCATTTTAGGAACTGGTGTGAGAAACTACAAATACATCGTGCTGTGGTACTTCAGCTACGAAGCCCCATTGAAAGCTACTGGGTTTGATGTTTCATTCTTGACTTCCGTTGCTAGTTTTCTTACCATTGTTGATGTTACCGTCAACCTTAAGCAGGGTGCTTTTATCCTTTTCTATAACGATACTGTCACTTATCCGATTGTTTTAGGAGTAGATCTTCTTGATGGCCTCAATTGTTTTGATTCCATTATTGGCTACACCACGGGCTTTACCGGTGGGCCAAATTCTACCACTATCATTTTAGGCTCCTCAGATTTCTGGCTCAACCCGGCTAACGACTTGACCTGTACCCTCTCCTTTATTACCTCGAGCTGTATCACTTTGGGATACTCACTATTTAGTGTCTGTATTCATTGGGGCCAGTGTACTGGTACTACATCCCTAATCTAACATCATAACGGCCACTCTCACATCTATTGAGCCCAATGGATGTACGGTGGTTGAGAAAATTCTCGGATCAGCTTACACGTATAGTACCACGGTATACATGACGAGTACCTACCCCGTCACTCTGACCAGCACGTGGACATCGGTAACGGGTACCTTCATTATTCTTCCATTGTATGGTACCTTTACCACTACGTTGACCAGTACCACGACCCAAACATTTACCTAAACCGAGTTAGCTCCTACTGTCTTTACCTCTTTGATTACCGCTGTTACCCTGTGTCCAAGTTCTTCCATGAAATCATCTTCTGGTTCTTTCTCGACTTTTTCGAGCTCTAGATCTTCTGTTATGTCACCATTGAGATCGTTCACTAGCTCTTCTATTTCTTCAAGCTCCCCCTCGGGCATTTCTGTTACCTCAAATACTTTCGTTGAATCGAGATCTTCCGTTATTTCAAGTTCTCCTGCTCCTGAATTTATTAATTCCGGATCCTCCTCTGTTCTTTCGAATACCTCAAGCTTCTCTACTCCAGTAAAATCTTCTGCTGTTTCGAGTTTTTCCGTTGCACCAAGCCCTTCCTCTCTTTCAATTTCTCTTTTAAGCTCTCTTATTGCTCCTAATCTCTCCTCTATATCAGAATTTGGTGTCTCTAGCTTTTCTGATCCAGCGCATGATTCTTCTAGCTTGCCCGTTACCCCAAGTTATTCCGTCGTCCCAAGCGCTTCTATTGCCATAGACTCTTCCGTTGTCTCAATCTCTTTCTCAATCGCTTCCGCTTCCTCAATATCTTCCTTACCAATAAAGTACGTTACTGTAACTGATTGGGTAAATCTATGTTAAGACCGACCTGTTTCTCCTAGCTATACCCGTTGAATTAATTTCTCTATTATTTTAAAAAATACCTTTAATTCTCAGACTCACCACAATATTTTCCGTTTGTCATGGCTAATACCAGTATAATAGAATAAAACAATATAATTCTTTGACTAAAATCCTAGACCTAGGTTACATAAAATTTTGAGGATGCAGAGGGGCCATGAATAAACAGTATCACATACGAGGTCTAGGCCGTGAAGTATATGTAAGTTTCATGGTATTGAACGGTAATTGCCATATCAGACTACAAATATCGGTAGATTATACTAATACCTTGACAAGGCATGAAGATACCTGGTAATATTATTGAAACCGGGGGGCTGAGAGAGCCACAATAGTAGAGTTCCATTATTTCATGGCCTACAGATGATTGAGAGAAGATATATCAAAATATTAAATAAATTTTTCCGCTAACCGGGATGCAATTTTAAGTTCATCGTATGCATATTAAGGCCTCTCACAAGCGGCTTTCATAGGGCAGTCAGCCCAACTCTATGCGGCTTTACAAGCGATGAGGGCGCTAGTGGAATGTAAAGGGTGTCAATATGAATCCATCGATTGCTATATATGACTTCTCATTAAGCATCTCACTCTGTAAATGTTTCTCCCTATCGCTACCCATTACATTATTGTAAGCGCCATAATGAATATATATATATATATATATATATATATATATTTGTCCTGAGATTCTGATTCACCAGCCAACCATCATCCTCGGGTATTTCAGCTTGATTTCTGTTTCCCACTGATAAAAATCACCGGATCCATCATCACTGATGATTAGTCTTATCGGGCCATCTGGGAACTCCAAGTGTTGAATAGCCAGTTTGGACAAGTTGTTGTACTCGAGATTTAAATACCCCAACTTTGGTGGAAGTTTTGTTAGCCCAGAAAGTCTCGACAAGCCCTTCCAAGATACACTAGAACTTACAGACGAGTCTCCATATGTGGAAACACAATTGTGCAGAGTATCACACTTTTGGTCCGCCAAGTTTAACATTTCAAGAGACTCGGGCAACTGCAACTCGCTGATGGCACTAATCACGTTCCTCTCAAAGGACAATTCCTTCAATTTTGGAGGAAGCTGTATTGCATCGATTGAGGTAAACATATTATCATCAAACTCTAACTTTAGTAAACTGTCCGGAAAATGGACATTGGCCAAGCTGGATATTTGATTCTTCCAGAGACGTAACTCTTCCAAGTGCAGTGGGAGCTCAACATCTTCCAATGAAGTTATCAGGCTATTACACGCATGTAAGCTGGTTAGTCCCCTCGGAAACTGGATTCCTGATAAGGAGCCAATGTTTGTGTCGCTTATTGAAAAGCTGGTTAGACATTGCGGAAGGGGAGAGATGTCACGAAGCGTGGTAACGGAAACTTTACTTAAACAAATATTTCTTAATTTCAAATTTGGATCATATGCGTTGGAGATTTGGAGCCTTTGAAGTGGGTTATAAGAGATCTTAAGTTCAGTACAATTCACCGGAAGGCGGAAGTTTACCAAATTTTTCAATTTGTTAATCCTAAGATCCAATAATTGAATGCTGTCCGGTAGTCTCCTTGAAAAAAGTTCAAGGTTATTTCCATGCAAGTTAAAGGTGGTCAAGGTTGGTGGAATATCGAGTCCCTTGACTGAGACCAACTTATTGAAGCTCAAGTTTAAGGAGGTTAAGACTGGTGGAAGACTGAGCCCGTCAACTGACACCAACTTATTGGAGCTCAAGTTTAATGAGTTCAAGCTTAATGGAAGATCGAGTTCCTCTACTGAAGCCAAATTCATGGACTCGAGAATCAAATCCGTCAAACTTGGAGGGAAGACAAGGTTTCTCGGTGAATATAGGATAAATAAAGGATAGCACCGACTGAGATTAAGCTTCCGGAGATTCTTGGGGAACTCGATTATGCATGTCCTGGTAGTTTTTATATCTTCATCTGTTTCATTTAAACGACCAATGGGGTTATCAAGGAAGTAGAGGGATTCTAAGGAGCCTGGTAATATGTTGACAAAATCTAGCAGTGATAACCGGGTGTGTGTAACTTGTAAGTAAATCAAGCTTGGAGGAAATTTGATACTGCGAATCTCAGATGATAAAGGACCCATCCTGACTACCGTGCCGCCTAAGATCAACTCTTTGAAGGAGTCTGGAAACGTATCCACACGAAATTTCTTTAAAGGGCAACCGCTGATGGACAACTTCTGCAACCTCAGAGGTAAATTCCGTCGTTCGAAGTTAGTAATTATACAATCGTAGAGCTCTAAATTCTCCAACAATGAGGGAAATATAAAGTGCTCGTCGATCTCCGTCATACCTGACACGTTTTTCAAACGTAAATCTTTCAAGCTATGTAATCTTAACTCATTGAAGTTTTCAAGGGTGATGTAACTCAATAGCAAAGATTTCAAATTGGGTAAGTTTAACTCATTAAAAGCCTCGGTAGAAAAGCCTTTGATCTCCACTAGCTCTAATCTCTGTAAGGTTGAAGGGAGGCCAGCATATACTGACATCGATCCCCAGGGGTACTCCGAAACAAATTCTTGGAGAGACGACGGAAAAATAATCCTTGGAGCGCTAGCACCATCGCCACAACGATTTCGGAAGTCGTACAGAAAGGTAAGCTTGCGTAAGTTGGAGGGTAAAGACGGAACGTCCGGATCAATATAAGCATACGAAATAGATATTTCGCGGATGCACTTCTGAACCAGGGGCGAAGATGGCAACCAGTCCCAGTAGAATTCCGAATAATCCTCCTGCCCCAAATCAAAATTTAGTATGACATTGGTGACAAACGAGGACACCTTGGTGAACACTTTTTCGTGGAGAAACGTAAAATTATCGACGTGTGTATCTACATCTATCAAGAGCTTCTTGATGTAAAGCTGGCTGAACATATCGCTGTTTACTAAGGCCTCGAACTCAGAATTCCTCATGATGAGAAACTTATCGTTCATATATGAGGATCCATTATTTGGAGGGTGATAGAATCGTAATTCAATGTTCGAGTAGTAACGTCTCCGAGCCATCAAAGCGAGACTCCCATTCTCCGAGTTCATCACTTCGGCGACTGTGGAAAGTGGTAGATAGGAGACGATCTTTTCGACAATTTCCAACGGAAGGATGCCGCTGAAAAAAAGAGTTTTGTACGTATCCATGTTGGTTAGGGGGATAGCGAAAGGTGAGAGTAGCGAAGAAGGAGTAGGGTCGACGAATTGCTTGTATAGCGTGGTGCATATATTCTGAGCTTTGTAGAGTCTGGTTAGTGGGGTCTGCGAGAAATTTAGCCAGTTGGTGTGAGGAGTTTGGTCAGAGTGAAGCTGATGCGATGTACGCAACACAGGCAGTGGAGTTTGTCAGGGCTCTGGTCCATCAGTGCGAAGAGTTTGCTCGCAGTGCGTTTCGTGCCACGTGAACGTATCCAAACAAACCAGATAGTCCTGCATTCCCAAGATCACGTGGTTAGTGGCAAAACCCTGAGTCATCTTGTGATGTCAGTAGCTGCGATACTGCTTCACACGGATGCATCGTATTTAATATGAATAGTATAATATTGGTTAAGATACGCGTGGTATAGTAGCCTTGAAGTAGGCTACAGAGTAGGGATGCATAGTAAGCTGCATAGTATGTTGCATAGTAAGTGGTAAAGGCTATATGCAGGCACTTGTCTCAGCTGTTTGACCCAGGGAAGAGAGGTAACAAAGTGAATGAGTATATAGGTAAACGGGGATGAATAACGTGATGAAGGTATATTACAGTAGATAGATTGTTTGGTATATAAATATAGATGAACAAAGTAATATTGGTGGAAATACATCAGGTGTAATGTTCCCATAGTAAACTGTATGGTACGTTGATAGTGAGCTGCATAGTAAGTAGCTATGTGCACATATATATACAGAAATATATATTTATATATTCAACAAGGTATTTATACACTAATATATTTCAAAATACGGAAAAACATATATTAAACAGAAGTAAGGCAAAACATGTGCCAAAACATCATTCAAAAGATAAGCACAAAGAGATATTACATACGTAGTTTTCGATGTGGTGGATAAAGTAAGTTTAGATATAGATAGGAAAATTGAAGACTAGAGAACAGACTTAAGACAGTATTGTAGAAAGGGTAGATACAGAGAGTAGGTACTGGGAGTAAGTACGAGGATTACGCATAGAGAGTAAGCACACAGAGTAACATTGGAGAGAATAAAAATAATAGGTACACAAAATAAGTACAAAGTTAGTATAATGTACCTATAGAGTACTTATAGAGTAGCTAAGGAGTAATTATGGAGAGTAGGTATAGAGAGTATGTAGTAAACGTGTTACAGGTGCTGTTTCTAAATGAGGCCACTTGTGCCCCATCCTAAATAGGGTTACAGGCGCCCCATCATAAGAGAGACAGAACCTCGTCAGTCGGTCTTATATACATCAACTGACCATCTCCTTGTATATCTAGTTCTGATCCAATGATCAATCAGTTATACCCGGTTATATCATTGCCTACGTTGGTATATTACAGTTCGCATGGTGGATATATTACAGTTTGCATGATAGATACGCACGCCTCATAAGGCGTAGTCAACTGATCGTTCTAGGGACATTACGCGTCCGTAAAAGGAGTTGAATGCCGAAAAAGCCACACAGTGGTTCACTCAAGATATAATAATTCATTCGAAATACTACCACACTGTGCATTGAGGTGGCCAAGACATGCTTTGATGCTTTTCGTACAGAGTTATAAATCAATAAGAGGCTAAAAACAACAGAGCTTAGATTACTAACCAACACCACATCAAATCCAGGTGCAGGTGGAGTCATCCAAGGCGCTGCATATCGTAGCATAGTCTGTACAAGTGCCGCAGTTGATGCGCAGACATCGTTTCCCCGGCGTACAGGTGCAGCAGTTGTGCAGATTAACTCCTTTTCCTTAGCGTACAGGATCCCAGGCGTCGAGAATTATCCAACTTTATACAGGCTGTGCTATCATTTAATGGGTAGACGTGCACGTAGGGATGCCAATTTCCGGCGGAAAACCACCAAGTACTATTGCCCAGAGTCATTACTTCAGACTCGCTAGGTTAGACCTCAGTCATGTTGGATCAGGTAGTCAAAGTGCCAGAAACCGATTAGAGCGTAGATGCACATCATCTGACCTCCCTATAGTAGTTTAGTGAGGGGTTCGCCTACTTTCCCAGTCCGTTCCCCGCTCAGGTGTTTGCTCTCTATGACCCTGGCGGAGGTGGGGTGTTGAGGAAATTCAACCCATTCAGTAGAAAGCATATGTTGCAGGCCCCGTTAGCATACACTAAGCTGCATCTCTTACATCAAAGAGCCCTATTACTCACACAAAACAATAGTTACCAATTGGCGGTTTTATTCTAGTCTTCTTGATATAAAAGTTTGATTCGCAAGGTACCCATCCAAGTGGCAATTTTAGACTGCCTGAAATCATATCTAGGAGTATCGTTCGGCAGAAGGTCCTCTTATTTATCTCGTTTAATGTAGACATGCACTAAAGGATGCAACGTTGCTGCATCTGCACAGGATCCACAACTAGATTTTCAATGCATCTCTATCTCGCGAACTATCCTATGAATATCATCCAGCAGAAGGACCGCTAATTCATCTCGCATAATTTAGACATGCATAAAAAGATGCAGCATCGCTGCATCTGCACAAAACCCACAGCTTCATTTTCTATGCATCTTCATCTCGTCGGCTATTCCTGTTGAGGCTATACCATGATAAGTACTATCGATCTTGACAAGTTGTGTTACTCTATGAAGTATAAATAAGGATAAGACCTACTTGTAATTCCCGTAGTTGTTGGAAATTGGAACCGCTGACATCTAAACCGGAAACATATCCTTTGAAATCAACAACATTCAAAGCTTATTCCTATGCTTCTAGACTTTTCACAAGATGCGTTTCGTATGCCGAACAGGGATTAGCTGATATACTGGTTTACAGCTAATCTTGTATACCTTGTTGCTTGTGGCCCATACCCTTCTGATATCACTGTATGGAGTTAGGCTGCATTTCCACAGGTTAAATCTGGGTTTAGAATAATTGGTGGCCTTAAATCCCCTTCTCGGGATTTAAATCGGACACTATATAAGACAAGCATTGACCCCCGTCGGTTTAGATACTTATTTCAAATATCACTAATACCATCATGAGATTCTCTCCGTTGCTTTTGGTTCCCTTCTTGTTCCAGGTGGCCATGGCCGTCATCAACATCACCACTGTTGGCACCAGTCTCACCAACCCAACCCCATCCAACCTCTGTGATTCCTCTTCCTATGTTACGTCTGGTGGCCTGGGTCTGCTTGCCTGGCTGGCTACCGCCGAATTCTATGCCCAGTCGACCACCGACATTGCCATCTTAGGAACCGGAGTGAGAACGTACACGTACGTTGTACAGTGGTTCTTCACCTTTGATGATCCGTTGGAGGCCACTGGCTTTGACATCAGTACATTGACTTCTGCTGTTTCATTACTCACCACGGTTAATGTGGTTGTTAACCCTACCCAGGGTGGCTTTATCCTTTCTTACAATGACTCTGTCACCTATCCAATTGCTCTCGGGGTTGATCTTCTTGATGGGCTCAACTGTTTTGATTCCATTATTGGCTACACCACGGGCTTTACTGGTGGTCCAAATCCTACCACCGTTATTTTGGGTTCCTCCGATTTCTGGCTCAACCCGGCTAATGACTTGAATTGTGTCATCGGTGACATTACCTCGAGCTGCATCGCTTTGGGTTATCCATCGCTCAGTACCTGTTTGACTTGGGACGAATGTACAAATGCCACGCCTCCTCCTAGTGTCATTACGCTTACTCTCACTTCCGTTGAGTCCAACGGGTGTACGGTAGTTGATAAGGTTCTTAATTCTGCTTACACTTATACTACCACGATTTTCCTGACGAGTACCTACCCTGTCACTCTGACCAGCACGTGGACATCGGCAACGACTACCATCTTTTTCATTCCATTTTATGGTACCTTCTACTCTACTCTTACTAGTACCACAACCCAAACATACACTCAGTCTGCGTTAGTTGGTACTGTTTCTAGCTCGTTGATTTCCGCTGTTACTCTGTGTCCAAGTTCTTCCTCAAGTTCTTCCTCAAGTTCTTCCTCGAGCTCTTCCTCGAGTTCTTCCTCGAGTTATTCCTCTGTTGCTTCTAGCTCTTCCGTCGCTCCAAGCTCCTCGAGCTCTTCTGTTGCTTCAAGCTCTTCGAGCTCTTCCGTCGCTCCAAGCTCTTCAAGCTCTTCAGTCGCTCCAAGCTCTTCAAGCTCTTCCGTTGCTTTAAGTTTTTCGAGTTCTTCCGTTGCTTCAAGCTCTTCGAGCTCTTCGAGCTCTTCCGTTGTTTCAAGTTCTTCCGTTGTTTCAAGTTCTTCAAGCTCTTCAAGCTCTTCCATTGCCCCAAGCTCTTCAGCCCCAAGCTCTTCTGCTCCGGCATCTGCTGCTTCAAGCTCCCCATCTGAAGTCCCAAGCTATTCCTTATCTACAACATACGTCACGCTTACTACCTGGGTGAATCTGTGCTAAAAGTGCCAACTTGTTTCTCCTATCTATACCTGTGCAATTACCTTCTACATTGTAAAATATGATACCTTTAATTTTTGAAATATTGAAAGACTATTATCAAGACTCGTTGTCTCGTCCTAGTATAAACACTTGTAATAGCGTGTTCGCAAAGACTGTTCGCAAAGCCTGTATTCCCAGACTCTCTACAACATCTTCCGCTTATCACGTTTTGACTAAAACTTATAAAAAAATGAAACACAATGAAGCCCTCGATTGACCAAAAGGAACCTTTTCCCCGGTTAGATAATTATAGGGGTATGGAGAGGCCATGATCAAGCAATATCACGTATGGGGTCCAAACAGTGGAGCATATTTGGGTTTCACATGGTAAAATGATGACTACGTCAGACTACAAACATCTGTTGATTAACCTAACACCTTGGTAGGAAATAAAAGGACTTCAATATAAATAAATAGATTATGAGATAACCTCTCATTATACTTCCCATACTGAAAATACTTCTTACGCCAATTCCTCACTATCGATACCAATTAAATCATGGTGAGCGCCCGAACGAAGGGATATATCCTAAGATAATTCCAATTTTGAAAATAAATTGTATCCCTGGGTGGGTCTGCTTGATCTCTCTTTTCAATTGATATCCTTCGAGCGCGTTATCTCTGATGAGTAATTTTACTTGGCTGGCTAAGAACTTCAAGTGTCTGACAGCCTGCTCAGACAAGCTGTTGTTCGCTAAATTTATATACCACAATTTTGATGGAAGTTTAGTTAACCCAACAAGACTTGATAAACTCTTCTCAGGTTCATTGCAGCCCTCTGACAAATCTCCCTGTGTGGAAGCATCAGGAGATCTATCTCTCCTAAATGTGTTGGAAACTCAACATTCTCTAATGCTCTAAATTTGTTACTGTTAAGGCTCAAAGATTGAATATTTTCCGGTAGCTTTCTTGAAAGTAGTTCAAGGTTATTGTATCCTAAGTTTAGATGCTTTAAACCTGGTGGGAGATCGAGTTTCTCGACTGAGGCTAAACGATTGAGGCCCAAGTTTAAATGGTTCAATGATGGTGGGAGATCGGACCTTTCAACTGATTCCATATTCGTTCCATGGAAGTTCAAAGCCTTTAAGCTTGAAGGGAAGACAAGGTTTCCAGGAGAGTAATGGGTAAATAGATACTCGTTACATCTGAGCTCGAGTTTTTGAAGATTCTCGGGGAACTTGATTCGGTATAATCTGACAATGTCTGCATCTTCATCTGTTTCATTTAATCGACCGAAAGAATTATCAGAGAGGTTTAGGATTTCTAAAGACCCCGGTAATGAGCTGATAAAATCTAGCAAAGTTAAGCGGGAGTATATAACCAGTATGGAAACCAATTCCGGAAGAAACTTGATAATGTAGATCTCAGATGATGGAAGATCCGCATCGTATAAGATTAACTCTATAAGGAAACCCGAAAATGCATCCACAAGAAACTTCTTCAAAGGACACTGGGTGATAGATTGCTTCTGCAACCCCAGAGGCAATTCTCGTAGTTCGAAAATAGTAATTCTTAATTCCACAAGTTCTAAATTCTTCAACAGTAAGGGTAGCCCCAAACAGTTCGTTGATCTTCGTCATGTCAGAGATGTTTGTCAACACTAAATCTTTCAAATTGGGCAAGTTTAATGCATTGAAGGTCTCGACAGAAAATTCCAAGACACCATCTAGATCTAATTTCTGTAAAGTTGAAGAGAGGTTGGCATATACAGATATCGATCCCCGGGGAATATTTGAAACAAATTCTCGGAGAGACGACAGAAAAACAATCCTTGAGAAAATCCCACTATCATTGTACCCATATTGATAGTTGTATCCAAGGTAAAGTTTGCCCAAGTTGGTGAGCAAAGGTGGAACTTTCTGATCAATAGAAGGGTAATGAACGAATATTTCTCGGATACACGCTTTTACCGAGGGTAATGATGGCAACCAGTACCAGTGGAATGTCAAATACCACTCCCGATCCGTGTCAAACTTTAGAATGATATCGGTGACAAAGGAGGACACTTTTTTCATGGAAAAATATAAAATCAGCGATATTCATCTTTACCACAACGGTAAGCCTCTCAGCGATAAGCTAGTTAAATGTATCGCTGTTTACTAGCGCTTCAAACTTTGAAATCTTCACGTAGAGGAACTCATCATCCACATAAGAATACCCATCTTCATGTGGCGGTTTGTCGAAGTTCAATTAGATGCTCGAGTAGTAGTGTTTCCGCGCCACCAAAGCAAGACTGGCATTATCCGATTTCATCAATTCAGCGACTGTGGGAAACAATCTCAGCGGTTTCCAACAGAAAGGTGTGACCGAAAAGGGGAATTTTGTGCAGATTCATGGTAGTGGATTGGAGAAGGAGATGATAGTGAAGGAGGTGATATTGAAGGAGATGGGGGATTGACTTGTTTCTGTGCGGTAGAGATACCCTGAAGTTTATAGGATCTGGGTGGCCGAGGAACGTATTGCGTGATGTTACCAGGTAGCGTCATTCTGGGTACACTGAAGTCATGCATGAGATGTCTCGAGAGGCTAATTTGATGCGAGGAATCTTTCTAATTGGTGTAAGGGGCTTAGTCGGTGTGAGGGATTTATCCACCCCATGCGTTTCGCATCCCTTGAATGTTTCCAAATATACCGGATGATAATGCATTCCCAGGATCACATGGTAAGTCACAAGAGTCCAGGGTCACCTGTGATATCAGTAGCTTCCATTATGAGTCATATAGATATACGGTGTGTAACTTGTATGGAAAAATGTTGAGTGAGATTCGCAGGATGTAGTGATAGAGTAGGCTGCAAAAGATATTTACAGACACTTTTGCCAGTAGTGCCACCAGGGCTGAGGTGGAATGAAGTGAATGAAAATATAAGTGAGGTTGGTGGAATAAAACGGAAATGATGAATTAGAATAAGGGCGTCGTGTAAGGTAGTGATATTAGTGGACTAAGCAATATTGGTGCAGATATACTGGAAGTGGTCAGATAGTGAGCTGCATAGTAAGCTGCATAGTAAGCTGTATAGTAAGCTGCATAGTAAGCTGCATAGTAAGTTACATGGTAGGTTAGATAGCGAGGTTATATGCAGGCACTTACCTCAACAGTTTAACCCAGGGCAGAAGGTCCATCAAAGTAAATGAATATATAAGTTAACGAGAATAAATATATTGAAGAAGGTATATTAGAGTAGATAAATTGTATGATGTAGAAATATAGATGAACGAAGCGATATTGGCGGAGATACATTAGGTATAATGTTCTCATAGTAAGCTAAATAGTAAGCTGCATGGTGAGCTGCATAGTAGGATACATAGTATTCCACATAGTGAGCTGCATAGTAAGATACATAAAGAGGTTATATGCAGGCAGCTGCCTCAGCAGTTTCATGACGAGCAGAGGGTACATCAAACTGAAGGAATACACAAGATAACAAGGTCAAATAAACCGAAGAGGATAGTTTCAAGAGGGTATATTATGATAGATAAGTATAAGGGTATACAAAGCAATAATGGTGGAGAAACACTAGGTGTAATATCTACATAGTAAGCTGCATAGTATATAGGTATATAGGTAAACTGTGGTATATCTAGTAGGTAATAGTGGATACTGTTAGCTAGCTAGAAGGGAATACTTTTCCTATGTAAGATATACGCAAGAGAAGGGTAGTCGGTGGCCTTATATACTGAGGCGGATACGATGCCAGTGTGTCCGCTTATCGGAGGTAAGGGGGCAATAGACTCTGACTTCCATCTAGTTAAATGGCACCCTTACTATAGGCGATCAGTTCTTCAGTAAACTCAGTTCAATACTGTTGTACAACCAGGGAGGATATGAATGAGGATGAAAATGGAGTGTAAAGCTGGTACACCTATGTGGAACTAATGGTCTTCAATATAAATGTGCCAATTTCCATAAATTACTTATTAAACATCCCATGTTAGAAATGCTTCTTCCTTCGCCAATCCCTCACTATCGCCACCAATTATATTGTCTGCACCCAAGAGAGGAATTGTCCCAAGAGTATTCCAGGTCACCAACTAGCCAGCATTCCCAGGTGTGCCAGCTTGATTTTCCATAGCCACTTATAATAATCATCGAAAGCGTTATTACTAACACTTAACATTGTCAAGCTAGCCGGGATCTCCAAATGTTGGAAGGACTGCTCAGACAAACTGTTGTTATCTAGATTCAAATACCACAATTTTGACGGAAGGTTACTCAACCCAGCGAGGCTCGACAAGCCCTCCTTCCTAGATGTATTGAGACTCTCTGATGAGTCTCCATCAGCGGAAACACAATTAAGCAAAATATTCCACTTTTGGTCCTCCATAGTCAATATTTTAAGCGATTCGGGCAATTGCAACTCGTTGATGGTGCTAATAGCATTCCTCTCAAAGTACAATTTCTTCAATTTTGGAGGAAGCTGTATGGCATCAATTGAGGTAATCTTGTTATCAGAAAGCCTCAACTCAAGTAGACTGTCCGGAAAACAGATATTGGCCAAACTTGATATTTGATTCTTAAGGAGACATAAAGCTTCTAAATGTGGTGGAAACTCAACATTTTCCAAAGAAACTATCTTGTTATTGGTGGCATCGAGTCGGCTCAACCCCACAGGAAATTGAATGCCAGATAAGGAGCTTACCTCTGTAGAGCCAATATCCAAGAAAGCGAGGCATTGCGGGAGAGGAGAGATATTACGGATTGCGGCAATAGCAACTTTACTTAAATCAAAATGCTGAAGTTTCAAACCTGGGTGATCTGCATTAGAGAATTGGACCCGCAGGAGAGGATTGGACGAAAGATCAAGCCTGGTACAATTCACCGGAAGGTGGAAGTTTATCAATTCTTTCAATTGGTTAGACCTAAGGCCCAAGTATTGAATGCTGTCTGGTAGTTCCTTCGAAAACAGTTCAAGATTATTACTGCACAAGTCTAAAGAGTTCAATCCTGGTGGAAGATCGAGCTCGTCGACTGATACCAAATTATTACCGCACAAGTCTAAAGAGTTCAATCCTGGCGGAAGATCAAGCTCATCGACTGAACCCATATTCGTTCTATGGAGGTTCAAATCTTTCAAGCTCAGAGGGAAGACAAGGTTTCCTGGAGAATACTGAGTAAATAGATGCTCGTTATATTCGAGATTAAGCTTCTGGAGATTTTCGGGAAACTTGATTCGGTATGATCTGGCAGTGTCTGCATCTTCGTCTGTTTCATTTAATCGACCAAGAGAATTTTTGCGGAGGTTGAGGATTTCTAAAGACCCCGGTAATGAGTTGACGAAATTGAGCGACGTTAACCGGGAGTATGTAACCAGTAAGGAAACCAATCCCGGAGGAAACTTGATAATGTGGATCTCGGATGATGGAAGATCCGTATCATATAAGATTAACTCTTTGAGGGAATCCGGAAATGTATCCACACGAAACTTCTTCAAAGGACACTGGGTGATAGATAGCTTCTGCAACCCCAGAGGTAATTTCCGCCGTTCGAAGTTAGTGATTCTTAGATTCCCAAGTTCCAAACTCTCCAACAGCGAGGGTAACTCAAATAGTTCGTTGAATTCCGTTACGCCTGAAATTCTATACAATCGTAAATTTCTCAAATTGGGCAAGTTTAACTCGTTGAAGGCCTCGGCATTAAAGCCCGAGACATACTCTAGCACCAACGTCCGCAAGGTTGAAGGGAGGTTGGTGTACGCTGACATCGATGCCCAAGGGATCTTCGAAACAAATTCTTGGAGATTTGGCGGAAAAACAATTCTTGGGGAAATACCATTATCGTTTCCCCCATGTTGATAGTCGAATTCAAGGTGAAGCTTGCGTAAGTTAGAAGGCAAAGGTGGCACGTCCGGACCAATATAAGGGTACCATACGGATATTTCTCGGATGCACTTCAGGACCAAGGGCGATGATGGCAAACAGGCCCAGTCGAATTCCAGATACCACTCCGGATCCCCGTAAAACTGTAAGATGACATCGGTGACAATTATGGACGCTTTGGTGAACACTTTTTCGTGGAGGAACGTAAAATCATCTTCAAGAAGATCTACGTATATCAAAAGCTTTTCAATGCGAAGTTGGTCGACCGTATCGCTATTTAGCAAGGCGTCAAACTCAGAAATTTTCATGCTGAGAATATCATCCATTTTATAGATGACATCATATGGTCTATCGAGGAATTCCAATTTAATATTTGAGTAGTAGCGTCTCTGCGCCACCGAAGCGAGACTTGCATTCTCTGATTTCATAACTTCGACGACTGCGAGAAGTGGTAAGTAGGAAACGATCTTTTCAACAATTTCCAAAGGAAAGATGTCGCAGAAAAGAGGAATTTCGTGCTTGTTCATGGCGATGAGAAAGTGGCGAAGGTGGTGAGGGATTGATGTGTTACATCTACGGTTTGGCGTAGATTCCTCGGCCTTTATAGATTTTAGGTAGATGTGGAACGTATTCTATAATTTTCATACGTAGCGTCACCCTGAGTATTCTGAGGTGATGACTCAGACACTTCGAGAGACAAGGCTAGTGTGATGCACGCAGCGTAGGCAATGGAGTCTGCGAGGGGCTTTGCCAACCCGTGCCAGGAGTTTAGTCGCCGTGCATTTCGTTCAGCTTGAACATATCCAAAGCATACCGGATAATCCTTTATTCCTAAGATCACGTGGTGGGTGGCAAAGAACTCAGAGTCATCCTATGATGTCAGTAGCTGCCATAGTATGTCACATAGATACTTGGTGTGTAACTTAGATGGAGCTATATTGGTTGAGATACGCTGGATGCAGTGGTCTGATATTAGACCACGTAGGGAGCTGCATAGGAAGCTGCATAGTAAGTTGCATAGTAAGCAGTAGAAACTATATACAGGCACTTGCTTCAGCAGTACGACCCAGCAGAAGGTGTATTAAACTGAATGAATATATAGGCTAACAAGGTTAAATAAAGCGAAGAAAGTATATTACAGTAGATAGGTAGGTTGGTATATAAATATAGATGAACGAAGTAATATTGGTGGAGATACTATGAGTATGTAAATATATAAGTGGATATATAAGTAGATATATAAGTAAGTGGATATATAAATAAACACGAATATATAGATGCGAATATATAAAAACAAATAT